GGCAAGTATTATAGTGTTGTACGTCTAACAAAGTATCAAAAGAATTTTCTAGCTCAGGGCACTTCAAGACAGGCTATTGTATGTTTCAACCATGTCTGCCATTTGTTGCATAGATTGTTAACTTTGTTTTCCTTGTTAAGAAGCGCTAAGAAGATGATCATGCATCGGTTCTCTTCAATTTTTAACCTAATATACATGTCACAGGAGAAATCCATTGTTATCTCGTCTACTATTAATACTATTTACAATGAATTGGTTATTTCTACTAGGCCAAAGCTTTGCTTGATTGATACTAAGAGAGCTAACATTAAAACTATACATTTTGATATCGCCCATGATATTATTATTATGAGTTAAAAAACTGAATTAGCTAGAAGTAGTGGCGGCGGAGTCACTGAGACTCATGAGGCTTGAGCCTCACCTAGATTTCACAAGATGAGGCTCAGCCTCACTTGCTTTTTTACTGATTATTGCTATTTTTCTATTCTTGCATCAAAATAGGAGTAAAGAAAAGTATAATTTGGTATTTTCCAATCTTCGTTTTTATACTGACCATTTTTATTTTTACTGAAGTTCAATAAAAAAGAGATTCCTTTTCTGCTTGAAGCTTTCATAAAGTTCCACAATAGAAAAAAAAATATTACGAGCCTCACCTAGGTTAATGACGCTCCGCCGCCTCTGTCACGATGGATCCAATTAGTAATTAATGATAGACACTGAATATTATAACATTGAAGATTAAAGAGTATAGTCTCATTTAAATAATATGCGTTCTCACAGTGAAAACATTGCATATACAATTCTAAAGAATAATAATTGGAACAGTATGGTTTGATTGTCAAAGTAGATCAATACTGAATGAAGAAGAATAATGGTAATCTTTTTATGCGTTATTATGCTCTTCGAAGTAGATCTACAAAGGATTATATTTAATTATGTTCTAGAATTTCTTTTTACTAATCAATGCAGGAAGCATATATCTTTATCTCTATATTTCCATTAAAATTAAAAAGGAAAATTTTATACTAATATTAATTTATCAGAGAAGCTTTTTTTGTGTCTCATCAAAACAATACTAGTCTCATAAAAATGAAATCATAGATTAATTAGCTATCATTTCATTAGCAGGAATTCATCAAAATGACTGAAGAACAGGAACTCCTCTTGTTGTACGTTCTGCATTAATGTTCCATGTAGACTAAGCACATGATTTTGTTTATATCTTCAGTTTTTACATTCATCATTTGTGACCCTCGTGTAATTTAAACTAACTAGAGATACGATTTACATATATTACAGTACATCGTCAGGGTACGGTTGCTACGACTAAAGTAACCTGATAAATTCTAGTAATTGCATGGATACAAGAGACATAAAGATGAATATAATCTTTCTAGATATAGTGAAAATTAATCGTACTATTAAAATTAAGTAAAATAAGTTCAACGTATATATTTATTCAAAGAATGGGTAGGAATGAGGAGCAGATAAAAATCATACAATAACTATAAAAAGAAATACTTGCGTTTCAGTTATTACCAATATTATTTCGATTAAAAATATTCTCAATAAAAAGTTGTTGCTCTATCAAATTTACACTTTTAGTTGGCACTTTTCATTTAGACTTATGTAAATGTTAGTAGACATAACATATGACTTATTAAATGTCATTGATGGTTTTGATTATTTTCAGGGATAAATATAAACTAATACCTAAAAATATAGCAATCCATATCTAATTTCAAAATAAATTTATATCTAATATAGGATGAATTTATATCTAATTTATTAAGTAACACTACCTAATAACACAAAGTTATATCTAATTAATAATTAAAGTAATAGAAAAAAATAAAGATACAATTATCAATTATAACAAAAAAAACAGGGTAAAAAAAGAAAACGATTACACAATTAATGCTGTTTTAGAGTCTATTGCATCAGTTTTATCATCAAGTGATAATGCTTCTGCCATTTTTTTAATGGTATTTTTTTAAATATTTTTTTAAACTAACTTGTTTCTATCACTTATCGTCATTCCTAGCTCATGTATACTCTTTCAATTAATTGATTGATAATCATTTGTTAAAATTGATGGTATGTTAAATTAAAAGATAGAACATTTTTTAATTTAGACATGTAATTGATTTAAAGGATGTTTGACTACAAAATTAGATCAAACAATTTTTTAAAAGGTGTTGTTTCACCGAAATAGATACTACTGTATTAATTTAGATATGGATTGCTATATTTTTAGATATTACATTAAATGCATGCCTTATTTTTATGTCTTAGTTTGTTTTTGTACTTGACCGAAATTGAAAAAAGTAGCAATGGTATGGTTAATAATAGTTCTTTTAAACTAGAAAAACAGAGATTGATTCTAGAGGGAATCGAAATGAAAGAAAAAAAAAATGAAGTCTCACTATAATAACGACTGACAGAAACAAAGAGAGGAAATAAATGTTCTTGTTGACATTGGAAGTATAATATAATATAATGACTAAACTTGAAAACAGATGTTATTAACGTCCTGTAGAAAGTCATAAAATATCATGGAAACGTTTTCGTTTATGAGAACCTATTTGTTACAACATGTTACTTATAATATTCATTGAATAATAAATCTATTTTTAAAATTGACAACACTACACGAAAAATTTCATGTAACATATTGATTCCTACTTTTCTCTCTTATTTTGATCAGAAGATTGACAAGTTCTTTCCACATCGATTCTCATCAATCATTTTCAATGGTTTCAATAGAAATTGTTGTTCGAGCTTTTCATTTTCTATAATCACGATTCTCTTTAGTAAATTTCTTGATGTTAATACATAGTATTCTACAAATTTAAAAATAATATGTAATATTAGAGAGAAGAAAAAAACTATGTTTACGCTCTTTTTAGTTCAATACTGCTTATTTTACTTCAGATGAGAAAAAAATTAATTTCTAGCATAATTATTTGTCACGTCTACAAAACGTTCTTCAAAGCTAAGAACTAATAGTAATATTTAAATCGGAATTGAATTACTATCGTTTGATCTATTCTAAATATTTTTACTAGCTCAATTTTCTTTATGACAAAATCATGCTTACTTATATCTGACATATGGTGCAATGTCATTGTTCGTTTTATAAATCTAATTACTCATGAAACACATGAGAAACGAGCTTTTTCTTTCGGAGTAAGTTTAGTTAATATTATATAACGGAAATAACTGATAACTTTTGTTTCGTCAAATTGTTATTTTTTTAATATTTTGTTATTTATCTTTTTGTTGTTGTTGTTGAATGACTATCATAGAAGTTTAATATAGTTTTCTTTTCTTTTCTGTATTGTTAGCATGTTTGCACGCATAATCAATTCTCTTTTCGTATCCGTCCGTTCCGTTAAATTGCCTTTTTTTGCTTTTCTTTTTTTTCATTCTCTTTTTTTTTCTACTGACGTTAAACACATTTTTCTTTCTTTCGCCGTCACACCAGCCAACCTTCAGACAAGTATGTTTGTCAAGACAAAATATCTCGCCAACCATGCACTCACGCAATTCAGCTTTTAAAGACGAATGAGTAGAAGAAGGGAACAAAGATGATTAGGAGAATAAGAAAATGTATTACTATTTTTCCAATAGAGATGTTACAGATCCGTCTATCTTAATTTTCAACTCTTTATGAAAGGTTTACTTCATATCTAATAGATCTTTCTTGATGAATTCTGTTTTTTTTGCGAAAATTAAACAGGCTACGATTAACTCCCATGCATCTTATTAAGCCTTTAAAATTCGATTAGAATAAAAAGATTTACTAGTTGGTCTAGCTTTGAATTCTTATCTGCTATATTTTTAGTTTCCTAAGAAAAGCACTAATTAATTGATTCTGCACAAACGAGAAGAAGCCAAAGAAACGAAGTACTCATGAGAATCGGAAAGAACTGTTTTAGGAAGAATTAATTTACGCGAAAACTTCTTCATTTAATATGTAAGATTTTATTCCAAGGATTGCTATGAATTGACATGAAAAATGCGAATAGATTCTAAGCATATTCTGTCGAAAATGATGATATGAAAGTAAAACAAGAGTCGCCATTTGATTATTAAAACATTCTATAGTTTTTTTCAGATTTTTGTACGTCTTAGATAGTCATTAGCATGTATCTATCTAAGAACGATGTGAAAGAAACGACTGATGTTGATAATAATATACAAATGAGACAAGCAAACACATCACCTATTACCTCTGACGTATGTATTACTGATTTGCTTTTCTTTCTTTCACAATATATTATGTCGTATACAATCATAACTGTCAAGTTGTACTGTAGTTTATTTTACTCTTGACATAATTTTTTTTCCGTATAGCCACCACAATCATTATCTCCACCATGCCCCACTTTACTTGTCATAGATGACAATTCAAATTCTGAGGATTCTACCGTAATTAATACTGATGACATTCCAAATAAACCAATGCTTTCGACTAATGCTCAAATAGCACATATTAAAATTTCAACAGCCTTATCGCCATCTACAGTTGGTAACTATTTTTCTCTCATTTTGTGGTAAAATTTATTTATTATTCTATGCAATCAAATAGATATTGCACATGGAACAGCTGAACAACAACGTCGTCGAAATTCATCGATTGCGAAGTTACTCGGTGGTCAACCCTTAAATAATCAACAATATGAAGGTAATTTTTAATTGATAGGTAAATTAATCACAATATTTTATATTCTATAGAAATCAATCAACAGATACTTGATGCTCAATCAGCTCATAATGTATCCAATTCAGCTGATCATGGAGTTGATAGTGGAATTCAGCGAACACGCAGTTCAATAACGCGAACTTTGCTTATGAATACAGGTAAATATTAAAAATCAAAAAAGTAAATTTTAGATCAAAAATATGTTTTTATTATTATCAATATTTAGAAAAGACTAATGTTACGACTGAAACACCTACAAAAACACAAGTAGCACCAACAACATCATCATTTCCAAAAGATTTTGAGTATTTAATACGCCGAGAACCTGATAAATTTGATACTGAACATGCACCATTTTCGCTTCAACGAAATAGTAAATCCTATTTTAATCGTTGTCTTTTTTTTTTAAAGTTTCCTTGTATTTTTAGATTCAATGCCAAAAAGTTCTCAGAATCTCAATTCCTCTAGTAAAAAAAATGTTCACTTAGCTGCGCAATCGAAATTAAAACGAATGAGGTAATAGGATTTGTTTTTTTGTGAAAGCAAAATTTTAGCTAAATAAAAATTTGCAGATCAATTTCAAAATCGTCATCCATAACACCAAATAAATCTACAATAAATGCTCCACCATTTTCGTTGCATGATCCATTTGAACTGCAATCACCAGCAACAAATGCAGTCCCATCGATACATCATCCACAAAATGAATTTCTTTGTTTTAACACTTCAAAACGTCCTCGTCATTCAAATCTACAGCAACATGGTTTACCAATCGATAGTTCAACAAAAAATCAATTTTCATATCCTTCTGATAAAATGGATAAAAATTCGTCAGTTTACGACCAATTCTCTATATATCAAGATCGAATTCCTTCAAACAATAGTTCTCCTTATTCACATACAACTGCATTAACATTATCCTCGCCGGTTGCAGCGTTATCATCATCTACGACTGAACGATATAATAACAATAATACTAATAATAATAATGCCACTGTGAAATCGATGCGTAAAGCAAAAGTAAATATTCTAAAAAAAACTTAAAAAAACGAAAAATTAATCATGAATCTACTTAAAAGGAAAAAGTAGGACAGAACCATTAATTGATAATAGATATATGTAGTTATATTTAAAAGTATTGATTTAGTAAGCTTTAAAGTACTAAATAAATGTTTCTTATTTTTCATTATATAGTAAGTTTTGAATGATGATTATTGATTTATTGATTAATTTGAATTTCATATTGTTATTTTGTCGATTTACATCTAGCTATTATATATATATATATATATATATTTTTTTTGTATAAAAGCAAGATGAAATGATTAGAAAAAAGTTCATTACTATGGAAAATAATCCAAGAAGTTATATGATTTTGTCGATTATTTTGATTAATTTTGCTTAGAATAAATTCAGCATAAATTTATAAGATTATTTATGTTTGATGTCAGCAAAAGAAGGAATATTGGTTAAAGATTCTATCATTTATCGTCTATTAAAATCAATTGACAGCGATGTTTTTTTGCACAATATTTGCCATCTAATTGCAATCAAAGTTAATCAGAATAATCGATGAAATTGATATATTTTTAATTATTTTTCGAACCTGACCAATCCCTATTCGTTGAAAAGCGTATGATTTTCAATCAGGTTTGACCTACTTTTTTTGTCACATACAATTTTTATGTGGGATCTGTTAAAATGAGAAACTTAAGCATAACTACATTAGATCCATGTCAATGGAAATCTATTAGACAGTTTTGCTTATTTCGATTCATCAACGGCCGACATCACGAGACAATAGTCTTCTATATTGAATTTCTAAAGATTTTTCTATACGCCCAGAGAAAATGTAAACGAAGTTTTTCTTCTATTAACGTTTGAATAGCATCATTTGAAAAATTATAAACAAAATATTTTAGATTGTCACACTAATTAAGCATAGTATCCATGAAACAACTTTTTCTATTCTAGAAAGTATGAAAATGACAGATTAAAATACTTGATATTGATTAGCAAACGTAACTAAAAGCCTAGGTCAAATATAATTAGTCTGTTCAACATCGAGAACGTACTAAATTTCCAACTATAAGCAATCTATTTATTTCTGTAACACTTTTGTTTTCTTTCATAAACTGAAATTGACCATCGATATATTGGGTTGTAACATAAATTCTGCAAATTGTTTGCTTATCACTTAAACTCATTTGATTACTTTTTTCGAATCAACTCCGAGTATTTTCTACTACTCATTAGAAATTAATAGCACGATGGAAGAATATTCCGAACACAATAGTGATTCTATATCGGATTCATTTTACATATCGTGATCGCTAAACAAATTTTTCAATGTACGAAACAAATTTGCAGAATTTATGTTACAACCTAATATTTAATTCATTTATATGCATGAGGAAATTAAATTATTGTATATCATTTGTCTCCGAAAGATAGCTATTTTTCGAATGTAAACAAATAGATTAACATTAATCAGAAAGGATTATTCTGTATAAAAATATTGAAAATGAATTTTTCAAATCTAACTATATCTTGTAGCAATTGAAATCCATATTATGAGAAAGATATTAAAATGTTTTATAATTTATTTTTAAGTCGATATTTGCACAATCGAATGTATTTGATTTTCCAAAGCAACGACCGTACTGTGACAGGTCTGATCAATCAGATTCACTTTTAGCAGCATCATCCGAGCCAAATGTGCCATTAAAAAAACGTTTACTTCATGCGTATAACAACGAACAGCGACCTACTTAATCATTGTGATATTTTTTTCTTTTTGTTTAGTATTTTTCTGCTCTTTTTATTTTGTCCTTCTTTGTTTACAAAAAACTACAAAATATAAATCTCATTCTAATAACAAAAAGAAGAAAAGTACAGTGATTTATATTTTTGTTTGTTTGTCTTTTTGTGTGTGTATTTGTATATACATTCGTTTAACGTTGTAAGTCTAAATATGAACGAAAGCAAACAAGAAAAACATGTCCAATAAACAGTTTCTCTTTAAATAAAACCAAGATGACATTGAATTTTTTTTTCTTCTTAATATAAGTAAATTGAGCCAAATGGTTTAGCTAAATAAAAAAAGTATGTTTTAAAACCGTTTTTGTACTTTTTTTAAATAACATAGGTCTGGATTGAGATAAAAGACTCGCGTGATAGGTAATTTACTATTGATAACCCTTTCATATATTACATGAAATGCATTTATAACTATAGGTTCTTGTACATGAGCCCATGCATAAAGAGCGAGTTGAATACAAAATAAGTCCCAATGTTTTAATAAAGTTCAGATCATTATCAAGTTGTATTGAGTTTACTATTTTGGATTAATAGATGAAAAAAAATATCTCATAAAGTTTAACAAGAGAATCGACGAAATCTCAGTCATTTTCAATTAGTATTGAAATCAATGCATTTATACTTTGCACTAGAAACGATAAATACTAAAGTATGATCATTTAAATAGTATTAATTACAATTTGACAAATCAGTTATTTCTGACTAGAAGTTTGATGGTTCAAACTCAAAAATTTGAAATAATTAATAGAATATTTTTGATACATTACTAGATATTTTTTCGTTGAAACTAAACAAAGATTCTATATCGTCTGCGAATAGGATAGATAGAACGATCTTTACAATAATAGACAAGAAGCAAGTAAAAAATGTATCCAAATAAGATAGAATACTGTTTTGATGTAAATATCTAAGTATTAATTTATTCTTATGGCAAAAAGACACAATAATGCTTTAGAATTAACTTGAGTGCCATTACTTCAGTTTTAGAATAAGAAAATTAATAATTACTATTTATAATTAACTAAACAAGATGTTCTGCATAGCAATTTAATTGAATAATATCTTATGATAACTTGAAAAATATTGAAATTTTGAATTCTCGATTTAATTGATATTCATAAAACATTCAGAGAGCTGCAACTTTGCTAAACATCAAAACAATCAAAAACAAAATTATAGTTTAACCACACAAAGCATAAGATACGGATGAGTGTATCGTATAGAATTATCGTCATCAGGTAAATCTCTATCATTTTATTATTAAACAGAATTGTCTACGCGATGTACCAGTCGATTGAGTTTACCAGTGTATTGTTTGTCAATACAATAAAACAATAAACATCGATTATAGTATGTTACAAGAGCATCATGGTTATTTGTAGTAACAATTTGAAATAACATTATATGCTATGAGCGTTTTTTCATATTTGTTGTCTTTGATACTATATGATGTGGTGCTTTATCTTTAGAAATGCATTTATAGTAAATATTTGATTGCGATATTTATCAGCATTAGCAAAAAAGGAGCAAATGTGTTGTGGTTTACAGTAATGACATGGCTTCATTCTTGTTTTGACTGCGCATATACCTTCTATTGGCTAAGAAAATATTCCAATCAATTAGATACGACAATAGTATGTTTTTATCTCGGAACAAACGACATCTTCTTTCGTATAACAATTATATAAGAAAATAATCTATTGATTTTGTTATTTTTAATCAAAAAATTATTTTATTTATCAATGCTTATTTTTGATCGGTAGATAAAAAAAAAGTGTTACGTCAATCTCAAGATTAAACCAAATAAGTATTCAACACCTGGCTTAGAACCGAAACTTGATTGGTGGCTAGATCATTTTCGTTTTCGAAATTTTGAGAACGTGATTGTAATCATATTTTTGCCTACCATCATATCATAATTTTTCGAAAGTTATGAAGAAATTTTATAACCTTATTCTAACGATATATACTTCCATTATTGCTATATACGCATATACAGATCCATCAGTAATAAATCCACAATTACTGAAAAGATTTGAATATAAATTATCATTTAAAGGACCACATCTTGCTTTTAAAGATGGAACAGTTCCATTTTGGACATTTGGCGGAAGTAAATTTTATTAAAATAAAATAAAAAAGATAACTACATGTATTTTTACTCTTCTTACATTAGGTGCTATTGCTAGTGATGATCAAGTCCGTGTTACGCCATCCATTCGAAGTCAAAAAGGTGAACAGAAATCTTCTTTTTTTTATTAATTTAGTTTTGAATTCTATACCTAGGTTGGATTTGGACTAAGAATACTATGACTTCTGATAACTGGCTGCTCGATGTTAAATTACGTGTAAATGGTCGAGGTCGTATTGGTGCTGATGGACTGGTAAAAAATTAGTTCTTTATTTTAGTTGATCATTTCGAGAGTTAATAGGTACCATTCATTGATATTACATTAACATAATTTAACTGTAATACAAGAAAAAATATAATTTTAACAAGCCAATTAGTTATTATTACTAGTTCACTGAATAATATCAATTTATTTATCGTTTTATCTTGAGAAAAAAGCAAGTTTTATTGCATATCATACTGAAATTGTAGGATTTACATCAGTCAAGAAGTTAAAATTATTAGATCTTCTCGTTTTCGACCACTAGATAAACAAAGATTATTCTATATTCGAATAAATGATAATCAATGTCCCTTGCTTCTCTTAGATAGCCGATTTTTGGAATATTCACATAAGAAAACCTTGAAACATTTTTTTCTTTGTTTTACTCATTGTTGAGAAGGTTATTATTTGCTAATCTCTTTTGTACACATCTATTTAAATTTGACCTTCTCTCTTATTAGACTGGAGTCGTAAGATTTATAGAATTTTCTATTCATTAATTGACTTTTATTTTAGGCTATTTGGTTTACCGAAAAACCAGGTGTTGAGGGTCCTGTATTTGGTTCGAATGATTTTTGGAATGGTCTAGGTGTTTTTCTCGATTCATTCGACAACGATGCATTGGTAAGTTAAATTCAAAAACATTTTGCTTTTATTCTCATTTTTTGAATAAATAATATACGGAAGAAAAAACTTAAATTTTCCTAATTATTAGAAACTTCAACTTGTAAGTTACATGTTATTGTAGTTGGTGTCTTATTAATGTTGTGTCTTGACTGAAATATAATCTAAACATCGTACTAAATAATATTTATTCATTGTTGCGTAAGCTGAATTTATTTGAATCTATTGTTTGTTCGAATTTAAATGTCACCATTGAGTAGAGTCTTTAATCTGACAACAAACAATGATATGTATCTCTAAATCATTGATGCCAATAAGAAATTCTACATATAGAAAATTTCAATTTCAGCATGATGACTATGATCACTGGGATGATTTATAACTTTGAAACAAAAAATAAAATGAAAATTTCTTAAAAATAAAATATAAAATTGAGAAAAACGATTCTGTTCTTAGCAAAACAATCCAATAATAGCTGTTATGGTTAATGATGGTACAAAAACATACGATCATCCACATGATGGTACTGGCCAAATTCAAGGAAGTTGTATTCGAGATTTTCGTAATAAACCATTTGCAATTCAACTTAAAATTGAATACATCAATCAAGGATTAGCAGTATGTTTTATACAAGAAAAAATATACATGTATAAATTATGCATTCATTGTTTTAATTCAAATTTAAGATTTATGTTAACAATGGTATATCACAAGATGATAATGCATTTGAATTTTGTACACGTATTGATGGTGTAAAATTACCGAAAACTGGTTATCTTGGTGTATCAGCTGAAACAGGTGGTCTTGCTGATGATCATGATGTATTAGAATTTTTAACTAATACATATTCGGATAAACAAGCAACAGCACAAAATCAGGCAGCAACAGATGAACAAGCAAAAAAATATAAAGAAGAATATGAAAATTATGAACGAGACCTTAAAAAACAACAAGATGAGTCCGTATTTTATTTAATTTTTTCTTCTTCTTCTTCTTCTTCTTCTTCTTCTTCTTCTTCAAAATAAAAGAGCTGTTTTCATTTGCTATTTTTAGTTATCAAAAAGAACATCCTGATTTAACAACCCCATACAGTGAAAAAGCATTAGTATGTATCTTAATAAGTTTTGTTTTCTCATGCTTAATTCATTTTTTTGTTTTAGTTTGAAAGTGAATATGATCGTGAATTTCGTACAATATTAGAAGGTCAAGACCAAATTCGTTTATCATTAACAAGCATTGATAGAAAAATGATTGAATTATTGGGACGCGTTGAACGAATATCATCGACAACTGGTGAACAACAACAGATTACTGGAAAAGTACAAGCAAGACGAAACTCTATACAGATTGAATTCTGAAATCTATAATTTATAATTTAGGATGCAACAGGCATACCAGCTGATGTAGCTCGAATTCAAGATATAAATCGAGTGATCAATGCTAATAATGATATGTCAAGAACTGTGCAAAGTTTTGCGTATGTTTAGCAACGTCACCGCTTTTGTGTTTCTTTTAAATATGTCATTATTTCATAGGCAAGTATTAACAGATTTACAGCAAAAACTAAATAATCTACAAGTAAACATTAATAATAATCAAAGACCAATTGGTGCAGGACAACAAGTAGTTACGTCAAATGTAGACGGAACAGTAGTTAATGAGATTCGAGAAATAGTGAAAATGATTAAATCGGAAACAAATACATTAGTACAAAAATCAGTAAGGAAAACGCTTAAATTAATAATTTTTTAAAAGACATTATTTGGTTGTGCTTTTTTTTATTTCAGCTGAATCCAATGAAATGTCCAACAGTAACTGCTGCGAATGATAGTTCATGTGTCGGTACATTTACATTTATGTGTGCCATTGTTTTACAAATTATTATTCTTATTGGTTTTTTTGCATACAAGTAAATATTAAAAGCTTTGCAACCGGATATTGTTGATTTATACACAGAAATCAAAGATCAAATAGAATTCATATCCTAAAGATTTTTGGTACAAATTGCCTGTCCCAATATTTCGAATGACTGTAGTTTTAGAGTATCTTATATTCCAATTTCATTAGTATTGTATTTTTAAGTTCTTGATAGCAGTGACGGCTGCTGGTTTTGTTTTCAAATTGCTTGCAAATCAATTGTTCTGAATGAATTCAACTTGTACCGTATTGAAAAGTCAATTGCGGCTATAAGTTCTTCTAAATATGAATCTATTGCCATGTGTTCGTATATTTCACAATTTTGATCAGACTACAACTGCTATTTTAGATCTTTTTATTTAAGTTTGATATGAATATTATATTAAATATTTTCTTTTCTAGAAACCGCCAAGAGCGTATATCCCGAAAATATCTATGAGAATTTATGTTTGATTTATCAAAATATTTGAAAAAAACTTCTTCCTTAATCATTGTTACTATTTATTATTTTCTTGTGTTTGTTTTCATGTGCAATTCTATAACTGATTAAAAAGAAAAAATGAATGCCACCGAATTGTTATTTTTTCTTATTTAATTGTTTTGTTTCTCTTCGGCTTTTCAAAATAGAATACATCTTATTTATTTTAACATTGCTGTTATTGTTGTTTTGATAAAAATCAAAATCAAAGCTAGTTCATTTTTTTTTGTTTTTGATAGAATGAAAATGAGAGAACCAGTTGTAAGTGTGCTTGTGTTTATGGAATCTCTATTAAACACAGAAGTTATCTTCTTTGTTTGTTTAGTTAATTGTTTGTGACTTATCTATCTGTTTACCATTCAAGTTTTTGTGAATTTATTGAATCAACGACATTTGTTTTTTTTGCATGTTTATGTATGATTGCGATTTTATTCTTTAAGATGATTTATTTTTGGTTTTAACGAAATATATTGCTCATGATAGAAAAAAAAGCATTGTGTTTGACTAGAAATATTTATAGTTGTTATTTTTTAAATGAGAAATAGAACAAAAAAAAAGAAAGAAGGACAATTGTTTTCAGTCGATAGATATTCGTTATACGATCAAGAAGTCAAGATAATCAGTTTAGATTTAACTAGAGAGATTCTTGTTCATTAGTATTTGCCCATTTTAAGATTAAGAAAAGCTTTCCTACACATGATAATTGTATAATAATTAATGTGAATCCATTATGATTCAGTTCATATCGTACAATTTGTATGTTCAATGTAGATCGCCATTTTCCACAGAGCATACTTGTATCTACAATATAAATAATCAGATTTCATTAGACTTTGTATATCTTTCTCGTGATACTTTTGTAAACTTCATTAACACAGATCCATGATCAGTCGTCTATCATCTACGACGTATTGTCTATGAAATGCTCTTATTAAAATTGTCTCGACTCGTCGGAAAAAAATGATTCAGAGGTGACAATAGAATTTTTTCAGAAAAAAAAATAGAATTACGAGAGAATCAAATTGTATTAACTTAAGAAGTCTTAGTAAAATTGTTACTTGGTTATAAAAATATTCGTAGTGAGTTATGACTTTGCAATCTACATGCTTGCTACCTTTATATTTAGATGCTTTCCATAACGAGAAATATTTCTACTAAGTCCGTATTACTCTCTTTCGTTTCTCGCCGTTCATGTCGAATATTAACTGCTGAAGCAAGTCCTGCTTCAAAAAAGCAACAAGAGATCGATGAGATAAAAGTTACACAACAAAAATATCAAGAATTACAAAAACTTCAATCTCGTCCATTATACTTGGACGCACAAGCAACGACGCCAATGGTAAACTTTATTTTATTTTTAATCACTGTCTCAATAGAATTTTTTTGTAAACGAACATAGGATCCTCGTGTACTTGATCAAATGTTACCGTACATGACACATTTGTATGGTAATCCACATTCGAGAACACATGCCTTTGGATGGGAAAGTGAGAAAGCTATTGAAATAGCCCGAGAAGTAAAAATTCATAGAGATTGTTGCATTATTTTTAATTGTCTTAATAAAATATTTTAGAAAGTTGCAAAATTAATAAATGCTGAACCCAAAGAAATTATCTTTACTAGTGGAGCAACAGAATCGAATAATATTTCTGTTAAGGGTGTTGCTCGTTTTTATAAAGAAAAAAAGAAACATGTTGTTACAACACAAACTGTAAAGTCATTTTTCTTGTTCATTGCGTTTTATTTTGATTTTATTATTTTAGGAACATAAGTGTGTACTTGATTCAATGAGAGTATTAGAAAGTGAAGGTTTTAAAGTTACTTATTTGCCTGTAAAAAAGAATGGTCTTATTGATTTACAAGTATTATTAGAGAAAATACTTCTTTTCTTTTTTGAACGTATAAAAATCTCTTTAGGAACTTGAATCAGTTCTTACACCAGAAACAAGTTTATGTTCGGTAATGATGGTAAATAATGAAATTGGTGTTCGTCAACCGATTAAAGAAATTGGTATTGTAATTTTTTATTGGATAAATTCGACTAAATATTTTTTCTATAGGTAAATTATGTCGATCGAAAAAAGTCTTTTTTCATACGGATGCAGCACAATCTGTTGGAAAGATACCAATTGATGTCAATCAAATGAATATTGATCTTTTATCAATTAGTGGTCATAAAATATATGGACCAAAAGGTATTGGTGCACTTTATATTCGTCGACGACCACGTGTTCGCCTGGACCCAATTCAAACTGGTGGTGGACAAGAACGAAATATTCGTAGTGGTACGGTTCCAACACCACTCGTTGTTGGCCTTGGTGCTGCTTGTGAAATAGCACAACATGAAATCGGTGTATGTTAACGGAAATTTTTTTACCTTGCTTTCATAATAGAAAGACAAAACATTTTAGAATGATGAAAAACGAGTTACAGAATTATCAAAAAAATTAATTGATGAAATAACGAAAAGATGTACACATGTTATTCTTAATGGAGACCCAGAATCACGTTATCCTGGTTGTGTTAACTTATCATTTGCTTATGTTGAAGGCGAATCATTATTAATGGCACTTAAGGACATTGCATTGTCGTCTGGAAGGTAAAAACAAAATGTGCACACAACTTAGTTTTAGAGAAACAATTTTATTTACTAGTGCATGTACATCTGCATCTCTTGAACCATCGTATGTACTTCGTGCAATTGGTGCTGATGAAGATTTAGCACATTCATCCATTCGGTGAGATATTATTTTAACGATCTATGTTTGCAATTGTATTTATTACGCATATGTTTTGTAAGATTTGGTATTGGCCGTTTTACAACTGAAGCTGAAGTTGATTTTACAATTGAAAAGACTGTTGAACATGTTAAGCGACTTCGCGAAATGAGGTTAGATATATGATTCAAAAATAATGATTCTAGTTTTATGTTCGATTTAGTCCTTTGTGGGAAATGGTTCAAGAAGGAATAGATTTGAGAAATATCAAATGGTCACAACATTGAAATTTATCAACATTTCATTTTTTTCTTGTATATTCTAATCGAGCTCTTGGTTTCATTTTTACTTTCAAAATAAACTGACTCAGAGTGTGTTTACGATTTCATATTTTGTGACTTTCAGATCTTAGATAGAATTTCAAAAATGAGCGATCCATTATGTCAATTGATGGAAGATGTTGAAGGATTATGTAAACGTTGTTATCATCTTCAAAAATCGAATAATGATATGTATGGTAAGTGATTGACTAATTTAATTGTGCTTATTTACACTTTTTTATGGAATTCACGTCGATTTTACTAAAGAATTTTGGTGCCGCTAGTTTTAAGTCAAAGTTTCTGCGTTAACTATGGTAGCCTTTCAACGTTCTGAAGAACATATAAATCGAACATTTTTTTTCTAGAGTATCTTAGTAACGGAAAAACATCCGTAGCATCATTAACTTTAAAAATTTGTTTGCTCTAGATTATTTAAACTTTATCATTGAAATTTCCAAGGAATAAAATACGATTATGAATGTTGTAAATAGGGCAGCTTTTGTCTTTTGGTTAGATAAAAAAATTACATTCAATTTGTCATAGATGGTGGTAAACAGCACACTATTTCGATATACTCATGACATAATCAAAATAATAAATGTGAACTGATCAGCTTAGAGCTGTGGTGAATAATATGTTGGTCTATATTGCTGAACTTTTCATGATATATAATCGTGGATTGAGGCTTTTCTATAGATGTAACAAATAGAAAGAGCAATCTTTTTAATAAGAAGAGACAAACGACGAGCAATAGGAATAAAATATAAATGCGGAAACATCGGATTCGCATCCGATTGTTATGTGTACTACCAAAACTGAGTCAATTTATATATGTTGTGAATAATTCTTGAAAAAAAAATTTTTTTTTTGAAAAAATCCCTGCACCCCCTCCCTCAGGGATGGTCTAGTCAATAATGACAAGTTTTTCGATAGCTCAGCCATTTCTTCACAGATTGCTTTCATCTTCGAACTCGACTGAGATATTGATGAGATTGGATGAGGTTTTCAAGAGTTATCCTGTTAACGGTCGGACAGACGGGCACACTGACAGAATCTAAAGTGTACTCACTTGTTGAGTACACAAAAAGGAAAAAATTCTATTCAAAATATATTGATAAATGCGTAACCATTGCATTGTCGATCAATTCTTTTTGGAAAAGAACTGTAGTTATTTTTTTGAAAGAGACTTTTCATTTGACATATTTTGTATTAGTATAATCATAATAAAGAAAAAATGTGATTTCCATATATTAGTCCCAGTGGGAATGCGGCTGGCAAATCATGTTCTTCTTTATTTTAGATTACATAAAAGAAGATCATCAATTACAAGAATATATTGATGAAAACGAGCAAATTATTGAAAAATATCATCGCAAAATAAATGAAATTTTTCATTTTATGAAAGATAATAGTGATAAAAAAGACGAAATACATTTATCACCTACTGTGATCGATTACAAAAGAATGGAAGCAGAGCAAAAACGATTATGTAGTGAGAAGAAAAACAAATTAGCAGAAAACTCAATGAATCACGAACAAGTTTCATCAGATGATAAGGGCGCATATTTGTAGGTTCTTCTGTTCTTGTTATCGTTGTTGTTTTTCATCAATAAAATCTCTTTATTTGTATCATGCCTACGAAATATTTATCGATATGAAATTTCATTCTGGTGAAATCATAAAAGTTTGTTTGCTGTAGTTCTGCAAAAATATACGTCATCAATCTTTGAATAAGATATAAACATACTTCATAAAACAAGCCTACAATGTGTCTATCGTCGGCTCTTAAACTGAAATAAATCATGATTCATAAAATAACAAATATGAATAGCTTTTAAAGCTTGATTATTATACTGTAATAACTGTTAATAGTCATCATGCGACTAGCGTTATATGTTAGAAAACAATTTTTATCTTTCTCTTTTATTTATTACTGACAGAAATAAAATTGCTTTGAGTAAATTAGCATGAGTCATTTTTTAACAACAGTATTACTATAAATAATATTTCTTTACATCAATTATGATTTTCATAGTAGCAATATATTGATCTCTGATTGGCGTGTTATATATATGTATATAAGGTCGAACTAGTAGGAACGGAAGTTAATTCTTTTCTGGAAACGCTCTACTTTATTCTTAGTTATTTTATCTATTTACATTTTGGTACGAGAGTATAGTAACATGTAAAAGTAATCCAAATCGTGCACTCTGAAGCAATCAATGATACTCTGTAAAACTATGATTAAAAAATTTTATTTTTCTTCTTGTTCAATTTAATTTGTTGTCTAATTCAATCTGAAGAATATTAATCGATGCCAGCATAACATGAATGATCAAAAAAACTATACGTCTGTTATATTTATTACATCAACCAAAATATAAATCAAACTTTTTTTGACCAACTAAATTTACTTTTATTCTCGTAAAAGTTCTGATACATTTGCATCGGTTTTAGGTGCCTCATATTCTTCATCCGTAAAAATTTGATATTGATGATCGTCAAGGAACGGTGATAATGATGTTTTCGATGAATAAAAATCTAGTAGTAAAATTAATAAAGAAATAAAAATAGATTCATTCACAAAACAAAATAAAAAATGTCAAACCATCAGATAATTGTCGACGACCATGCAAACGCCAAGTATTGAATGTCCATCGTTTATGTTGGATTGGTAATGAAGCAAAATCATCATTTGTCGGCATTGATTGTATAGGAAATACAAGTAGCATAATCAATGCTATTATGTCAACTAATACAAGCGTTTTGAAAGAATTCATTTTAAGACCAAGATTCATTTGATTTGAAAGAAGAAAATAATGAGATGGCAGTTTTTGTTCTTTGTACTGTTGAAAACTTTTCTTTTCTTGTCAAACTAATATGTTGAAAGAAAAGGAAAGGAAATAAGATGGATTGTGATGTTAGAATTATAACGCATGACTGCAATCTTTTGGAAAATAACCAGCGAGTTAATTACTACCGCAATAATGAACACGATGCTTGGTATTCTTAACTTCCTTTTCTTCGTTTATAAACGCAGAACAGCCCATCTCTCTTTTTTTTAGCTAGCATTGATTAATGATTCCTTTGGGAGTTTATACCTTTTCCCGAAGCTTTCTCTGACGACTCTATTCATCTCTTTTCTACTCCTTCTTTTTTGTTACACATGGTAATTCAGATGATGATATGTATTTAAGCATGGGCGTACCTTTTCAAGTTTGTTCCTAACAGAAAAATTTTATTTCGTTGGAACATGATGAAATCTTTTATCTTCAGTATATAAATAAAAAAATTGAAATCTCTACAAATATATATAACAAACAAAACAAAAATAGAGGTTCGAGCGAGGTTTGAACTCGCGACCTTCTGCGTGTAAAGCAGACGTGATAACCGCTACACCATCGAACCGATACATTTAACAGTAAGGAACAGAAAACACACGGTGGTCAAATTTTTATCATGAAACAAGACTCGGAAAAGTATTTTACTTGGTTAGCGATGACACTCGGTTGAATTGTTAGTTTTAATAGATATTGTATAACGAAAAGTATTGATAATCCAACAAATGACCTAAGAAAAGGTAAGTCTATAGAACAATAGGGTTTACAGGATTTACTGTCCACGGATTTACTGTCCATTGATTGTTTTTCTTAGAAAATAGTTTTTCTCTACAGAAAGTATAATTTTTACTGCTGAGGATTTACTGTCCACTGATTGAATAACTTTTTTTTAATTAGCGTTTTTCTCGTTTGAGGATTTACTGTCTGTTGATTGCCTCGAAGAATAGAAATGAACAGAAAAATATTTATCGCAATCAACTATGTATATTTAGAAAAAAAAGAATTCAAGCAAATATATGAGGAAATAACAAAGAGAATAAGGAATTGATTAATGAATAAACAAAAAAAGTTGAATGGACGTTCAACTTTTTGGTGGACGCTGAAAATATCTAAGTCCAGCAGCTTTTAAGAATGATGGAATATCGATAATCGAGGTAGCATAATTGTCGTTTACCATGGGTAGATTCAGTAAATATAGCAGACATTTTTAGCAAGAGGAGGATGATAAGAAAATTATGTTTTTTGAATTTATATATATTTTTTATAATTTTTTGTCGTATTAATGACTATCTTACCCCTCAATTTGATGAGCATCCGTCATTTTAAATTGAAAATTTATTCAATAGTTCGCTCATTGGTGACTTTTTTGTTTTTCAACATTTATGTAATTTTTTGTTCAGAAAGGGATTGATTGTCAAGATCAAGACTGTTACTCATTTATTAATTTCTCTTCTTCGAAGAAATTAATGGGCAGTAAATCTGCAAACGAGAAAAACGCTAATTGAAAAAAAAGTGAGTCAATCAATGGACAGTAAATCTTCATACAAAAATAGCGTTAATTGGAATGAAATTTTTCCAACCAATGGTCAGTAAATCCGTGGACAGTAAATCCGCGGAAAGTAAATCGTGTACACGTATCACTATTTACGCAAGGAAATTATATAGATCTCATCAATTATAATCAATATTATTTTGATTATAATTATTCATAATGAAATGATCATTGATGATATTTGACCAGGACAAATCATTAAGTTTTCTGAGACATGAGAAACTAAATTTCGTAGACGCTCTTAGAAAAACTTCTGCAATAGTCTAAGATTGCTTGTATAGAATATTAATACTCGATATTGTGATCAAATCATTACTGTATGCAAGCTGGCATGCCACACGTAAATAAAAGGGACAAATAAGTGATTTTTCAATGAGTTTGAGATGCAAAAATTGAATGTACAGAATAAACTCCAAAAATCGTTGATTAAGCCAGAGGATTAGAAATTCGGTAAGATGCAATGAAAAAAAAAACGTTGCTCAAACTATCGAACGACTGATTAGATTTGGTCGATCAACACTTGATGATCTCAAATGATATTTTATCATCGAATCAACGATTATTTTCTTGACTTAATATAGATATTGTAGTTTTTATCAGTTGAAAATATATATAAAGATCATTTCAGATTGATTTAAGCTATAAAATTATAATTTTCTTGTAATCTACACTATTATGATATAGTCATACCACAAATATAATAAATGGTTTTTTTGTTCTTTGTTAAGTGAAATTGACACACAATAGATTGCTTAAAGGGGAAAAGAATTTCATTTGCATTTTCTCTGGTAGTGATGCTGTAATCGATCGTTTACGTCCTTGAACATAAGCAATGCGTATTGTTGTCTTTAGAAACAGAAAAGAAAATAAGGTCTGGCTATGTTACTTCAGCAAAATTTGTTGCTTCTACCAATCAGCTTGAGATGTTTTGTCTAAAAGAACGGTTTCATGTATTGTGAAGTATCATATTTTATTTTTCATGTCTCTATTTTGCAAATTTCTACTAATGAACTACTGTACAATGAATAAATTTGTTGGTATTTGATGAACACAAAGCGTTTGGCAAAGATTGAAACAAGAAAACAGCCCTATTTTTTCCTTCGATTGACTGGAAGTGCATGTTTTTAAACAGTCAATAGAACACTTGAAGCAAAATCGCGTGCCTGAAAAAACTGAAGCTTGCAGGTAAAGCTTTCGAGAGTGGTATAATTTCTTTCTTTTTTTTGTTTCTTTTCTTTTTGGTATTAGAACAAATGAGAGAAAAAGTAAAGAATGAGCAATCGTGCGAAAGCAAAAGAAAAGTGAAGAAAGTGAAGTAACATACGTACAGTACGTATATTATAAACTATGTATTCTTCAGAGAAAAAAAAAGAGAAAATAGAACTGTATAGAATTTATTACTTTTACTTTTTCTATTTAATCCTTTCCATTTTTTTATCCGTTGTACTTCGAACGTCGATTACTTACCTTATCAATAACTTTTAAAATCTTTTCGTTTGTCTACTGTTTGTTTATTCACTTCACTGAACAAAACAGAGCAAATGCTCAAGTGGGCTTTAACACCACGTCTAAACGGTGATTTTGATGAACAAGATGGCATTGAGAATAGTAATAATTTTGAGTTACTAACACTTAAATCTATTTTTGAACAACATGAATTACCGTGTCTTGTTCGACTTATTAACGATGATAGAAATCAATCGATGGATAATTATTGTCTTTTACTTTGTGAAACAAAAGATCCGTATTTAATCGTTTCAAATGAAACTGAACGATTTTCTATTCCAATTTCATTTGATGGTACGTTATTGTCTGCATGTCAATGGTAAATTCAGATCATATTTAACAGAAAAAAAAATTCATGTGCTTGAGAAAGTTGTAAACTTGCAAAATATACGATTAAAAATTTCTATTTTGAATTACAAACTATTTAAATATCGATCAGATGAATCAGTTTGTTTTTATATTTATGAATACCTTTAAAAGCAACAGTTTCTACATATAAAAAACAACAGTCATTGAACAAATATTTCTGTTCGAATTATTTCAGCTAGTCAATCAATAATTTTCTATTTTAAAATATGATAGATAACATCAAGAAAGTTAAAAACAAGAGCCCACTATTAAAATTTTTACTTTGTATTAAGGTCTTTTCGCTACTGTCGAACGTGGTATTACTCGTTATAATATTCTTCAATCTGTTCGTGCTGTACAATCCTATTTTAAGCCCTCAACTCCGTCATCATCGTTGCCAGTCCAATGTTCACATTTCACAACATTACGTCCACAAATGACATTTTTAAATGCATCTCTTCATCATATACATCCGGGTACACTTCTTGAGCCAGTCTTAAAGTCAATAATATCAGCACCTTCTCCAGCGCCCTCATCAACGTCATCGAATCGTTTACGTACATTATTTGCTAATCTTCCACGTTCACTTAATAAACATCTTCTACCTAATTATCAACAACCACACACTATTAAAAATCAGCTAGCACAAAACGATTGTTTTGAAGTTAAATCCAATGAAAATGATGAAAATTTCATTTTAAAATCTGATTCAAGTGGTGCTTTTGTTCCTGTATATACAAAATTATCATCAACAAAGTCTCATAGACAATCATCTTTTTCGTCTCATTCATTGTCATTTTCATCGAATCGAATACAAGGTTTATACACAACTGATGTAATAAGCAAATTGATTGATCAATATCCCCTTATCATTGAACTAATTGTAAGTCGTACATTAGAAGAAAATGTTTCAACAACAGTTGAATATCCATTCCGACGAATAACATTACATCGTCTTGTTGAAAATCATCCACGAATCATTGCATTTGATATGAAAAATTATGCATTTGTGGAAATTGATACAGCAGATTCTATTGATATGTATGCAATTGAACACGATAATGCGTTATTTCAACGTTATCAAGCTCAATTACGTTGGTGTCATAAACATTTGTCAGCATTTAGTTCACAAGTCAAAACACTCATTCATTCATCAAATGGTACAGCTATGTTTATTCAAGCAACGCCATTTCATGGACAACAATTTCAACAATATCATCAACGCCGTAATTCATCATCGATTGTAACATCACCACTTGCTAAACATATGCCACAAACAATTTTCACATCACAAGAATCAATATCTACAACTCGTTTACGTAGTCAAACACCATTGTCGTCGAAATTTCATACAACATCAAATCATTCGAAATATGCAGAAAAACAACGACAAAAAGGGAAAACAATTGGTTCGAGTGGAGCATCAAGAAAAGATGTACGAGTTTATTTTAATGATCCAACTATTCAAAAACATCTTCAAGATGACCATAAAATATTTCATAAAAAACAATCAAGCTATGGTATGAATAGTACAACAAGCGAAAGCGTTGATGGTGATGAAGAAAATGACAATTCATTTCAGTGTACAGCATTATGATTTCGATCCGCACAGTTTATTTATTTTTAATAAAGAAAATCTATAAATAAAACGATTTGTTAGCGAGATTTTAAGTTGAAAACGAAATATGATTGAGATTATTATTCGTGAAAAATCTGTGTTCTATTATTCAAAACTATCAGAGTTTTCTATGACAAATAAAATCTAATTATTGATAATTATAGTTGACGAGTCTCAAAGATGATCCCATGAGATATGAGACAATATTCAATACCTTTCATTCTATGTAGGCCAAGGATTTATTATAATTTTACATGAATCAATGTCTATTTATTTATTATTTATTACTACTTGATTTTTGTTAAAATGGATGAAACGCTTATACGGTATCAAATTTGATTCGATTGATGCAGTATAATGCGCATATTTTTACTGAATCAAATAATAAAAATGAGTTGCTACTAGTGTTTTTTCGCTTGAGCCGAAAAGAAAGAGACTGTATAAAAACGTTAACTCCTACTTATAATATTTCTTTTAGTGCTCTCTTCTTGCTTGATAATTCTATATGCTGATACAGACTAGATTAATTTAGCTACAAAACGAATTGAAATCGAGATCTCTTTGAAAAAACGTAAGAATTAATCTATGTTCATTTCTAATGTAAACTAGACATATTAATCATAGTTCATTAAGTTTTGACAAATTATCTTGTTAATTTATTATTTGGAAATCTATCAAAATATTACTAAACTATTTAATTTTCTAACCCTTTAAAAAATAAAATATGATAAAAAAAAAGAAAGATTTTTTCCAAAATTTCCAACTACTCATGTGATATAATAAATTCATTCGGAAAAATTCTCCGGAAAATATACTGAACATCCTTTTCTGAATGTATTATGGGACGATGAAGTGAAAAATTATTTTATTAAATCAACTAGAAATCCTATAGTAATCCTCTGAATTGTTTTCTTCACTTGATTCTTCTTCAGCATAATACAATAACGTTAGATAGATATTTATATTTAAAGAATTCTTGGATCGAACCACAATGCTCAAGAAGAACAAATATACAACAATGAATACGGTTAAGTGTACAAATCTCTAAATAAGCTTTGATCTCAGAAGAGCATTAATTTCATTTTATTTTTACGGAAAAATTGAACGAACATGAAAGATATTTAGCACAGTAATATAAAAATATTTGCTATGAATTTTATAGTTTATCTTACAAAATTTGAACATGCTTTACAAGTGAAACAAACGGGTCCGATAATTACATCTCCAGACATACCCTTCAATGCAATATTTTCACTGGCTCATTGAAAAGTTTCTTCATTTTTCTCTTATTATTCTCAAGTACTGTACCTAAATAAAAGTTGCTCTTTTTCTATTTAATTGTATTGACATACTCCGTTTTTTCCTTTTCTTTCCTGGCCAACACTTACCATTATGCACATATAAGAGGCTTCACTCTGCCAAACCGTCGTATTCATGTACGCATGAAATGATTTTATTTTTGACTTTCGTTTTACTATCAAGGGTACTCTATGGTAAACCAGTTCCAACTATATTGGACACCGATATTGGTACAACCTATGATAATCATCTAGCATTGATATACATTTTGTCATGTCCTAGTCGATTTAAATCTAAAACTGATTGCTTGTTCCACAACAAATACGACCGCACGCGCACAGATCGTAGCGAAAATATTGAATTTTTTCAACGCTTTGATATTCCAATAAGTCTTGGTCGTGATTCTGAAGATACGTATGGTATATTTCAATATCGATGGTCGAAAGATTATTCATTAGAAAAGTTCCAGTATGACGGTGGAACCATTTTTTTCCGACGGTGAACAGGCGTCAGCTGACGAAATGAAGAAAGCATCGATGTATCAACCATAATACTATATTCAAATAGGTCTTGCTACATCTTTAGGAAGTGTACTTAAAAGATATCCATGATTATCGACACATATTAGATTGTTTGCTTTGGCTGGTAGTCTACATTTTGGATATAATCATTCGAGTATGCCATCCAAAGAATATAATATTGAACATGATATTTCATCAGCACAAACTATGTTTGCATCGAGTTAGGCTTACTTCAGTCTAGCACCATTGGACTGCACGAACTTTATGCAATTTACCGGTGCGCTCTGGCAAAAGTTTTTATCCTATCGAAATATATCTCTCGAACAATCGATACGATTATAGAGAGCTACAAAGTATCGTATGTTGATGGTGGAAATAATATGAGTGCTATTCAACCATTTCATCCTGAATTGGGTACACCTGAAATGCTCGATATTTTAGCAATCTATTTAGCTGCTAGTCACACGTCTGTTGATCCGACTATATCTATGTCTCGGCAAATATTCGTGACAAATTATGGTTACACACTCGAAAATGAAACGATCGGCAAGACAATCAATATCTGTCTAAAATATCAATCATGGAATCAATACATTGCAACAGCTCAAATTGGTTGGGAAGTATTCGAATCGATCATAGAGAACGGATGCAAGCATGAAAGTTCAAAATCATCATTTCTCTACATGTCAAGTGTCATGGACTGTTTTATTGATTAGTGCATCGTTGAATATCTATCATTGTCAATACGTATGTGAGTGGGATGAAAGAAAGATTGGGAAAATATTTCCATTTTTATAGAACACATTTATTGAAATAATCTGCTAGAGTCTACCATAAGCGTTATAATCGTTCAATAGTATGAATGAAGATGCGATCGTGTCCAAAGCGTCATATCCACTTACAAGGTTATGTAGAATATGCATAAAAACGTGTGAAAGAGAACAAAACATGGATATAAGACGTTACTCTATGAAACTAGCGGAAGAATAACAAGAAGATAGAGAGAAAAAAATGTCGAACGACTTTCATTACGATCTGTATCAATCAAAAAATCTTATAAGATGAAGGGAATTTTATTTTTGAAACTTTTGTTCCTCATCTTCTTATATGATTCGTGTCACTTAAAACGGTATGAGCTAGTTTCTTCAAGTGAATTTAGTAAATAGTAGGCTTCTCGCTGATGAGCGTCCTCTTTCAGAAATTCGTTTTATTCGAATAAATGTAACGCCAGTGATATGAATTGGTATCAGGTTGGTAGGTTGGTTTGTTATCTTATGCTACCCTGAAAATTGCAAGACCTAAACAGTTGGTCATTAACAAAATAACAAGAGAAACATTGTAGTAGGCTGTCGAATAGATTGTTCTTCTCTTGTTATTTTAATAATCTATGTCGAAAATCTTACAGTTCAAAACTTTTGTTTTTAGCCGAATACAAAATGTACGAGATACATTGATTTGGTTTCTTCAGATCTTTCGTTTTGTTTTTATAGAGAATAGACAAAAATTTTATTGAGAATTTTCATTGTGAACATAGAATAGAACATATTCTTGGTGAAAAATATTTTCTCTCAATTGATTCCAAAACATAAGTTTTATCACAGATATTCCATATGTTCTTGTGGCTGTATTGGAGAAATGAAGTTTTTCCGGTGAATATTTCAGTAAGTTGCATGTCTATTATGAGCATCAAATACTTTCCACACGCAATCGATACTAGCAAGAACAAACAAAAAAACAGCAAACACGGCAAAAGTATCTATCACTATACTAAGATCAGAAAGGAAAGATTATCTACTGTGAGATTATGAACATTCTGTGAACAGTGCAAGCTTTGAAAAGCGAACTTTTAATTAGTAAGCTCATTGTATTTGTGTTCTGTCAAATACATCATAATTTTCCATTGTTATCTATCACAAAAATAGCAGATCCAATGTTCAACGAAGATACTAGAATTTAAGTTATTCAGCAATTATTCATTTTAGTTCAACAATTGATTTCACAATTAATCTGACTTGAATATACCGAAGAATAGCTATGAAGCCGACAATAGGATAATGTCAGCTCGATAGCACTTCATTCAGAAGTCAATCTTATCTAGTTATTTTTTATTACTATAAGAATATCATCCTGCTTTATGAAAACATGATAATCTAATGTTGAAAATCGACCTCGAGTAGTACAATTTATGCCTAGAGAATGTTTCTCTGGAAAAAAAACTTTAAAAATCTTGTCTTTTTTAAAATTGAAAAGTGACGGCTACTTCAAAGGTATCTAAAAGCAAGACGTACAAGACATATGTTTTAGACTATGTCTCTATTATCTAACAAATCTTGACTAGAAAAATAGCAAGATAAGTGTAATCTATCACTGTACTGGAAACAAGCATTGCAAGATTAGGTTAACTTTCTTCACATATTCAGCATTTATCAATTGTAAAAACTACTATCAACACCAATAAAAACATGAGCGAACTTTTTTTTCTATCTAAGATAACAATGTCGCAATGAATTGTATATCAAAATTTCCATTTAAATAAATTACTCTCATTGAAAACTCGAATCAAATAGATTGAGAATAATAACAAGATATTTAATATATATTCAATGTCATCTTTCTATTTTTAGATATTTTCTGTAGAAAAATGACAACATGTCTTGTTTCTTCATCATCACCAACTGGTAGTAATCGTCGTATTGAACTTGCTGGAATTGCTTTATGGACTATTGCACATGTTGACAAAATATTCGTGTATCCTACAGAATTAAATATCGATCGATTCAAGGAATCACTTGGACGTACGCTTTCAATATGGCCTATTATGGCAGGTCATTTTCTAGTACGTGATGATGATCGCTATGCTATTGAAATGTCGGATAATACAATTCCTGTTTAGTTTGTCAAAAATACTGTTCTAACCAGATGGCTTTTCAACTCGAATGTCGTCACTCATCTTATTGAAAGTTCACTGTAAGAATTCATCGGCGAAGTACAAACCGAGAAACTTGTAGGTCGTACAATGAAGGAGCCACCTTTTCGTTTGAAATTAACTCATATAGTAGCAAGTGGCGAACTGATACTGGGTGCACGTGGATCGCATATGGTAGGTGATGGAGCTTCGTTATTGAAGTTTTTAAATACTATCTCGCGTATCTATCAACAAATGGAACCAGCCGAACCATTACCTATATATGAGCGACGTCTATGGAGCAGCGATGAAGGTGATCAATCTTTGTTACCGATGTTAAAATACTTAAGTGATTGTCGTCTTACAGAAGAAGTTTTAAAACAAGTGATGGACGATCAAAAACTATGTGATCAAGTTAACATACATTTCTCAGATAAACAACTTCGCAAACTACGCCTACTAGCCGGCTTCAATGATATAACCATCCAAGATGCACTCACTGCTTACATCATTTTAACACTTAATATCCATTGTTATTCGAATGAAGATCCACAATATATTCTACGCACAAGTACATTCGTCAATATTCGAGGTGTTTCAGATTCGATCGCTCCAGCTGGTCTTGTTGCTAATGGCATCTTTATTATGTTGTCCGATGATTTCGTTGATCCACTATCGTTCTCGAATATTACAAAAACGATTCGCCAATCTATTGTTTGATCACGTGATTCAAAATTCCTCGAGTCTTGTTTGGCAACTGCCGATGGGTTAATGAGATGTATGTTACATAATAAGCAGTTAGCCAATATGGTTTTATTCTCTAACAACATTTTTGTTCATTCAAATCATAGATATGATTGGGCAAATCTTGTTGATTTTGGTTATACCGACAAATGCCGTTTTTATACAGGATGGACAGGTAGATTGTATTTACGCGTATTCCGTCTCAATCCTGTTCATGATAGTACACAATGGAAAATAAGAGACTGAGATGGCGTCGAAGTGGCATTTCTCATCGAAAAGGACATGAAGGGAAAATTTATTAAAGCATGGCAAAAAGACATCAATGAAAACTTTGATAATGTGCAACAATGAAAATATATTACATCGTATAATAATAAACTTTTGTAATCATTCTGAATAGTAAAATTGATAATAAAAGCGGTCATTCTTCAAGCCACTATTCAAATGAACATAGCACTGATTCTCGTGTACAATAGGAAGTTTATCCTTTTGCGAGTACATATACTATGTCCTAACTACAAAAATATAATCTATCTTATAAGTAGGGACACAAAAATTAAGCCATGGAGACAGTTGAATCCAATTAATTGAATGTAAAGAGTAGAGAATAATTTAGAGTTCAGTTTAAGAATACAAATGATCAGTACGATTAAATGTTATATCTATTTGTGGATCTCATAAAACGAAATCGCCCGTTGTTTCTGCAATTATCAGTAGAAATCGAATATTCTCATTATTCACTCATGTGTTCATAAGTAACAAGTATTTGACTTCTGGTCATTTGAATTTGTAATCTATTAGTCATAGTTAAATTCATTTTTTACATTCATTTGCTCACGATATTTGATCAGCAAGCAAACCATGAAAATGTTATCCCGAATGTAATCATGTTGTTTTTATTCTCAAAAATTAATTTAATTGTACGAGAGAAATTATTTTAAAACGTTTGATAAACAGCCTACAAATTGAGATTGAGAGACGCTGGTAAATCTCTCTAGTTGAATTCAATAAATCGTTCTGTTTTAGGAGCGACAAGATTTCCTTCAAAATCCAAAATAAACTAGGAAATTTCAACAAATTAATTAATTTTAGATTCAGAGTTCTAATGTTCTCTTCAGACGACTATTTTCAGTCGAGAAATAGTGCAAATAAATGTAAATAATTTTCTTCAATTATATGTAGTTAATTTAGAAAAATTGATCCAAATATTTAAGAATTTTTTATATATGGTAATATACTACATCATCAATATTCTTGTTTCTTGCTAAATATTAAAATTTTTATGGAATCATGTTATTACATCAACTATTTATTCATCGTAAATTTAATGCCATTACTCAGTTTCAACATACAAATAACAACAAAATAGTTATGAAATAAGTTATATGCTTGTTTTTTTCTCTTCTCACATGTATTCCTTTTTTTATTACTTATGAAAATTCCTGTACTATATACTAAATGTATTCATTGATCAGTAAAATCATGAGCAGAAATTTTGCCTGAAATAAACTAATAATTTTAAGATATCTAATTTTAGACTTCATGTCTTTTTAATAAGAAAACCCTGCCCTAAAAGAGACTTTTTAGAGGGTATTTCATGATCACGCATAATACAAGATAGAAAATCGTTGAATATGTAGGTCTCCCACGCTAATTACATTTGTCCGCATCACGCTTTTTAAGAAACTAATCACACCATTCTTTCTTTTTTTGTAGATGATCAAAAAAAACCTCATTTTTATAATCATACAATCAATGTCCTGTTGCCATAATCATAGAAAAAATGAAAAAAAATGTACGTAAAAAGATAAAGTTTATTATTGGTCCGTATTAGATAATTAGAAATTTCCCTGTAAACTGACTTTTATCTATATACATGAATATCTGTGACATTTCGGTAAGCAACTCATCTTCTTTTGGAAATGATGATTAGAAAATTTGTTACTTTTGATATATTCTCAGCATAATCATCTCAAATAGCGGCTCAATCTGTTTAATGTTGTCGAAAAATTATTATAATAATCATCAGGTTGTATTGTAAATGGAACTCGTGTGACTGCTTTTTTAAATTAGAAGATCACTTAAACATGAAAATGCCTGATGATAGAATTTGGTCTTATTTTTTCCTCGATGATATCATTCTACAGTATATGCTTGACTTACAACATTCACAAAATACAAAAATTCTTGTGAAAAATATTGAGAATAAAGAATATATGATAATTATTTTACTGTTGATGATAGGATCTAGTTTTATTTTTTTTAAGCGAAGAATGATTTTCTACAAGTAAATTGCGAATAGTAGTGACATAAATCTACAGATGCTTACTTTTTAGAACAATACTAATGAGATGTTTTCCTAGTAATCCATTCTTTTATTCAACTATTTGTATTGACGTATGTATATGCCAACCGATGCACTGCTAACGAGCAATACATATTAATTTCAATAAAAGACTGAAATGTCTCTGAGTATTTTTAAATGAATAAATGAATAAATGTAATATATAAAGTGAATATTTTGAATTTTTGTTCTATATGACATGTATGCATAAAATTTACTGATTTCACTTGACTCAATGTTCATTTAGTTGATCAATTAAAATCATTTTAATGCGTTGCAAAACACAAATATTCGTTTCACATGTTTCTATTACATAAAAACTTGTTTCATTTTATTTATTCTTTTCACTGATTATGTTCCTATGTTTACTCTCTAAATAATCGCATTTTTAGTTAAATGTGTCTATGTTCATTTGTGAACGCTCACACCGGTAGTCACACGTCTATGTCAATGTACATTTGTTCCTCATGATGGATAGACAGAAAGCCTGACTGTCATCATCGTCGTGGATCAATAGTGTCATAAGACGATCAACACGATTGAGCAAAGGACATTGCAACAAAAAGTCGTCTTCTTTTTTTTTCCTTCGTCTAATGTATTTTCACACTTTACGAAAAATAAATGAAAACAGAAGAAGATAGTAGAAGTGTTGTTGATTCAGTAAAATGACACAAAAATATTCCCAGTTCACTGATGAAACGTTTATGTTCATGTTTGATCTCAGCGGTGCCATCATTCTTTTTCCAATTTCCTCTTCAAAATAGAATTGAAATTTTTTTTCTTCTCTAATAGATTTATAAAAAAAATTTAACGAAATGAAAAAAGATGTTATGCTTTATTGGTGAATATATTTACAATAGGAACAAACTTAGATGTGATGTGGTTTTTTAACACTGATTAAATCAACTAAATTTGTGTCTCTTGTGAATGAATTTTCACATAGTCATATCATAGACAAGATTACTTTTCACTTTTACTTCATTTACTTGCTGGTGATTTTCATGAAGGGCGTTCAAATAAGCAGATGATAATACATTCTATATCATTGCATTCATTCGTAGTAAAATTTCAGACAACTCCAAAAAAAAAGAAAATAACGAAGAGGTGGAGCAATGTACTTGCTTTCTTGCTGTGTTTCAGTTGACTGCACTAAACAAATTATCGAATATATTAGACAGTTTGACTAGAGAAACATCATGTTTTATTAATCAGTAGATGATAATAATACAATCCGATATATTCCACTTCTATTTGTCTTAAGGCTATTTCATCCATCTTCAATGATTTAATGCGATACCAAATATATATATATATATATATCCTTATTTATTTGTTGTAATATAGCGTTGGTTATGATACGAATAACATTGATTCTATGTAAATTCTTAATCGAAAAAATCAAACTAAAATCGGCTAGCTCTTCATAAAATAGACTGAAACAATTGAAGTAAATAGTTGAGTATGAGTCAACTATAAACGATGACAAACATAAAATGACTTATCACGAACAGTCTTTTTAACTTGATGCGACAAGCACAACATAGTAAAATTCTCTCATATTCGATTTCCGTTTGAATGTCGGCATCTGTTCAATGTTGTTTTGTGAATTCATCAAACGAATCTATGCACGTGTCTTTCTCTTGTACGTGTTAATCAAATCCTCTCGTAAAGCTCATCATTTGATAAATATCGAAGTAAAAAAAGAAGAAAAAAATGTTGAATTGCACTGTATGTTGAAATATTTTATGAGAATGACGACCGCCTGTTGTGTTCAGTTGACCTTGTATCCACATCGATTGATTGAATGATTAGTATGTATTGTTCATCAACGTACAATATTGTTGTAGTCATCTGTCAATCAGCCGTGATGCAAGAGCAATTTAGTATTTATTTGCCGCTCGTATACGCACCTTTAGTTTCTTATAAAAGTCTAACACGTGCCACAATCATTGCTTTCTTCTTGTTCATTGAAGTGAATTTTTAATAGGGCATTATTTACACTTGAACGTTAAGGTATTTCCTCCATCTTCTTTTCTTTGTATGAAACAACAAAGGAGAATGCTTATTATTTCTTTCTACAGATCAAACGTCTTTTTTCTCAAGAAGAAAATCATCGTCGTCATCGTCGTCATCATCATCATCATCATGGCCATTATTATAATATAGGGCAAACAGCTAGCCTAATTAGCTCTGCCATCTACTCATGCGCTTGAAAATAAATCACCTGCATCGTCGCGTGCGCACGAAACTAATATTTGATGGGCAGGGCATTTTTCATATTGACATGATATCGATAATAATGATCGATAGCAATGTAGATTATGCAATTGAAAAAGAAACGAAAGACGATTAACTCCTATGTACATATGTACGTTTGTGCATATGTACGTATTACGATTGGATGATAAATAAATGTACATGTCAATAGATGGGAAAGAGAAAGTTAATTAAATCAATGCCAACGATTTCATGTATAATTTAAAAGTAGTACTGCATAATAATTTTTAATTTCTACATTTTACTTAAGTATATTTTAAACTTAATTTTTTTTATTAATAAAATAATTGTATGCCATTGATTATTCTATCGAAGAAAGCTCTAAATTCGTCTTTTGTTAATCAATGACATCAATAAACTAAAAGAAAAAAAAGACCTCGAAGATGTTATTGACATTCCACGCACAAATAACGAAGCTTCTTGATTGGCGCCGGATATGTCTCTCATTACGTATGCAGCTTGAAGACGTCACTCTTCCACCTACATTATCATTTCTTGTTAATTTACATTTGCTTTCTATATCTACATTTTTATATTGACAATGATGTTTTTCTCTCTTCTCTGCGAATCTCTACTCATCTCATCAACCTGTTATTTTTATATTGAATTGTTGCATTAGATTTTACGCACCTGAGAGCATAAAATATACTATGCTTTGTTCGTCACATCAATCTCTAATGGACTGCGCACAACATTAACGTCGCAACTCACTGCATGCCGGAAGTCAATTTTCTCTGCATACACATACATGCAGACTTTTGTCTGTGTTTCCAAACACACATATGCCAGAGGATAGATAGTAGTTAGAGAAGGCAAAAAAAATTTAAAAAGCAGTGCAACCAACGAACTAGTCTACAGGAAATAACTACTGATGCTTGAACTTTGTGTAGTAAAGACGAGACAACATGAGCATAGCATAGAAGAAAAAAATAGCAAAAGAAGAAAAAGAGAGACGGCTACTTCCGTTGTCGTTCAAAAAGAAATGAACAAAAGACGATAGTCTGTGCGAGACCAACTTTTATTTTGAATCAACGAAGAACTTATAGAATATATATATAGACAAAAAAAAATATTCTCACGTAGAACCTTGTCATTTGTCATCTTTATATAAATATTACACCCACACCCAATCGTTCTTTTTTTCTTCTTCTTCTTCTTCCTTACATTAATTCGATGTTCAACGAGAAAGAGAATGAGCACACGAACACGTAGATAGGCTCATCTTAATAGAACAAGAGCTATTGTGATTGGTGGAAATTTTTCATTGGCCGCACAGACATACAGAAAGGCACAAATGTATACACTGATGAAATGATTTTTTTTTCATAAAAAAAAGAGAGAAAAAGAGAGACGGAAAAGCCTCAGTTCCTGCTTCCTTCTGCTCCTCATTCGTCATTGCTACTTGAACGTTGTCGTCAACTTCCACGAAGAAATCTAACGGCAGCGACAACGGAGATTCAATCTCTCTTAATCGTCCATTGCATTTCCGTAAAAAGTTCTTTTCTCTGTCGGCCGTCGACACAATTTCAAGGAAGTCCGGGACTTAAAGGCGTCCTTTTTTCCTCGTCCGTCCCACAACTACATATACACATATACATAACAAAATCGACACATCATGCTCACTGGTAAGCGAGTCGTTCTAGTGCAAGGAAGCCGAGATTTCCGTCTCCCTTCAGTTCGGTCCATGCATTTATGTATATGCACGAGCAGGAATCGAAGTTTTTCCGTTTTGAAAAAAAGAAGAAGCAGAAGAAGAAGAAGAAGAAGAAAATATGAGAACATTGATTCGTCTCATTCTAGTTATGCCAAACTAATATGTTTCATAGATATTTTCGAGTCGAATTGAATCATGAGAAAAAAAAACGATAATACAACGAGTCGATTACATCCGTTGAAGGAAAAGAAGAAGAAGGAAGGAATAGCAAAAAATATTTATTTTAATATTAGTTACAAGATCATTTTCAATTATTTTACATTATAGAACCATCAAAGCATGCATGGACATCTTTAGGTATCGGTGGTACAATATCTAACATTTCCGATAGTTGTAAGTTTTTCTTTTTGTCTTTATTTTACATTAGAAATTTACAGGAAGCATAACATTTGAAGAAGAAAAGAAAACACAGCAGTATTTCTCTTTACTTTTTAGCTTATTTCAAGTGTCGATAAAGATTAGAGGAATACTTGAAAGATTTGCGCACAAATCATTAAAAATTACAAACTTTTCCTCTTTTTTTTGTTTCTAGTTAACATATGTTTTGCTGCTAAAAATAGATTAGTGATAAATTTTAAAAAGTCGAGCCTTTTGCAATTAGATTTTCATTAAACAATTGTTCATTTTATTCAAAGAAAAGAACTAAAGAGGAGATGTCGTTCTCGTTCTCATTCTTTATTTTGTGACTTGCAATTACCAATCGTTTGTTCTTCGATTAGTCACTTTAATGAAATAATCAAATCGATTATAAATCAAAGGCTTGATTGCTATAGTTAGTAGTTCATCATGTTTATTTTATTTTAGTTGGCTATCACACAACCACAACTCCCTCGTCTACATCATCATCAACTTCATCAACAAATGCTGGTGGTGGCGGTTCTAGACTAAAACACGAATATGAAAATGGATCTGGACGTGGAAATGGTGCGAATGACTCTAATTCCAATACAGGCCAACAACAACAGCAGCAGCAGCAGCAACAACAACAACAACAGCAACTACAACTACAACAACAGCAACAACAACAACAACAACAACAACAACAACAACAACAACAACAACAGTCATCTTCTTGGTCATCATTAGTTAAATCAGAGTCACCACATGGATTGAGAGGTAAATCAAATACTTTAAAAAGAAAATTTTTTAACTGGGAATTTTTTTCTCTTGCTTAGATCCTTATTCAACATTTGCGAGTCAATCTTTTTTTCCTCACAATGGTCACCGATTCGGTAGTGGAGCAGCTGGTAAATAATTCTATTGATAATTCATAATTCGCATAAATATTGTTTATATATTTTTACTTATAGGTACAGGTCAAATACAATTATGGCAATTTTTACTTGAACTTTTGGCTGATGCAAGTGCAAATTCAAATATTATTGCGTGGGAAGGTTCGAACGGTGAATTTAAATTAATTGATCCAGATGAAGTTGCACGTCGGTGGGGTGAGCGCAAATCTAAACCAAATATGAATTATGATAAATTATCTCGTGCATTACGTTATTATTACGATAAAAATATTATGACCAAAGTTCATGGTAAACGTTATGCCTACAAGTTTGATTTTAATGGTTTACATCAATTAAATCAACCGCAATTATCTGAATCTCCATACACAAAATATCAACAAGAAATGATGCGTTCATCACATGCACATGCTGCTTATTTTAAATGGAGTGCCTTAAGTTCAGCGGCAGCAACAACATCAGCTGTTCATATGCCACATCATCATCATCCAACAACAGCCGCTGCTGCTGCGTCAACAGCATATACAAACTATTGGAATCATCCAAGTACATATGACTATGCAACAAATTTTGCTACACCTAATCCATATCTTTCAACATCTTATTGGGTTAGTCCAACAGCAAGTACAACATCAAATGGAACAGGGGGACTATCAGGCACAAGCACAGCATCTACTACTATCTCACCATCATTACCTTACTAAAATAAACGAAAAAAATGAAACATCTTATTGTTCTTTTGTATACTATTTCTTTTCTTCTTTTTTTTTTTGAGTGAATTAAAAAGTCACACACTATTATTAGCACATTGTCTTGATGATAACATTATCGCATCTGGACAAAAAACATCTGCATAGATTCGTGAGAATAACTGTCTACCTAGTAAAAAATTCACTTAGCATAAATAATGACCTATCGAATATATGTTTTTTTTGTTGTTAATATCCATAAAATCAATTGATTATACTTTCACCTTCTGCTTGGTTTTTTTTAAACATTTCGATTCGGATATAAAAACTGTTTTTCATTTCCTTTATTTTACATAATGCTTATATTATTAAAAGATCAGTAATCAATTGAAATTCAAGTGTATTGCTATTCTGTTGAAGTCAAACAGTGTTAACGACACGATTGAATTATGCGATTCGATTGAAGATAGAAAAGAAACGGAAATGTATGACAAAAAAAGAAAACGTTTCATATCTGACTGGAATCATCAAACAAAACGAAAAAAAGGCATAGAAAAAATGATTAATACAATATACATATTCTTTGTGTCTTGAAGCAGCTGCTGCCATATGTTACGCATAAAAACTAAAGAATAGTAAAGAGACGAAATTTAATATATTAAGTATTTTTTTCTTTTTTCATCTTCTAAAACATATATCAATAGTATTATGGTGTATATCATACAACTTTCGCCTAGAATTTTAGTGTTCTTCATTTTATTCATCTTCGTCATTAGTTCCATTGAAGAACAATTGCATAAAAATCATTCTGGTAAGTTCATAAAGATGAACACTCAAAATTTTCTACGTATCATTTCTATCATTCAATATAAAATTTGTCTAGCGACAACAATCAATACTAAAAACAAACTCTTTATCTCAGTGATTATTTGTCTGTTACTATTAAAATCTTGATGCGTGAAAACTTTCAATTCAGAAATCGTCAATTTTTATGGCTAATATACAGATTTATTTTTGTGTTAGTCACACGTGAGAATCTCTCTGTGAAGTTTTTATTTTTTGGACTTTGTTTTGAAGTCTTTGAAGTAGTATTTATGTTTTCCTTACTATCTATTCTATCGAGAATGAACTTAATTCTATGCAAGAGTAACTATGTTTACTAGACTATTTATATAACTTCTATATTGATAAAAAAAATTAATTTTTAAAGTTGCACTTTTCCGTCCAATGTAGAACTCTAAATTTCAGTTTGGGATACTTAACAAAGAGATTGAAGTCTATTGCATTAATCACAACTATATTGAGAAATATGCTTATCTTTTCAGAAATTAATCTTCATTCGAACAATACTGTTGCGAATAATTCATCGTTATCAAATACATTAGAAAATATTGAAAATTCAACGAGTAAATTTTTATCTTTATCTGAATTTCTAATATTCAATACTCTATTAGTTGCCAACACATCAACGAATAGTACAATCGAAACTGTAGTTAAACCATTATTAGTATCACACACAGCTAGTAAACCTGAAACGAATGCAGCAGTAGCATCATTGAGATCTATCGTCAATCAAATGAATTCTTATCGTCATAATGATATACTCTTCCGTATAAAACATTGTGATTCAAATATGAAACTTAGCGATATTTGTGAAACATACACAGTCGATAACACTACAAATTTATTGATACGCCAATCAAATATTGATTTTCAAACATTACAACATGTTTCTAATGTTCTTGTGGACCGAATTGTTGTACAAAAACTAAGTCAACTTTGCTTGTCGACTGATTCGTACTTGACGAATTTATCTGAAAGTAATATTCGCATTACTCATGATATTGTACGAGAACGGGGAAATTCATTTTGTTCGCTGCAACAATGCCATTCACGACTTCAAATATTTGTTGAAACATGTCCCACACTTTCGAATAAAGTGAAATAATCAATCAAATCTAGTTTGTACAAACTCTTCTTTAAATTTAGAATGTTAGCATAACAACATTAGAATTGTTACCAATGTTATGTGCGCTTCATAATGAACAAATTTGGAGTTCAGCTCAGTGTACAAAAGCAATAGTCTATCTTCTTCATATAGTTTACGCTTTTTGGGCTCAAGTTGAGGTAATTTCTTTGCGATGTCTACCCATCGAGTGTTTAAAAAAAAGAAAAATTTAGCAATGCCACAATAATATTTCCAATGGTTTTGATGGCTGTACACCTGAATGTCAAACACTAGATAATGTTTTGAACAAAGTGAAAACTCAGTGTGTCGGCGATGGATCTTTTTTATCTCAGTAAGCAGAAGAAAAGTGGTATTGCTTAGATACGTAGAAGTAACTTTTGTTTTCGATTAAAGAGTACCTGCTTTAGGTTTGTATCAATCGATTAATTTAAAAGAAATATGCCGCCACAACAATATTTTTAGAAGACCACAATTCATCTATTCAGTAAGATTCAATCAGTTGAAAGAATGATATACCTTTATGTTTAAATGTTCTAGGTAGAGAAGTTCTTCTCTTCAAATCTATTTTGGAATCAATTTCATGGAAAACCTATCTATACTGTTTTATTTATGATTGTAATCGTTTTAAGTGTGTTCAGTTTTTCCTTATGTTTTTATTTTATGTTGAAAAATCGTTTCAAGTCAAATAAACGACGACTAGGCAATGATAATTATGAATATACTCGATTCCATGATTCATCGTTTGAACTTGGAGCGAATACTGAAAGTAAGTATAGACATCAATATGAATTCACTGATTTTATTTGTATCTCGTATCTTTTTCGCCTTAGTTTCAAATGCAAGTGCAGCATCAAATTCGACGATGACAAGTAATGAAATCGAATTTGGTGCAAATGATCGTTTTGATTCTTTTGAATATCATCGGTTATTACGTGAAGAATCATGAACCAATGAAAACAAAACTGAGAAGATAGTTTTTTGCTTCATTATTTTATTTTTCGAGGAATAAATGATATGATTCTTTCTTGTATACTTAAAAAGTTTCAATGATGAATAAAAAGTTGTTCTTACTTAATTGAAATACTTGACATACGAACTGTAATTATCTTGTCTCCATCACAATATAACGTAAATCTTTACTGAAGTTAGCAATGATTGTCAATAAGAAACTCACCAGCCATGCATGATTAAAAACAATCTCTGAACTTTGGTCGACAGTAAAATGCCGAAAAAACGAAAAAGTAAAAATATCGAAAACTGAGTAGGTATTCATGAAAAATGTCGTGTTCAGAATTGATTCATTATTAAAAGAAATTGTCCCTTATTCGAAGTAATGAAATTTAAATCACTGTTGATGTTGCGTATCGATTCTGTGGCGGCTTCCATATGTGTATTTATCACTAGAATAATGAATAATTGAAGAATAATTTTCGTATTCTTTTCTATTACATTGAACTAAGTGCCCAATGTCTGATAGACCAAGGATAAATTTAAACTAACATAAGTCACCATCGATCCTACAAGTAGTGACGGATCCAGAAAATCTGTTAGGGGGTGGCGCTCCTGGCCAAAACACGGTTTTTCAAGTCTAGTTGAGACAGAACGACTATTGTCTGTTTCATTTCTGCTGGAAAAAATCGAAAACGTTTTTTAAGGGGGGCGGCGATGGCCGGGCAGCCTAACTGGTAGATCCGCCACTGTCTGCAATAATAACATATTCATCGAATATCTTTCAAAACACTCATTCTTTTAGATTTTTTAATTTTATTTTTATAAATTTTTTTCGACATTTTGCACTTTCGACATTTTTACTGTCGCCCAAGTTGAGCTTACCGAAATAACTTGAAACAATAAAAGCTTTGGCATATTAACCAACGTTTTGTGCTATGATTAACTAATATTTTTAAAACTCTTTTCTGTAGGTGTGATGTCAGACGTTCATAACAGCAGTTCAAGTATAAATACAGTAAGGTCCAATTATGGCTCAAAAAATATTCTGCAACTAATTACATGGTAAATATATCTCTATACTTTCAAAAATGAATCGGTTCATAACTTTCCTTCAGTCCAATTTGCCTTGAAGTTTTTCGTGAACCAATACAATTACCGTGTCAACATAATTTTTGTAAATCGTGTCTTGAAAGAATTACAGTAGACCGCTGGAGTCGATGTAAGATATGTATGTTCTTGATAAATTGAATAAGAAATATTTTGCATTTCAGGTCCTGTATGTCGAGGATGCTATCGAGTACCATTCGCAGGTGTTGCTTCATTTGAAGTCAATCGAACAATTATTAATTTGCTTGAGAACCATTCATATGCTGAATCAAGACCTATGCTTCAAGCTAAATGTGCCCTTTGTAAATTAGAGGATACAATCACTGTAAATAGTTTTTATCGAGATATTTTCTTTATTGAAAATATTCTTTGGCTTTCATACAGATATGTGAACACTGCCGTGAAGCAATATGTTGTAAGTGTCGTCGAGAACATTATGACGAATTTCGCAAATATATTTGTTTAAAATTAAATGAAACTCAACAACAAGCAGAAAAATTAATCGCTAAAGAAGGTAAAATTAAAGAAATAAATGGATCTTTTCTTCATTAATAAAAAAATGATTTTAATTATTTAAGTTGAACATATAAACAAACATGAAGAAAATGTTCATCATTCGAACGATATTTCGAATACTATTCGTCATAAAGTTACTGAACTTATAGATAAAATAAAACAAGAAGAGAAAAAATTGCTTCTTAGTTTACAAGAATTTAATCATGCTGAAGAAAAGTGAATATCATCACTTTCTCCATATTAATAATTTATTTTACATGTCAATCTTCTTTGTTCTTTACTTTTAAAGGCTGTTAAAAGAAAACAATAGTCGATTTCAAGATCTTACAAACATTAAAACATTCTGTTGTAACTCTCAAGAAAAACTAAACAGGTAGATATATAAATATTTAACGACAAAGTTATATTGTAGAGATACTATTCCTCATTTTAGTAAAGTTGAAACAGATCAAGAAGCTATTGAAATTCGGCAAAAATGTGAAGATTGTGTTATTAATATAGATAATCTACAAAATCAAATACTTGCCGTTAAAGTGCCACGCCATCGAGTAAGTCACACGCAAAGAAAGAAAATATAACACATAAACATGAACTCTATTATTATAGATTTCATTTTTTAATCAAGACATATCATTTGATGCTATTTCATTGGGTTTTGTTGAAATAGCAACGGAACTTGAGCCAATTGAAAGTTCTATTCAACTTTCATCGTTAAAAACTTGTCCCATCGATAAAAATGTACAACATTGTTCAAAAAATCTAATTCATTGTTTGACTAGTACATTACAACATCAAAGGGAATTTTCAAGTCCATCAATAACGGGTGACAACAGATGTTATTCATCATCGAAAAATCATAAACGAACACCGCGTATTATTGGTAAACGAGGCACGAATGATACAGAATTCAATCATCCCTCGTCGTTAGCTTACTCAAAACGAGATAAAGTGATTTGTAAATTATAAAGAGAAAGTATATCTTTTTTCATGTCTAATATTTTTTCTTTTGATCTAGATGTATGTGACACATATAATAATCGTCTTGTTACATATGGGATTGATGGTACATTTCATCAAGTTTATAAAGCTACAAGTGAAACAGGTGAAAAACGGTTTCATCATCCATATGCTATTCATATTGATTCTAATAATCGTCTCTATATAATTGATCAATCTGAACGTCGAATAAAAGTTTTCAATCGTGATTTTAAATTAATTCGCGTTATTGGACAATATGGTCATGGTGTTGGTCAGTATTTGACTCCATGCGATTTATGCACAAATGAACAAAAGAATATATTTGTATGTGATGCTGGTGGTCATCGAATATTAAAATATAATGAACAAGGAGAATTTCTTCTTTCTTGGGGTGAGCTTGGCACTAACAATGGACAATTTAAATGTCCAGCTTGTGTTTGTATATTAAACGGTGATCGTTTAGCTGTAACTGACTGGGGAAATGATCGAATACAAATATTTAATACTGATGGAGATCATTTATTATCGATTGGTTATCGTGGTAAACTTTTGGCAGAATTTTCACGCCCACTCGGTTTAACATACGATGAAACAACTGAGAGATTATTTGTTTGTGATGAAGGAAATGATCGTGTGATGATATTTAATCATGATTTTAGCATAATCGAACTTGTGAATTCGAAAATAGGTTTTAATGGGCCCTATGATATCGTATTACTGAAAGATGGTCGAATAATCATATGTGAACATCGAGCACATCGCCTACAAATAATTTAAGTCCGATGTGCGAATAAGATTTTGTATGTTTGCTTATAAATCTTTTTGTTTCTTTCTTTTTTAACATATAATTATACAATTTAATACAAGTCATATCTGAAAATATTAGTTCAAATATGTTATTTTACATGAGATCTATTAACGGGCCTAAAAATCAAGTAAAATGTTTAATTTTCGAATAATACGTTTCCACTATGGTCAAAGTTTCGCTGATAAAAAGCATTTCAGATTAATACACATTCTAAACATATAGTTGCATCCAAAAATTGATCTTACGTACTTCATAGATAAAAATATAACGATATATTAGAATTAGAGAACTTTTATTTCATTCTTTTGAATGAACGGAAGTATCTTTTAAATGTCTTTTCATTGTAAATGATAAAATACGAAATATCATGTCCAGCTATATCTATTATTCTGGTAAATATTCAATGTTGAACCTTATTGCATTTATATACTATTTTTATTGAAAACTATATATCATATTTATGTTTTAAAAATGGTTTTATTTTACTGCTTTCCTTATCGTTCTATATAGTACGAATTTTATTAATTGATCCTCGTCACATTGGTTCGTACAAAAGTAAATGAAACTTTTTGTTGGTATTTTTTATGTAAACCGTTCAAACTAAATCTTTTATAAATACAATTTTTAAAAGTTTGAATTTTCAGTTACAAAATAAAATTATTAATTCATAGCCAGTATTTTACAAGCTTGTTCAATAGTTTGATTAACAATAGTCGTTGCTGATTGATTTTCACATCTCGCATAATTCTGTCCAGCCCATAATTGCATAAAATCAATTTGTTTTGTTTCAGCAGCAAATTTACATACAGGTAATAAAAGTTGTGATTGTATTTGCCATGGTAACAGAACTTTTTCTTTATTTTCACTAGCACGAAAATGATCAGTAATAGCTGTTTGTATACCACGTGCTGGTTTTCCAGTATAAGCACGTGTTAACACAGTTGGACGAAGATTATTAATATCATTTTTAGCTTCAAGTAACAGTTTTCTATGTGCCTCAGGAACAAGTTTAATACTTTCATCACATGTTAAAAATCGAGTACCCATCTGAACACCTGAAGCACCTGACCTTATTGCATTAGCTAAACCGATACCATCCATAATTCCACCAGCAGCAATCAATGGATATACAGTTGGATCAATAAATTGTGTTGTTTGAGAAAGAAGAGATTGTAATCCAATAGTAGATTGTTCAATAGTTTCAATATCATTTGTAAGAAAACTACCTCGATGACCACCAGCTTCCGAACCTTGTAAACATATTGCATCGCATCCTCTATGTTGTAAGAAGACAGCTTCTTTTGTTGTTGTTGCTGTTCCAATTAATTTTATGCCCAATTGTTTACACTTGTTTATAATATCATCTGATAGACATCCGAATGTAAACGAAAGTACCGATACTTTTTCACTTAGAACAATTTCAATCTGTTCTGAAAAAATATCTTTAGTTAACTTTACTGGAATTGAATCTATGTCAATGCTAAAATTTTTTAATCTTTTATTGACTATTAACTTTTTTAATTCTTTTCGTACAGAATCAATTTCGTGAGGTAAGATGTCAGATTGTATTGATGGAATAAATAGATTAACACCAAATAGTTTATTAGTTAATGAACGTACATGATGTATTTCATCTTTTAATTCTTCACTACTCATTCGTGCCCCAGCTATTGTACCCATACCACCTGCATTAGATACACTAGCAACAAGCTCTGGCGTTGTTAATGGTGACATAGGTGCTTGAATGAGAGGATATTCAATACTCAATAATCGTGTTATCAGATTTTTTGAAAACATCTACAATCATCATTTTCCTTTAAAGAGAAATAAAGCCCAACAAAGTAGCATTAAAAGATTAAACAGTAAAAGAAATGAAAACAGCACACCAAAATTTTAAATTTTAAAATGTCGTCAAATATTATAAATTAACCAAGCCATTACCATGCATATTATTGATTGATTGATGATGAATAAATAAATTGATGTTTACCATTTAGAACGAGTCTTTTGGAGTAAAGAAATACGCAAGTGAAACATAAATGATAAACACAAGAAATAATACAGCAGCAAACATCCATATGATTTTCTAAAACAACAGAAAGAAAATCAGATAATGCATTAAACATTCGATTTCTCAATAAGTGAAATAATTGCTAGAATGAACTCAAAAATATAGATCACCATCAAAGTGATGCAAGCTCAAGTTTACTAAAAACAGAGTAACTCCGAAATTTTTTCTTTCAATTGAAAAGATTTAAAAATTCTATTTTCATTACGTCTCTATTAACCATATACATAAATAATAATCTAACCTTCCAATACGATACAGTTTCTTGTTCAGATTTCAGCCGTTTTATTTCGCGACGATGTTCAGTTGTAATCTTTTTTTCTTGTCGACCTATTGTAAAATAACACAATTAAAAATATAGCACAAATCAACAAAACAAAAAATACGCACCTAATTCTTTTCGAAATCGATCAACAGCTGATGTCGTATTGCCAGTTTCATTCTTTCGACCCATTTTATAATTCACACTTATTACTTACAAATAAAACATCTAAAATTATCAAATCCCATTCAGCATTTGTTATTATCATGCTTGAAAGAAAATCAGTAAATTTGTTTTTTTTTAAATATATTTTTATTTTATTTTTAAAGCATAAGAGATAATTAATCTATTGTTTCACAAAGATTGCAATGAAGAAATTTTGTTATTTGTTTTAAATTAATCACATATCTATTCAAGTGATGTTAACGTTGTTAATTGTTTTAAAACTTTGATTTGACTTGTTTCTCGAATTTCACCAGCTAAAAACATTTCATCAACAACTGAATAAACCTAAAAATCCGAATAACTGTGAAGAAAAATTCTTTTTGTAAAACTTTCTCACATACTTTATAGAAATTGAAGACTAAATCAAGTTCGCATACATTATGAAAAAATCTTAAGAGAAAGAATAATAGAAAGTTTATTCAATGATTGAAATTTTCCTTTAACTCACTCGTTAAGAACTTCAACAAAATTATGTATTGCTTCAAGATAAGCTAAATTATTATCATTGACATCAACACATATACAAAAATATAAACCCGCATAACGACGATAGACAATTTTAAAATTACGAAACTAATAAATTCAAATGAATATAAAGAAAAAAAACAGAATCAATCATCTTACTTCGACAAAACTAAACAAATAAAAAGTTAATTTTAAAATAAATTGAATATTGTAAATTACTTTGTATGTTTAGCATCTCGTACTGTAACTAATGCATGAACTTCCTCGATTAATTTTTGTTTTTCATCATCATGAAAGTTCATAAACCTATGAGAAAATGTTTTTTTTTCTCTTCATTTTCAACAGTAATATTTATCTTGATTGAACTTACCATTTGGCTAAACGAGTTTTGCCTGCTCGATTTTGAATAAGAATAAAACGAATCATTTTTCTACAAGATACAAATCTTTATCTAAACAAAACTTAGCAAGTTGTAATCAATCAACTTTTTTTTTATCATTCTTCGTGTACGATCGAAATGGATTGTCATTCAACCAGTATAGAAAGGTTTAGTGAGAGGTCACTATGATGCTGCTGTTGTACCATGAACGACTACAAATCAATTCTATTTTCTGTTTCATGATAGAAACAAGTGGCTCCTTAGTACTGATATCAAATGAAAGCTTCATTTATAATTCTAAACCAGCTCAATTGATGCAATATAGAGTTTTTTCATCCTTGTATTTACTGATATTATCGAACATGTCTGCTACTTTACTTATCATTTGATTATCATTCGTGAATTTTGTTTTCATTTTGATACATCCTTAATAGATTTAAGCTATACGACCAATTAATTCTACTCATGTCCAACTGTTAAATAAAAGCGGATCGTTTTTTCTGATTTACTTGAAACCAACGTTTTAGTTTCGAATTTTTATATTGTCAAATTAAAAGTTTTATTTTTAAAATGAAAAACAGTATTATAATATCATTTTGTTGAGTATTCAAAACAATTTCTTCGTCAATTATTTTTATAATTGTATTTAAACTTTCTTTTATTAATTTTTATCTAAAATAATATCTGTGCACTTAAGAACCATAATAATTTTGTTCAAACAGCATATATATTCATTTCAAATTTATTCAATTGTATCTTCTAATTAAAACTTAATTTAATGATACGTAGCTGTTTAGTTATTAGAAGAATAGTTATTAAATAAAATTGACTCCACTGATAATTCTATAATGAAATATTCGCTGATTTTTCATCTTGTAAACATCGATGGACAAGATCGTTTTCCTAATCAAAATACATGAGAAAATCACACATATCATTGGATATTATTTTGTTTTCTTTATAGACTATACAATATTAAAAAGAACTGATAAAACAGTTACTTATCGCTTATAAGGCAATATTCCTAGGTGTCTAAGCGCTTTTCAGTCGGCAATATTTGTGCATATTGTAGTCCTTAGAGAGCTGTGTCAATGGTAAAAAAAAAGTTCGGGTTTCTGCCTTTTCTCCGGCTACATATCGAGTTTTTAGGGATTTATTTTCTATAGCATAGCATCCTAGTTTGCAGCAAAGTTATATTTTTGAATTTCTATCTGAAACGTGGCTCCCATAAGAGCCTCGTCTAGAGTCTAGACTAGCTTGCATAAAAAATTCTTGAGAAACTTCGGTCAAAGTCTCTCCGAGATATGGAACTGTTTAGATGCCGACCCTTTTTCATAGATACTATATATATAGTATGCATTTTTTCAAATCTTGGTATCTCGGAGAGACGCTGACCGAAACATGTGAAAACTTATATGCAAGTGAGTCTAGTTGAGACTTTTATGTGGGCCACGTTTCAGGTCAAAATTCAAAAAATATAGCTTTGCTACAAAAGTAGGATGCTATGCTATAGAAATAATTCCCTAAAAACTCGGTACCTAGCCTGAGACAAGGCAGAAACCCGAACTATTTTTTACCATAGGCACAACTCACTGAGGGCTACAAGATGCACAAAATTTCGACTGAAAAGCGCTTCGACACCTGGGAATGTTCCCTTATAAGTTGAAAATCAGGTTGATCTACTACAGTTGCTTGTTTTCAACTAGATAACTTTTTTCTTCAATGAAAATTTATTTAGATAAGAGATTGAACTTAAAAACTCTTTTCAGACAAAAAATAAAGATTTAGTCTTTTAAAAACTTTGTTCCGAGTAGCTCATTTTCTTTTTTTTGTTTTAAATAATAAATCCTGAAGAAAATAGTTACATTTTGTATGTGAAAGATACTCGAAGCATAGAATAAATCAACTTCTGTAAAATTTTAAATCTAATGTTGAAAATAAAAAGACTTAAAAAAAGATTATGTTTATCAAAAATGTTCATAATCAACTTGAGATAGATAAAGCGTTGCTAGCAATAGATTTCATAGTTTCCTTCAATGAGACTCAAATAGATTAGTTATTACTTTTTCCTTCATTTCAATCATTTTATTTGATCAATGGAGTACTAAAATAATATTTATATTTTATAAAAGATCAAGAAAGTTATTTATGACGTTATATTCTTTAATGGTCTGATTTAATAAATTAATAATAACAATATTTCATGATTGCCATCTGGAAAATTGTCATTCAACATCTTAATGGTTTACACTAGAAATCATGGATAATCTGATAGAAAGTAATACATATTTTTATATTAATACTAAACTATCTAGAGGAAGTATTAAAAGTGATTCTGAGCTTAATAATTAAATTGAAATTAATTGAATACTTCAAGACTTTAGTAATTCATTATTTTATATATTAAAAATAAAAACAATTTTATTAATCTTTGTTAACTATCATATCGAGCATTCCGATCCATATGAATTAAAATGATGAGTAAAAAGAAAAGTAAGCAGTCGATGTAGCATTTATTCTGATCGACGAATAACATTTAGCCAAATACCATTTTTAGTATTTAAAATTGCTAATTTTCCCAGCTGAAGTGGGGCCTAGAGAACATACCGATGAACAGATTAATTATACTAATAGCATTTTCACCTACTTCTGTTTTTTCACATTTCTGAAATTCTACGATACGAAGTGCCTTAACAATTGCAAGTTTGGCTTCTAACAAAGCGAATCGCATTCCAATGCAATTTCTAAACGTAACATTTAATGAACATTCAACCAATAACAATAACTAAATCAATATGTATTTTACTTACCGAGGTCCATCGCCAAAAGGAAGAAATGACATTGGATGTCGCTTTGCTTTTTCCGCCGGCAAAAATCTACAGAACAATATTAATTTATAAAGTAATAAGGATGGATTACTCGCAAACTTTACCTTTCAGGTATGAATTTTTCTGGATCAGTCCAAAAATCCGGATTATGATGAATTGGGTAAACAGGTACACTGATAATAGAACCTTTTGGTATATGATAATTTCCTAGTTCATAATCATTTGAGGCAACACGCTCAAATCTATTATTGAAATCTATTGATTGATGAAGAGTAAAATCAAAGACACTAACCTAATGAATGGTGGATACATTCGTAATGTCTCATTAATAACCATGTCTAAATAGCGAAGTTGACTAACTTTTTCATAAGTAATTTCATCCTTAAGAAACATATGAAATCTTATTATTTTTCAAGTTCTAAGTTGACCTACATCTCCAAGTTCTTGTCGAATTTCTTCATAAACTTTTTCTTGTATAGTCGGTTCGGTTGCCATAATATAAAAAAAGAATGACATCAATACACTTGTTGTTTCATAGCCAGCAATCATAAAGATAAGGGCTTGCCCAATTATTTCCTTATCGGTCAAAGCTAAAAATTGAAAAGTAAATAAAAGCAAAAGCAAGTTATTTTTGTAAACTTTTCTTAAGTGTTTCCCACTGCTGTTGTTGTGATTCTGTTTCGTCTGCATTTTCTTTTGCTTCCATTAGTTTTTGATCAGCTGTGACTTCTTGTTCATGATCAACCATTATTTGAATGAAATCATTTCGTCTTTCTAAATGTTGCCGACGTCGATTCACAATTTGGTTTACAAGATTTGAAATATAGTTCATAGCATCACGTGGTAGTAGTGAATAACCTTTCTTTCCTAAGTAACTGGCCAATGGAGGTAATATGACTATGAAATAGATATTGAAATGTCAATCAAAAACGAAAGAATTTTTATTTTCATCGAATTACACGTACTAGTAATGTAAATGTATATGTTTGTTAGATCTATCTCGAAGAACTTTCTTAAATGTTTAATTAATGTAACATTTTCATTTTGTAATGAATTCGTGTCAATACCAAATAGACAAGAAGCGATATTATCAAGTGTATATTGTCCATTAAGTCTATTATTTTTTCAATGAAATTGTTGTTGAAAGAAAAATGATGATTAAAATTCACACATACATATTAATATTAAAAATCTCTTGTTTATCAGCATATTCTAGAAGACGTTTATTATAAATATCGCTTACTTCATTCATAAGACTATACATCTGAAGAGAAAGAAGTTTTAAAAGAAAAATCAATAGTATATTGAGGGGTAATATTTACTGCTTTAAGTTTTGCTGTAGAGAATGTTGGTGAAACGATAGATCGAGCATTCTTCCATTGCTCATCTTTTAATACTGTAAGACCGTGTTCCAAAGGACCTGATATATTTTCGATTACCTATCGAGATAAGGGATATTATTAAAATAGTTGAAAAGAAAAAATTCTTTTAGCATTCTAACTCTTCGATTAATAAAAACATGAGAATCTCTAATAAGCACATTTCGAAGAAGATCTAGATCAGACAGAAGAATCAATGGAGTTGTTCCTTCGTAAATTCTAAAAGAAAAAACTTTCAGCATGCTCTACAATGTCTATCAAGTTTTTTCACTTACCCAATAACATTGCCGTATTTTTGAACCAAATCCGAATCGTTCGTTTTGTAGCCCTTAATAAAATAAATTTAAAATCGTGAATATTAAATCAGATAATAAGATAGAGCTCATTACCTTGCGTATAACATTGAAAAGTTCTCCAAAAAATGGAATACGGACTGGACCAGGAATTCCAATTCGACGAAATATATTGTTGGCGCACACTTTGAAGCTAAATTATAAATTATCAAATTCATATTTTGAAATAATACATAAGCGTGACACTATACTCACACATAGTAAGAAAAGATGCCTATGAACACAACCAATAATGTCCAAGTCATTGAGTCACTAAAAAAAAAATAAGTCATTGCTTTGGGTTTAATCTATAATACAGCATAGGAAAACCACTTTGTTCTGGATATACGTATATAGATATTTCTTTTCTATCAGTATCAATAGAGTGAAAATATATTTGTATGTTATTTTGCCACGTTGTTATATATGACGATATTGTCGAGTTCACATTTTCTTTTGTGACTCATATTAGCTGCATTGTTTTTATGTTATTCAAATTTTGACACAAACAATGAAGAACAAAACCTTGTCAGTTGAAAAACAGAGAATAGAAGACACATTCCGAGCAGCTAACTTATAATATTTTCAGGTTATAGCAGTCAACTTCTAAATCTATTCTAAGCTGTCAGTTTCTCCCCTAATTTGATGTTGTTTTTACAATAATAAGTCGCGTCAAAACTATAGAAAATATTGAATGAGTTTCATAAATATTTGTCGTAATTTATTCGAAAGATCACATCAATGATTTTGCATTAAGAGATATATGTAAATTGACTTTCTGTAAAACACAAAATGATAAATTGTGTGAATATTCATAAATACAATCACCACCTTCATCTATTATGTATTGATATTGATCGAGGTTTTTTCTTCATATCTAATAGAGTTGAGTATAAATAAAGGCATCTGTTTTTATGTTTCGAAATGAATTTTCGTAGACTAGTTTCATGCAGTTCGAATAGAAATCTACTTACATTTCGTTTTATTTATTTATTTACATGATTTCATATTTCTTTACGATACTATTTTCGGAACCAAACAAGTTGAAATTATTGTTTTTCTATTAATAAAGGTAGTAGCGATAGGTAAAATATGAGCAACAATTTATTTATCAATGATTAATGGAACGATAAGAGCACTTCTTTTTCTTACAATGCAAAAACTACAAAAAAGCTTTTCTCCTTTTAATGTTACTTATACCTGTCAAAAATAGATATGTATGGCAAGTTAAAATCTACAATAATGTTCGGGTTTCCCATGTAAGTTTCAGCGAGGCAAAAGTACTCATTGATGAAACAAGAAACTGGTTTTAGACTTTTTGTAATTCTTTTTGAAAAGATTCTATTACAATACTCGGTAAAATTTAATTACGAGAATCTCTTTATTTACACATTTCAAATGAATAACGTCATTTTTCTTCGTTTCTTTTTGCTAACCCCTATCTAGAGTATTTTCACCAACCGTATCATTTGCGTTTTTTCTTTTTCATTAATTTGTCCTCGTTTATCTTTTTAGTTCATCATAGAAGTAAAAAGATTGTTGTGATCAATGTGAAAATAAGTCATGTGATTTAAAATCTACTTTTAAGAGAGTTCTTATTATGTATAATTCGCAAATGACCTATTGTTTATCTGATGATTTTGATATAATCATGAAAGTTGATCACATCATAATACTTTTGTATTTATACTGGCGTACGTTTATATGAAGATGGATTTTTTCTAGCAGATGAATTTCAATCTGGTATCGTGTTTGTTTGGAAAATGATCAGATATATAATTTAGATATCGTAGTCATTTTAACACAGTGGTCTGTCTACTAGTAATAAAATGACTAATTTATTTATTTCGCATGATAACTAAAGCGATTTGGAATGAACTTCAACTTTTTTCTGCTAATTTAATTGAGTGTTCATAATAGTCCCTATTTAGTCTATTCTTCTATTTCGCTCGTCGGCATGGATATATGTATATTTATAGAAATGCATGTGTACACACGATCTTTATTTTATAGGAATGAATCAATAATAGCGATAACCTCTATAATACATAACAAGAATGAAAAGAGAAAATACCAAGTGTTATTAAAGAAGCTGAGATAGAAGGTAGAGGAATTAAAGAAAATAATATGATGTTGACGTGTGACATTATCGTAACATATGTATCGAATCACTATTATTATTATTATTATTATTATGTTCATTAGGAGTTGTTAATAATCTTTTTGTTTTTTTGACAATATTGATTTCATTTTGATAATCATCTAAATGCTGAATATTATCATCATCATCATCATCATCATTATCTGCATCTGGTAATTTTCGTTTTAGTGATTGTTTAATTTGTTTAATTTCTCCAATAACGTGACCATCAACAATAATATAATCATCTATATCCTTAATTGTATCTGTATGTTCAAGCATCAATTTAATTTTCATATTTTGCGTTAATGCTTCGTTTGTATCATCATCACAATCTTCTTCGCACAATAAAATCGTTCCATTCATTAATTTAAATTGATCAAGAGTTTTTAACATCATTTGTTCATCTTCATCATCATCAGCTGATATTAAAATTCTTCCACTGCCATCAGCAATGATAACATCTGGTTTGTTCATTTTTAAATGTTTACGTATTACACGTTCATATAATGCAGATACAGTAAATAATGACATATTTATTCGAACACGAACTGGTTGTTCAAGATCACTACATTGTATACATGATGGATTAGGTTCTTCTAATGGTATTGACTGAATAATTCCACCTGTTTTACGATCGGTTGATATAAATACATTTGTAAGATGGCTTATTGATGTTAATGTAGGAGCATGTGATAAACGTGATAGAGTAGCAAGAATTTTTCGTGCTTGTAAAACAGTTATACCAGCAACAATCGCATTTGTTGTTGCTACAGCTGGTATTATATTTCCAGCCATAGATTTGACATCAAATTTACTTGTGAGATTAATACCAAATATATATGCACGCAAATTAGCTGATGCTGTTACAAATCTAAGATCGGCATCATCATTTTTATCCCAAACAAGAAATGTTGGTTCTTTAGTTGTTAAAGCTAATAAAATCAAAATCAAATTTTTGTAAAATTTTTTTAAATATACTTTACCTATTTCGCGTTGTTTGTCAGACCGTTGTTTAAGATCATTTACACTATCAATAAACATTTGAACATAATCACTTATTGATTGAATACGTTGATCAGTAATTTTGGGCATTGTTGACTCATCGTGATCACCTTGTCCATTTTGATTTTTCTCTTTAACTAGGCATGCTTTTCCATATTCCATTGGTATCGGTTGGCGTCGTTTTTCCCATAAATTTTTCATTGATGTTAAATAAATAATATCATCAAAAAATAATTTATTAAATATGCGTTTTGGATCAAATTCTTCCATCTCCTTATGAATCCAATCACGTGTTGATACTCGATGATGTCCATTTGTTTTATTTTCAAGTTCATTATTGGCATTTTCTGGATCATCAGAATCTGGTGTAACATCTTCATTATTTGGATCTTCATTATCACCAAATAATTGATTATAAAGAAATTTAGCCCATACAATGCAATGTATTGGTTGTGATGGTGTGTTACGTATTGTGCATACAGCATATGTTCGTTGTTGTTTAGGTTTTTCTATGCAATCATAACACTGTGTACGACCTTTAAAAATTAATGTTGCTTGTCCATTGTAACCAGTTGAACCACTATCAATTAATGGTTTTGAACATAACAAACACATGCGATTAACATGTTGTCGTGCTTGGACATTATCAAGTGCATTGATAACGAGATCATATTGTTGATAAAATGACATGTCAAATCGTGGATCAGTTAAAACATCACCATGAAATGGTTCAATATGAATAGATGGACAAATACGACGTATACTATCACATGCAACGCTTGCTTTTGGTTGACCAACATGTTCACGACGAAACAAAAATTGCCGATTTAAATTTGATACTTCAATAGTGTCTAGATCAATGACAGCAATTGAACCAAATCGACATAAAGCTAATGATTTTAATAATTCACAACCGATACCACCTGCACCAACAACAAGTACAGAACTTTCTTCAGGTAATTTACCAATTGAATTAATTGAGAGATTAGAATTTTCGCTAGCTGAAGATGAAACAAACATGGTAGCTATCTACAAATAAACAAAATAAACAATGATTAATTAAGACTTGTACGTCTATAGTCTTGTTAGAAAAAAGAAACGTAAGAAAAAGCATCTCCGAAAAATAAAATCGATAGATTGGATGTTATCGTTTTGACGAATCATCTGCGTGGATGTCATATTTTATATATATACATATATATATTTTCAATATAATGAGATCTGAAAAAAAGATGTCACTAGTTTATAAAGATTTGTTTTGTTAAAAATATGAATTTGTGTTCGCATGACAACTAAATAGCTAATTATTTAAAACTATCATGAAATATGTTAAATAATTATCAAAATTTTCAAGGGATTATATTTATTTCATCAACTTTTAGAATTTAATAGGTATCATATGTTTGAAAATCAATGATAAAACTAAATCCGTTCGAGTTCTAATTTTGTTTTGTCATTTCTTTGATCACCTGTATTTATTGTTGATGCAGGTTCGAATAGCAAAACAGTACATTCACCATTATCTGCTTTTGGATTATGTTCAACACCTCGAGGAACGATAAACATATCACCTTCATTGAGCACAATATCTCCATTTTGATTATTTCTTAGTTGAATAATTACTTGTCCTTTAAGTACTAGAAAAAGTTCATCTTCATCTTGATGAGAATGCCATCCGAATTCTCCGAATAGTTTAGCCAATTTAACATGTTGTCCATTAAGTTCACCTATTATTTTGGGTGTCCAGTGAGCAGAAAATTGTGAAGCTTTTTCATATATATTTTGTTTTGATAGGTTAGTAGCCATTGGCATAGTTTCGACTAAAATCATATATAGTATAGTGTAGTAGTCATCTAAGAAGAAAAGAAGCTATATATATATATATATATGATTTTACCACGTGTACATGAAAGAAAATGCATAAGCACAAGTAAGTATTATTTTCTTCTTTCATCCAGCAATAGAAGCAATTCTTTTACGTCACTCCTCACTTTGCATTAGTGCTGAACAGACGTCTTTTTCGTACTGCTCTCACCAGAGACGGCGCGAAGTAATAAAAGTATAGGGGGGTTATTTGAAAACGGGAGGTTTTTTTTCAAAAACGGGAGGTTTTTTTTCAAAAACGAGAGGTTTTTTCAAAAATTGAAACAAAAATTTCCAAAGTTGGTGGGGGAAACCCCCAACCCCCCCCCCGTTCGCGCCGTCCCTGGCTCTCACATTCTAACACAAGTTTGGTATTTTTTCGATAACGATAGCTTGAACAAAAGGCTTTGATGCCTTCAAGCTCTCCGCATTTGTCGAGTTCTGTTAAAGACTCTAGAAAACTAGAAGGATCAAATCAACACAAGAAAGTTACAAATAAAAGAAAAGAAGATCAAGAACAAAATGAAGCTGACACAAACACAACTACGACTAATAGTCACCAAAATCAACCTAACACGGATTTAATAGAAAAGCTATCAATTTCACCGTTGAAAAGAAATCAACAAGACCAAACGATCGAAGTAAATGGTCAATTATATGCTCCAGTTCAACGGGAAAACCCAAAGTCAAAGAAAGGTTCTCAACAATTAAATAAAAGTGATTGGTGCTCAGGTCCTCCAATGACTTGGAGTGACCAGCATGAAAAGGAAAATATTAACTGTAAAACAACAGATACAATTCCAACACCTGTTAACTACTGCTATCTTCAGGAATCAAATATATCAACACCGAAAAGAAACATTGAACAATTAAATAGATCAAATGAGCATAGAAAGAAGATTCGTCATGATGAAACAGCTGCAAATAATCATCAGCATCATCAGAATATTACAACAAATGACCAAGGTTATAAGTCATTATGTACACCAAATGTACAACCAAGTAAAACTCATGCATTACCTTTTGAGCAGCTAAAAAGAGCTGTAGGTCACAATCTACCTTGTTTCTTAATCGACTTCGACAGCAATATAGCTTTTCGGCAACTGCCATCTGCAATTATTGCGTGTGATATGATTCAAGAACACTTTATAAAAAACAAAATATCTATAAATGATTTCTCAGTTGCTTCATTCATTGGTCATCGATTGAAATTAGGTGTTAACAACATGGAAGATTATTCTAAACTTATTCGTACCGAAAAATGGCCTTCAACAATAAATGGAAAGAAAGTTTCGATAGTAAAACCGAAATTTGTTCCTGAATGTTTTACACTCGTCGTACGTTATGTTCCACGACAAGTTTCCATTGATTTAGTTACTGAAGAAATAAAACGGTCAATTAGCTCGGCAGACAATTTCCAGCAAATAATGTATTCCTTTAACCGTCCGACTAACGATTATAGATTTACAGTTGCTGATCTAACAGAATTTGAAGGCGCTTTAAAATTTGGTCGGTTGTGTATTGCAAACAGATTTCATCCTATTACTCAGTATCTACCAGCAAATAAATTGACATTCTGTACGCTCTGTTGGAAGATCGGGCATACACGATTAGCTTGTAATACACAAGAACAAAAATGTCGTATATGTCTCGATAAATTTAATCAAGAACATATCAGCATCTGCTCTGGTATACCACAATGTGCTCAATGTGGACTGAATCACCAATCTCTTGATCCAATGTGCAGTATCATTCAGAATTACAGACAAAAGCTTAACTATGAAGTCAAGCAAGCAGTTCAAGGTGGTAGGCTTATTAGAAGAGGGGTTCAACGGTACCATCATCAACAACCAGTGCCTCCCCTTGAATCAACATCACAATATGATACAAATTTTCCACCATTACCAAATAACAACAACAATATGTCGCAAATCAACAAACCAGTTAATAAAGGGTGGTCAGGTAGCTACTCTCATCTCACAACAAATGCCATTCCTATGGAATCTAACACATTAATTAATAAAATAGAAAAAATGCACCAAGAATTAAAAAAAGATATTTCTTCATTAAATGAGTCGATCATACAAAAACTTGATGTCAAAATAGAATTAAACTCAAGCAACATTCAATTACATCAAGTTAATCTATCTCAAATAAACTCAACGATGATATCATTATTGAAAAAGGTAATAGTTCCATTAGTTAAAAACATAAAAGAATTAAAAGTAGAAACCAAAAATCAAATTCTAACTGCTATTCAAGTTTTGGAAAAACCTCTGAACATACAAGCAGAGGAATTACGAAAGAAATATAAATATCAAGTAGAATCGCAACAACGAAATCGTTTCGAACCTAGCTCAACAACAATGGTAGATGAAGAAAACAACAATCAATCTCCACTGTCAACCTCAACAGAGGAACCTCACAAGATGGATCAATCGGATACAGAAGGAGGGATAATTTCAAACTAATGTCTATCAGAACTCTAAATATCAACGCAAGTAATTTTTACCCAAAATCAACAGTAGAGAAAATAGATAAAGACAAAGAACGACTTCGTAATTGTGGTCTTTCTCAACAATGGATAAAGAAAATATCACCCCTTGTAAGTGAATGGCACTCTATGTCATTAGACTCAGTACTATCATTCTGGGAAAAGTATGAAAATTCTTCAAAACAGTTTAACTCGTCTAGTGCGGCGTTACCCCTAAAATTTTGTTTGTATAATGTGGAAGGATGGAAAATTAGAAGATTAGAAGTAATCGACTTAATACACTCGGTTGAGTCCTTGGTGTGTGTTTTTACAGAAGTTGGAGAGCAAGAAACTACTTGTCTTATCCCAGACTATAACACTTTTTATCAAGCAGGTTTAAATCGCTCAGGAGGTGTTTGTATTGCTGTAGGAAAAAACCTAAAAGCTAGTGAAGTAAAAACTAACATTCCCAATACTATGATTGTGGATATATATGGTCTAAGTGAGCCACTTCGAGTGATAGGAATATATTGGCCGCCTAGTCAACAAAGAAATCTAGAAGATATATCCCCGTATGTCATCAATAACACTATAGTAGCGGGGGATTTTAACGCAACAACTTTAGATTGGGATAGTCCGAAGAATGATAACCGTGGTATTCTTTTAAAAAAATGGATAGAGGAAAACAATCTTCTTTACATTAATAACACAAAAAACTCATCGAAACGTTCAAGTAGAAACATTGACTTAGCTTTCACAAATATAAGAGAAATTGTAGGTGAAACTCTTTCTTTCGGAACTAGTGACCATTGGCCGATCCTGTATACTTCAAACTCTGTATGTTATCACATGCACTCTTCTTTTCCGATTACAAAGTGGAAAGAATATGAAATAATTCTATGTCTATGTCAAGAGTTTTGGTTAAAACTACAGGAGTTAATTTCATTAGATGATTGGTACAACAAGTATATAAAATTCTTAAGTGCATTAAAGTGTAGAGTTAAAACATGGAAGGATAAGGAAAAATTTAGACCAGCGCTTCCTGAATCGATTTTAATCAAAATGAAATTTTTGAGGAAAATAAGAAATAACTACTATCGGAAACGAAGATACGATTTGGAAAATGAAGCAGAAAGGATCTTATTGAGAACACTAAATAGAGAAATTCAATCTGATATTTCCAAATATAGGTCTGATAGGTGGTCAAGTTTTATGGAACAGATCCAAAGTAGTAAAAACAAAGGTGAAGCAGTGTTTTGGGCACATCTAGGAAAAATTTATAAACAGAAGTCGCTACCTTTTTCTAAGCTAAAAGTAGGAGATGTAGTACTAACAGATAAGGAAAATATTTCAAATGAACTTTACGAACATTATATGGAACAATTTAAACCTCCGCTTTTAGATTTCACAAATACACATGATATGGAGATAATGAAAGAGTTCGAGGAAATTTTAAAAGGTCTCTCAACGTCGACGGAAGAGGTGGAAGTGACAAACACTTCAGAGATCAGAAATGCTATCCGTTCCCTCAAACCCAAAAAATCAGCAGGATATGACAACATATCGAACTTTATAATAAAGCGATTGCCTCCCGGATACATACAAGGCCTAGGTAATTGTTTTAACCTTTGGCTTAAAGAATGCAGAATGCCAATTGAATGGAAATTAGCTAAAATAAAAACCTTAAACAAATTGAAAGCTGGAGTCCCTAAATCTGATCAAACTCGCCCTATATCACTTCTTGCAACCCATTCTAAATTGTATGAAAAAATTCTACTGACAAGAATTCGTAGTTGGGCTGAATCTAATCATATAATCCCCAAGGAACAATCAGGTTTCAGGCCAAACTGTCTTATTCCCACCAGAGTATTATCAATTTATCAGGAAGTACTCAATAATATGGCCGCAAACTCGCCAACTCTATCTATATACTTTGACTATCAAAAAGCGTACGACAAAGTATGGCATGCAGCCTTGATAGTAAAACTTTCGAGAGCTAATATACCACCCGCATTGTTAAAAACGATATGGTTTTGGCTATCAAGGAGAGAAGCAGTGGTAGTGTATGGAGAATTGAGTACGAGTAAATTTCCTATATCAATCGGACTCCCACAATGAAGTAGTCTAAGTCCATACTTATTCATAGTTTTTCATTCCGACATCGTGAGACAAACTGGAGCATTTTCGACGCATATATTTGCCGATGATCTTAATGTATTAATATCTGCGCCATTAGGAAAAAAACTAGAACCTATGCTGCAGTTTCTAGAACTAGAAGGAACCAAAGTATGTAACAATCTATATGATTATTCCAAACAGTGGAAACAACCAATGAACATCTCTAAATCTTTATACCAAGTATTCCACACACAAATCAATATACGCCCAATTCATGTCGAAATGAACAGCGTAGCACTAGATTGTGTTCAGGAATTCAAGTATTTAGGTTTTACCTGGACTAGTAAGCTATCGATGCGAAATTCTGTGGCAAACTGCCTAGTAAAAGTTCAACGTTCTTATACGAAATTGAAATGGTTAAAACGAAGCAGAAATATATCAACCGACGTTTTGAGACAAAGCTTTTTTGCATTTTCATTTCCCTTCTTTGCTGGGCTTTTCTGCTTTTTCCCGTTCCTTCCATACTCACAACAAGAATTACTAAGGAAAAAATTTAGAGTAGGACTAAGAATGGTCCACCGTTGTCCGCAAGTTCCAGCACATGAAATGTCGTTATTCACAAACGAGAAGGATCTAGATCACTATGTCAAACAATACATTAAAAAAAGATTAAAGAGAATCTATTCATCAGACTTGGGAGACTCCCCATTTTTTGACGACCTTTCTTTCTGGATGAATTTCAAAAAACAAAAAAATCATGGACTGGGTCATTATTTTCAACAAAAAAGAGTAAAAGACCTGATAAGAAAACACAAATCCTTAATGGGAATATGGTTGCAGTTTATCGAAATCAACACCTAAGGAAAAAAAATATTTTAGAAGGTCAGCGTAGAAATTAAATTTATGGGAAATAATCCCCTTTATGTTCCATAAATTCTAAATTCTAAATTCTTAATCATTCCTTTCCCTAAAATAGATATTTGAATAAAAGCAAACAGTTACGAGTCGTTTTTTGTCAAATCTACTGAAATAGACGTTGTTTATCAGGATTTTAAGAATTACTGGGGGGGGGGGGGGGGGGGGGGGGGGGGGGGGGGGGGGGGGGGGGGGGGGGGGGGGGGGGGGGTGGGGGTGGGGGGGGGGTTGGGGGGGGGGGGGGGGGGGAGGGNGTTACATGATCGAATACAATATTGACCATCAAAATATTCAACTGTAAGTATAGCTTCGCTACCCCATGGAATAATATTATCAATATGAATTTCGTCATCATTAATTTTTGCATATAAACAAATGATTTGTTTCTTCCTTCTGCCTTTTCTATCCCTTTTTTTGTCCCTATTTTTCTGTACTACATCTTTTGTAAGCGCTTCCGAGCGTCACAATGAATAAACACGCATAAACAAAACAAAAAAAAAAAAAATTCTTTTACGTACAATTCTGGATAAAATTAACTATCTTCGATGAAATTATAGCTATTTTATCGAATAGCTATTGATTCTGTTGTGTTTAAGTTACAAGAAACCAAAAGCTGAATAGAGCGAGAGAAATAGATCAATACACAATTCATTTGTTTATATGCTGAAAAATTATGATTGACGTATCATTTGACAATTTTGATCATCTTGCCGAAATCGTGTTGAAATAATAATGATTTTTTCATGTAACCTATTATTTGACAGGCGAAATTCGTAGCTACCTCTAGGCGAAACTCTGTTAGAAATTAATTTAACAATAACTGACATCAGATGTTATCTTTCTCTATTAAGACTGTTCGTTCAAGTAGTTATACTATTCCTTACTATGAATATGCATTACTTTTGTTCAACGATTCATATTAATTCATCCAAAAATTTCAATAAAAAGTTTTCACAATAACTTCAATCTGTTCTACAAGTTGCATATAGTTGTAATATTAAATAAAATTAAGTTAGTACTATGCTAACGATTCACTACCTTAGAATACATCATGATGATACAGAATAGATACAAGAGACTGTATTTAACAGTAGAAAAAAAATTGACTTCATATCAGTTGGATCTTATACATGTAATCTCCTAAGCATACATCTGATTGTTTACACAAGATACTTGTTTGCTCGTATCATATAACATATCGATATAACAGAACAACTTTATTTCTAAATAAGTTGTAAAAGTTATCGATAAGGATTTTAGTGAGTATACTTTTCAACAAACAGATATTTGAAACAAAATCTTAAAATCTTAAAATCTTAAAATCTATAAATGTGTATCTTATGGACAAACTTTTGACATTCAGTACACTTATATATCAAATAAAAGCAAATCAGCGTTACCATCGCTTCTATAGTATATCGCGTTATCTATCATAACTCTTCACATTGAACAAAAAGAAACTTCGAATAATATCAATTAACCAATTCAACATTTTTCTTTAATCTGTACAGTCAAATGAAGTTTCATACAAAAAGACATCGAATTCAACAGTCTTATCAAACACGTGAATGACTCATGATATGTAGTCCAAATATTCATGAATTGAATGAAGCAAAAAAAGATACAGCTAACTTCTATTTACAAATTAAACAGTTTCATTTGTTCATATAGCCTTAAAGCTTTCTGTCAATAAAATACATGTATACTTTATCTCTACTTTGAAATCAATACATTTCATATCGATTCATATAGGGAGAAAGAGATACAGTTTATGTTATTCGTTTCTACTTATAGATTTATTAATATCGAATCACTTGTATCGTATTTAATTGGTAGGATTCTATTTTCTTAGTTCAAAAGCAGCATTAAAAAGTGTCATTTTTTGTATATAATTAAAAATTGATAAAGTAGTGAATTACTTCACAGTAAAACGACATGGGTTTTATTTAAATAAAACGAATATTAGACAGACACTCGACTAAACGAAGAAAACTATGTCAATAAAAGGTAATGCCTCAATCTCAATGATGATACTCTTGTAAACAAATTGTATAGTTATATCTTTCTTTTTGCACACATTTAGGTACACATAGACACATGGGACAACGAACTATTGACTTGAGGATCATCATAGACAGTTAATTACGTTGAACATAAAAAAAATCAAAAAACGACGAAAAATGCTTTTTAAAATTCCCATTGGGTTGCTTGTCGACTATTTTGACAAGAAGCTTGTATACTTCCATTTTGTTCAGCACGTAAATACATTCCATTTGGTCCTTTTATAACAACTCTTGAATATGATGTACACAATTCGATAGCAAATTTTGAAGGTTCACGTCCGCTAACACTAATATTTGAATCACTTGATATTTCCCAATACATTCCATCGACGCCTAATTGCGAATAAAAAAAATGATCAAAACATGTAAAGAAAAAAAAACATTTTTTTCTTTGTTTTTTAAACCTTTAAGATAAATAATGCCATCATTATTTGAATCATCATTTGGCTGCTCAAGTGTAAATAATGTAAATATTGATTTATTACATTCAAGTGTACGTGATTGTTTATTTCTATAAGCAACATAACCAAATTCACATTTAAATACACCAAATGGTCGATTAACAAATTTTAGTAAAAACAAAGTTTCAATGGAATTCGATTGATCGCCAATAGCTCTCATATGTCCCGTAGCATGTGGTATAATATATTTTCCATTAGATGCTTGAAATGTAACACGTCCATTATCTGTTGCTTGAATATAAAATCCAGTTTCTATTGATCTAGATTTTTCTTTTTATTATTATCAAAGATACTCTTATTTCTTGTTAAATTTATTCTTACCGTTTATCTGCTGTTGCTTGTACACCATTGCCTTCAAGTTTCCAATATTTATTATTATATGTACGAATATGATAAAGTTCAAAATGATCATCATATTCAAGTTGAAATGTACTACTATTATCTTTTTCACATTGATTAGCTGATAGATCGACACCTTGCTTTGTTGAAACAAGTTTTCCATTAGGTGCAATTAAACATATTTGTTGTTTACTTTCTTCTAATAAAAATTGTTCATCACGTCCAGCTATTTTATTTCGTGTTGTCATGATACCCAATGGACCAATAGCAGTTAGATAACAATGGTCACAATCTTTAAATGTTAAATATCCTTTAAAAAGTTCAATGGTAAAAAAAGTATCGTTCGTTTTCTTTGCAATAAGTTTTCCATCTTTATGAAAATAAAGTCCGTTACATGATCGAATACAATATTGACCATCAAAATATTCAACTGTAAGTATAGCTTCGCTACCCCATGGAATAATATTATCAATATGAATTTCGTCATCATTAATTTTTGCATAACGTTTACGTAGAACATGTTTCAAATTAATCTAAACATAGATAATAAATTATGAAAATAAGTTAGATGCAAATATTTTACTTGTGGATGGAGAGCTAAATGTGGTGACCACCATTCAGGTACTTTACTAAAACAATGAAGTTGATCAACATCTCCGCCTAAATACATGCCATAAGTTAATGATTTAAAAGCCCATTGACCTTTTTGATTATATTCAAGTTGAAAACGGCAATCATCAACCATGTCATGTCCATCACATTTCAAGCGACCATATTTATCTGTTGATAAATAATTATTAAGTGCAGATTGAAGATAAACACAATCATTTTGACTATTGAAAATAATGGTCCATGTTTGTTTCTTTTTCAAACATACACCAGCTAGAAAAAAAAAGTTCTTTCCATTTTATATTCAATTGAGAAATCAAAAATATAATTTACTGGCATTGATTTTAAAACCGAATGTTTCAGCTGTTAAATATTTTCCTTTTGAATTTATTAAGCCTAATGACCATGTACATCTTTCTGTTGTTAGATTATTTGATTTTATATGATCATGATTATGATTATGATGATGATTATGTTCATTTAATGCCGCTTTGGAATTATATTGTTTGCCATTAATCGTTGATTTTTCATGATGTTCATTTTGATTAATAGATGGTTTTGTTAAATACGATACAGATGATGGTATTAATGATGGGGGTATTTTAACAGCAGGTTTCGGTCTAAATTAGATATATATATATATATTTTAAATACTATGGTTTACTATTGAAATAAGTAAAAACCTAAGTGCAGAATGCATGTCACGAATATCGACGTTGTGATAGTTGATCAACAAGTAATCATCGTATTTCTGTCAATATGTTTGGTCTGTCAAACGACTATCTTCTAAAATGAGAATAGACAAGAGAATTCTCTTATTCACTCTCTTTTTCTCGTTTCATTCATTTTTTTCCTTTCTTTTTTCTCTTACTCTTTATCAACGTCCTCATTAATTATAACCATGGATAAGGATAGAAATTTTCTCGTTCTCCTTTCGTTCTGATGACCGTTGGGAAGAGAGAAGTAGCAATTAAAAGCAACGAAACGAATACGATTCTGAATGTGTTGCTTTTCATTTGACTGCTTATTGTATGACGTAGCAACTGATTAAAACTCATTGACCTTAGCATGCTTATCGATCAGCTCTTGTACAAAGATACAGCTTTACAATGGTTAGTTTGTGTAGATAGAAAAGAGAGGGAAAAAAGAAAGATATATATTCAGGGTCAAACATTGAACGATGGATGTGTCTGAGAAGAAAGGCATCTCGCCTATTGTCACATCTTGCCGTATGATTATTAATATTATTATTATTTGAAACAAAGAATTCAAATTTATAAGCAATGCTCAATAACATGTGGTACTGGATAACAGAAAAAGAATATGAGAAAATGGAAATTTGGCATGCAGCTGTTCTTATCGTTGAATACACAAATGGAAATTAGAAAAAAAAAAGAATGGCCAGTTCATTCTATTTTTATACTTCTTATTGTACAGGTTGAGACATTCTCATCTATTTTAAGCAGTTCATTAGGTCGAACAATGTCACGTAAATAGCCGAAGAAGTTTTACACAGTGATAGAACTTAATTTGACAAGATAGCTTTTTTTAATTATGTATTTCTTTATATTTTATTTTAGTATAAGACGGAACGCTATTGAAGCGAAGAAAACAGATCGATGCAAACAGAATGTTGTAATCTTTGATGTCGATTTTTTCTAGATAAGCATGAACATGTACAAGAAAAGAGTTCGTCGACAATTTCATTTTCCGTTTCAACCTTGTCATGAAAGAAAAATGTGTGATGATCATATCCGTTGTAATTTCCTTTATTTCACTTTTACACATTGAAAGTATCACTGTAATGAGATGATTAACTACGATTTAGTTATGGTTTTGATGGGGAACAAGAATGAACAATCCTAATGACTATTGTTACGTAATCAAACTCTTAAGAAAATGTTCTTAAAATTGGAAAGAAAAATAAATTCGACATTGAACACGAAAAGAAACTTATATTAAAGAAGTACGAATTTCCTATTCATAAATTAAGACTTAATTGCAATTGTCTCTCTTTTGTTTCTTTTCGTGTTGGTCACTCAAGGAGACAAACTTTTGGGAAAAGGAGTTTCCACACTCAATCGAGAACCACGATTGTCAGTCGTTAACGTTCAGTAACGAAACGTAAGAAACGCGTTTTTTACGCAGAATTCTCACTTTCAGAGCGTGAAAACGGGTAAAAACTCAAATCCACAGCGTTTAAACGAATTAGCTTTTAAGTTATCGAATAATTGTGCGTTTAAACGCTTAGAATTGGAGTTTTCACGCTCTGAAAGTGAGAATTCTGCGTAAAAAATGCGTGTCCTGCGTTTTGTTACTGAGGGTTAATGATTCACAATCGCGGTTCCCGATTGAGTGTTTAAACGTGTTTTTCCAAAAGTTTGTCTGATTGGGCAGTCGATGTTCACTATTTTCAATGGATATAACATCACTCATGTTGTTGATACATTTCTTCAAGAATATGGAACGAGTAACAATCGTATAAATTTTATTAAGATTCCTTCATGATTCGATTCTGAATTAATGACAAACATCAGTTATTTTTATTCTTCGATAGTATATGTGATGAAAAATTTCACTTTTGTCTACAAACATATCTGCTCCTGTTTCAATTAAAATGATTGAAAATTTTCTATGCAGATAAACTGAAGTTTTCTTGCTAATAGTTACTACATTTGTTGTAACTTACGATTTAGAAACATTTTTGGAATTTATATTTTGGATCAAGATAATTTTTAAATAAAGCAAGGCAGTTTTTAAATGTAGATATAAGAACTATTGCAGCCTAAAACTTATTTTGATAAAAATTTCGGGATTAATTTAATATTTTGTAGGATATGCAATATTTATGAATAGATATTAGAATTCACGAACTATGGAAGTATTCTCATGAGTTAATAGAAATAATGCTTTTAAAAAGAGAGATAAAAACATAGTTATTTCATTATGTAACCAATATGTTCGAGGATTTTATTTGAGTTCATCATCGAGCTCTATCATATCATGTACAATATTCGTAGCACTACTATATGAAAACCATTTTTCCTCATCATGATAATAAACTGTATCACCAACGACAGCAAATAGTTGAGGGCCTGATCCCATAGTTTCATAATATTTTGCATCGGGTAAACCATCACTATGTCGATTAAATTCTCTTTTTAAATATTCCCATGTACGTTCAACACCCAATACATCGCACGGTAAATGTGTACGTAAACTGGTAAAAGTAAAGCTACACGTATTGATTCTATTGGCCATGTTATTGTTTATTCCCTTTAATCAATTCATATACTTGAGGAATCGTTTGAGTGTCAATTATGCGTTGAAGAAAACACACACGAGACAAGAAAGGAAGTAAAATCATATGGAAAGTAACCACGAGCCAGTCAAAAATGAAAAGGCTTATTGGTATTATCAATCAGAAGCGAATCCTTGGTCGAATACGTCAATCAATGATTCAAATAAAATAATATGGACTAAATATCGAGATCTTGAAATAGATCTTATTGAAGAAGCGTATCAAGAAAAAAAACCCTGTGTCATATTAGATCGATATAGTATTAATTTTAAATATTTGATTCAAATAAATCTAAATGATCAAACAAAACAACGACGAGTGAAACGTGAAATAGCTTCTAATCTAATACAATGTCTACGCGAGAATCGTTTTGGGTCAACAGTTGCAATAACATCAACATCTCCTTATGGTAATGGTGATTCTTGGTGTCCATTTTTAACAGCTTGGCTCAATTCTTCGTCGGGCAAACAAGCCTTTCTTCACTTTCCTAAATGTATCGAACGCTGTGCTCAGGGTATTATAAGGGAAGCTGTTTTACATGATAGCAATAGTAATACAGAAGCAACGTATATGGCTGAAACACTTCGTAAATATTCTGGAAAATCTCGTAGGGAAATAGCTGAACTCTGTATTTATTTTTATACAAAAGACAGTTTTCTATATTATGTTCTAAATAAAGCATTGCGAGAACATGATTCTTCGAAATTCGAAACATTGGGTCCATTGTGTTATCTTATTCGTGATTATTCTCGTCGTTCAAAAGATTATATCGGTACAGTTTATAGAGGAGTACAATTGACCTATGTGGAAATAGAAGCGTACAAACAGCATGTAGGCGAATGGAAAACTTGGCCAGCATATACATCAACTAGTCAAGATCGTCAAATGGCTGAAATGTTTGGAAATACTCTCTTTGTAATTGAAATAACTGATGTTAAACTTTCTGCACCTCGTGCTCAAGACATTGCTCATTTATCCAGTTATCCAAATGAAAAAGAAGTACTAATGCCAGCTGGCGTTTCATTTCAAATTCTAAAAATTGAACAAGATGAATCACAAAAATATATTATTCATGTTAAAGTATAAACAAATGCTTTCATTGAGTTCTTACTGTTGTTTAACTCAAGTAAAATACAACAATTTCTTCAAAAGATACTTTGCATTTGTAATAAATAAGTTTTTTGTATTTAATTTTGATTATCTCTTACTTGAATTTCATTGTATTTCATGTTAATAGAGGAAAGTAATGAATGTTTATTGCTGTAAATAATTTATTTTTTTATGAATTATAGTTTGAAATAGAAAATTTTATCACATTTTATGTAAAGTAAACAATGTTAGAATTATTTTGATATATTCTGTTGATAAATATTGGGTTATAACATAAGTTCTGCGAACTGTTTTGTTTATTAATAATTTTGCTCGACGATAACGATATAAAAAAATTAATCAAAAGTATAATCAGCGTTATTTTTGGCGTCTTCCTACGCCTGACTCATTATCGCTGCGTAAGCAGACAAATTTTTTCCAAGAACGCCTCTAAGCGCACAAAAAACGACGAGAAACCGAGAAAAAGTGGGGGTGTTTGGATGACGATCGGGGTTCCCGACGATGAATCAAAAACCCCCATTTGTCGTCCTTCTTGGCATTTAAACGAATTCTCATCCAAAAAAGCTGTTAGCGCAATTCCTGTAGGATTAAAACGTGAAATTTGTTTTCTGGAACCCTTCAATCACGGTCTGTGACTCTTGCAGCTTTTCTGCCACCCTCTGCAATGATATGTGGAGCCTTTGACAGAGAAATTAATTAATTAGATGATTGGTCCAAATATCTACCCTATATGCATGAACACTCCTTTTAGATCGTGTTTCACACAATGCATGTAGATACATACAAAAGCAAGCTGGAAAAGTGGTTGTTTTCTTCATACTCTAGAGACCTAATCGTCATTCCATCGTAGATAACGACTATTCAGAAAACAATCACTTTTCCATTTTTTGTTTCTATGCATTTACATGTTCTCTTTGAATGAAAATGCATTTAAGCGTCAAGAGGGACGACAAATGAACTTTTCCCGTTCACAATCGGGAACCCCGATCGTCATCCAAACACGCCCACTATTTCTTGATTTTTCGTCGTTCTGTCTGCGCTTAGAAGCGTTTTTGAAAATTTTTCTCGGCGTGAGTAGATCCTATCTTTGTGAAAACTAACTGATTTCAATTAGAAGAAAAGCCGTGAAAAACGATTACTCATGAATAAACAATACACAGAACTTATGTTACAACCTAATATCTATTCTAATCAATGAAACTTTTATACGATAAAGTTTGAAGAAATATATGAATGTTGAATAGTGATCAAGTTTTAGAAATAATTTATACTATTTTATATTGAATAAATATGCAATTCAAATTACATGATTAAGTTTCAGAAATAAATTCAAAAAGAATGCAATGCTATTATTACACTCATTCGAGAGGTAATTCATATTGTTTTAGTGTTTTGTGAGTAGTTTTAAAGATTCTCTTGGCCACTGCGCCATTCAACATTTCTAAACTCTCGAACTATTAAGTTCAAATGCACCCAGGAGAATGGTTCCGATAGTGGAATCCTATCGGATTCGTGTAGGAATCTTATCGTATATATATAAATAGTATGGATTTCATTAAACCGAAAAAATCCAATCGATATTCGAGTGTTGAACCTACAATCGTAACCCTAGTGCTGGAATCCGATAGGTTCCAGTGTCGGAATTTAACGGAATCCAACATAAGCATTCAATCCATGTGGTCTATTAGTACAATATGCTTATTCATTGGTGATTAAGAGCATGGTTTTTTCCCGTCGGATTCGTTAGTAGGTCCGTGACCAGAAATCTGATCGGATTTTGTCGGCTTGTCGGATCCCATGAGATTCGATAGGGTTCACTGTCGGATTCATTCACCCGGGTGATTTAGGATTCGTATATTCCATATGTTGTCGTTGTCTTTTTGGATTTAAAGATCAACAAAAAGAATTTATTTAATTTGGCTCTTCATATTCGTTCTCTCTATGAGAAAAAAAGCCATCTTTTGAGACATCATGAATAGCACTATTCCTACAAGTATAGAATACGGAAAATTGTTGACAGTAATGTTTTAGAGTTAGTATAATTATATAATTTATGTTTTTCATCATTTGTTGTAAAGTAGAATGAAAAATCCAGCAGATACGTATTGTTTCTAGGAATTCATCGGTAGCTTTCTATCGACCAGTTTTTGCCAATCATCAATATAGATCTATCAAATTTATTAAAAATAAACATAGCCAGTAACAACTGTGTTCGATGATGGTTCAATATTTCAGGAAGTCGTTCGTAAAATTTCTTTACTAAAGTTTAGCACAGTAAACTTTTTGATACTGTTATTTTCGTTACACTATATTTAAATTTAGAAATTTTACTCGAATCATATGCTCATGAGTAAGAATTTTACAAATTAAAACAGCTACGATTCTCACATTAAGATTCTTCAGTGAGAATACAAGAGTCTTAAGAGGATGAAATGAATATTTTTGAAACCAGAACACATCAATTTTTCGCACATGTAACTTCAATCAAACGAATATAAATTTGAGATTCAATTCATTTATATGCATTCAGTAGTGTGCAAAACAATCAGTTCATAATTATTTTTAGAGATTGAAATTTATTTCATTCAACATCCTTTCATATATTAAAGTTTTTCTTAATACATTTCTATTAGGCATAACTAGATGTATTTACACTGCTATTTTAATACACTTGATTGAATGAAAAGTAGTTTTTCTGATATGTAAACGATTAAAATTATTCTGTTCTACTTGAACCGTTAGAATATGCTTATAATACTTCATGTCATCTATTTTAAATATTCATTAGTCAACTCATATTGAATTGAATTTATGAACGACGTCATGGTGCATTCAATTGTGTAATATAGGACAATAAAATTTTCTATTAATATCGTAAAAACATTTTCGATTGTTATTGACAGATGTGTCACAATAGGTTTTATATATTATTTTCTTGTTAAATATTTCAAAAGAATAATGATAGCAACATGTACTATGTGAATCAAATAAATTACATTGACAACACAAATATTACGATGTATTACTAATTCAAATCTTTGTTTAATATTGAGTACATAGAACCTTGTAATAATTTTTACTAAGTAAAACGAGACAAATTTTTCATCAATTATCAACCACATTACGTAAAACTACTTTTCTAAAATCTAATTGAAATGATCAAGAAGAAATTAACTCCGTATAAAAAGCTTTATTTCTTTGGAAAATAAATCGATTAAACTATTGATCAATAAATACACGCTTTTCCTGAAATTCTTTCGCCTGTAGTAGAATATTTGTAAACGAAAAACACTTTTTATGAGAAAAAAAATAATCAGTTAGAATTTCAATTTAGGATATAACAACAATTTTATTTAAATCTGCAATTCACTGATGCGTAAAATTATTAAGTAAGGTCTATAATCATTTATAATTAGTTCGAGGCTCGTGCATATTTATCGTATGTTAATCATACAAACCATTTCACCCATTATCATAGCGTGATGAGCATATTTCCGTTCTTGATGGATCTTATCATGACATTCCTTTTCCCAACTAAATAAAAACACATAATCATGGCAGATAAAGCATAATAAAAAGAAAAAAGAAACGATGTTACTTAAGCAAATATCTTTTCTCGAATTGATTAAGTATACAATGATAATTTCTATTATCATTTCTATGTGAAGTTTTTTTTCCACTGAGTTACTCATCTTCATCTATGGTGATTTTAGGCGAATAAAAATTACGTTTTTTTGTTCCATCAATTATTACGAAATTTTCATTTCTAAACAAGTCAGTCGAACTGTAAAATGAAAGCCATTTAATTCAAGTTTTCGTAATATACAAATTATATGCTATCTATCTCAAAAACATTTCAGTATCGTGAACATGTATAAGAAATGTCTATGATATAGCTTTGTGAAATATTAAGAACTTCGAAATATGTAACTGATATAATTTATAAATTTTTTTAAACTTATTAGAAATAACTTTTCACTAAATTTGCAAGCGAAGTTGTTGATTTCTTTAATTTTATTAACTAAAAATCATAAAATAGTCAACTATATTTAAATTTTAAAAGTTTTTTCATTATATTAATGTTTGCTAGAATGGAATATGCATAATTCCCTCGATTACAGACCATAAAGATGTATACACTGATGAATCAAACATTCAAGAAAATTTTCTATAAAATTTAGACCAAAAAATGCGTTGAAAGATGTAATAAATCGTCTTAAAATCACATGTCATGATACATTGCATGTTAGAATTAAATTTCTATCTTTATCATTTATTAATCAATTTTGACACATCGATTTCCATATTCATAAGTTTCAAAAGAAAACTATACATGATAATTCATTCAACTCGTTCGACATCATATCCAAATTAAAACAACAGAACATTTTACATTTTCATTCCTGATAAACTCATGGAAAATCAAAACAATGATTTTTGTTTAGTATTTATTCATCAAATTTTGGCACAATATCAATGAAAAAAGAGCTCATGATAAATAAAATAACATCGATCTTCAACACACATTATTCACAGAAAAAAAGGAAACTTGTTTTTTTTATTGTGTCATTTTATTTCACCGCACTAGTTCGGTATTGTCGACAAAAAAAACAAGCTATACAGAGAAAGAAAAACAGAATAACCGGAGCAATGTAAAAAACCCGAGCAATAAACATAAGGATGTCCTCTTTAACACGGAAGAGTTGTTTACAGAAAAACGAAAGAAAAACAAACAATCCAGAAAAAAGCTGGAAGCATAAGTAACTCGATTAAACAAAAGAGATAAGGTCATGTTTTGTTTAATATTTCTATTGTTTAGTTGATTTTTAATTATCGAGCGTAAAAACCAAAGATATGTTAATGAATAGATTATGCTTTTATATATGACTGCTGAAGAAAAATAATAAGTATTATGATTATCTATCATTTGTTTTATTAGTTGACGATAAGCAAGATCGATGTTTATGCTCGCTTGAAGCGACATATTCGTCTGCATTAACTTTTAAACGTCCAATTTTAATATAAACACGACCATGTGGAAGTGTCTAAATAAATATAAAATAAGATCATCATACTTATTTCCATTTAATAAATTCTACCTTTAGCGTATAAGCAACTTGTTCATATGCAGCTAAGCGTAAATCTTTTTCATTGACTTCGAGAATCAAATCTCCAGACATAAGTCGACCATCCTTTTCTGCTGAACCACCTTCAATCTAATTCAAAAGAAATAGCATGAAAAATCAATAAAAGAACAAGAAATGAAAACAAACAATATGAGATATAAATACGCCAAATCCATGTCGTCTACCGATAATACTAAATCCTAAAAAGAAAAACAAAATCACAATACAGAATAGTTTTAAATAAATTCTATTTTTACCGAGTCCTTTGCCTGATTTTTTAATAAAATCAACTGTTATTACATCAAATTTATCTTCTTCATTGATCATTTCGCGACGCAATACGACCATACGAATAATACTTGTTGTTTGTCGTAATGCTTGCATAGCTTCTTCATGTGTTGCTGAACGTAAGTCAATTGAATTAACCTATTTGATAAAATTTAAAAACAATTTAGAAATTCATAATCATATCTAATGATAAATAACACCTCAAGTATTCTATCACCCACAAGTAAACGACCATCACGTTGTGTAGCACAACCTTCGTAAATATCATGAATAATAATCGCTGACTAAAAGAGGAAAGAAAAGAAGAACATATATAGTACGTATATATATTTCAATGTAAGAAAACACATATTGTTAATTTTAGATCAAGAAAATATTCTTTGTATAAATATTTCTTTCTGCAAAATATTACATAGATAAGACTGATCTTTCTTATGTCTAGCAAGGAGATATACTGAATATCAAGACTAATTGAGGGATTCGTTGAATAAGTTTTTTAATTTAATTTCGTCAGCTATTTGTGTTTATATGTGCAATTGAAGTTATATCGATAGCTGGCAATTTGATCATGGCAACGATAAGCAAAAAAAAGTTCCAGTACGGCAAATTTGAGTAGGATGCAATTGTTGGCCTTGTTTGAATTTTATTCACATCCTTGAGTAAACACTCTTTAGAATTAGGTTTGTTTTGAGTGCTTAAATTTTTCGGTGCCGAACATTGTTGTCCTTATCATTTCCGTACATAAGTATCTATATTCAGTATTTATCGTTCATATATACAGAAATGCAAAATATTAAATTTGACACTATAAAAATGTTTTTGCCGATGCCTCTCGCTAAGAAAATTTCGAAATTAATGAAGTTATATTCTCAACAAAAGAAAAACGGAAACAAAGTAATTTACCAATTGTGTGTCGGATCCACCGACAACTGAAAGTCCAAGGCCGAATTCTCCACGATCAATTTCAATTAATGTTTCTTGTCCAACGATGATAGGCTTTGTACGCGGATTATCTAAACCATTGCAGGTAAAAGTTCTTTGTATTTACTAGTAAATAAAAATTGGCAAACCTTCTATTCCATTACTAGTAATAACAAGCGGTTCTGATTTAACAGGAACCTGTTGATCTAATAATGGCTTTGGATTCGAAAGTGATGAAGAAGAACTTGATGATGACATCATAGGAATATGTGATACAAACGAATCTTTTATTTCAGCATTGTAGTCTATTGTTTGTTTACTAACTATTGGTAAAGTAACGTTTGCAATAAGTTGATGATTTCTATCATTATTAACATGTGTTAATGCGTTTGATGAGGATGTCGGCAATAATTCATTATGTTGTTTATTGAATAAAGACTTATTCATATCACAAGCGAGAGAATCAGTGAAATTATTATTTACTAATTTATCTACGTTATCATTGTCAACAATATTCGTTGTTTTTATTTGGTTAAATGATTTCTTATTTTTCATAGGTTTCTTATTATCAAATATATGTTTATTAAACGGAAAATCAGACTTTGATGTTAATCGATCATCATTTTCTTTATGTTCATTGGCATGACTTATATCGTGATGTTGAATTGATTTATATGGACTTCTTAAAGCCATGTCATCCATTGCATTAGGATTTCTAGGAAGACAGTAAAATAAATAGAAAATAACTAAATGAATTATGCTTACCGCAGTATAACAAAATTTAACGTTTCTGATTTAATGGATTTAATTATTGATGTTACGACTGAATGCGCTTTACCCAAAAGAATTTCATCGTTAACCTGAAAAGAGACCAGTTTTTGATTTGTTTAAAAGCATATGAAATACACATGAATATATTCATCAAAATAAAAACAAAGTACTTACTTGAAGTAATTGATCACCTAATTCTAGACGATTATCACGACTAACTAACGAATCTAGTTGAATATCACAAACAAAAACAGCTAATTTATAGGGGTCACGATGTCCAATAAGAGAAAGACCAAGTGGTTCATTGATTTCTGATGAATTTCTTTTAATATCAATCAATAAAACTTCTCCATTCAAATGTTCATATTGTTTAATTATTTGATTGTCTTCAATAGGTGGTGGTAGATGAGTACTAGGACTTGATGCATCAAATAAGCTTTGTACTATAAAATAAATGGGTGATTGTGCTGAACGTATAATTTCAACAGCATGATCATGTGTTGCATCTCGAAGATTATATCCATTGACTTCCAGAATACGATCACCAGTTTTTAATGTACTTTTACGTCCAGCTATAGAATCAGGTATAACATGTTTAACAAATATACCTGATATGCATGATTCAATAGTATTGCCAGGACCAGAAAAATCTAATTTACCACCGACAATGCTTATGCCTAGATTTTTAATTTGTTCATCACGATACAGAATAACAGTACGAGGGGCTCCCCATAAAGTTGAACATAAACTTTCACTATCAATAAGAATTGGAGAATCCTTATCATCATCAATTAAATTGGCTTTTGATTGGTGTGCTTCGATGTCAGAATCAAGATTTCTAAAATATGTTCAACTATAAAAGAAAAAAGATTTCGTTTTTATTATTATTTTACTCGAGAGGTATTAATTGTGAATCAAGTATTTGATCTTTAAATTGTTTGGCTTCTTCGCCAACAATGTAAATAATACTAAATAGAATAGAAAATATAGTGGAAAGAAATAGACTTCATTGCTATAAACATACCCAATATCTGACCCAATCAATGAAGCACGTCGAATGATAGCACGTGCTTGTGCATTGCTAATTTTTCTCATATTTTCATTATTAATCGATAATATAAAATCTCCTGGCTGTAAATAAATATTATTCGATGTTAAATTTATGGAACGTACGTAACATCCGTTAACACCATCATCAACAGAAGCATCAAGAACCAAACCTAAATAAGATAAAAGTTAATTGGTTTCTATTCGTTTTTTTCTCTTCGTATTTCATTACCAAGTTCATCAAAATTATGTTTAATTGATATTTCACGTTCTAGATCAATAGGTATTTGTATAACTTCATGATTGAGTAATGTAATAACGCGTCCAGAAGATTGAGAACTAGTTGACAGTGCTGGTGATGCCATGCGAGATGATTGTCGTGAGGAAGACGAGCGTTTAGATTGTTCAGCTGTGGGTATTGTACTATTATTATTATTATTATTATCACTCAATAGTTCATCTTGTTGTTTCATGTCGTTGATTTCACATACATTATCATTCAGAAGAGGTTTCGAATGAGTATTATTTTTTACCGAATGACGATGATTTGTTGTTGATGAATAAATTAAATTATTGCTATCGTCTGTACTCAAATCAGGCTAAAAATGAAAATAAGTCGGTTACTTGCTTCTTTTGTTGATAGTATAGAGAGTGCTTCAGTAAAGTAGAAGGTCAACATATTGATAATATCACCAACTAATCTGTCTTCGAAGTAAATGAAGAAAAACTGTCTAGAGCTCACTATGTAAATCGTAATTAACTTGAATGCAAACAGACGCACTCCAGGGGGATAAAAAAAAAAGAATTATACGTTTGTATAATTAGGCTAACGATCTTTTTTCCATGTATTATTGAAATTTGTCTTTTCCTTGTTGTCTTATTGGTAGATAATGTTTCGTTAGTATACTAAAGAATAACGATGCGAAACTATGCATGAGATACTTGCGTGTGAGACAGAAGCGTAGGCGTAAAACAGGCGCATGATATGATAGAGAAAAGATTGGGTTAGTAACATAATGAAAAACATCATAACCAATGGTTCCAATCTGCTTGATGGTATACTACTAACCAAATGATAAGCAGCATGGCTTTCTTGTTCCTCAAGTATATTTTTAATATTTTTCTATCTTAATATATAACATAGGAACATCTTATTTGAAAAATCACAAAGAGAAAATAATGGATAAATAAATATATAAATTTTTTTACCAATATTTCCTTTTTAAAAACATTATAGCTGATATAAATTGGTTTTTTGTTCTCTATCAATATATATATATATATATATGTACTTGTTTTTAGTTTTATATTTATCTATCGCATTTAGAATAGTTTATCGACTTATAATGAATAATGAATAATGAAGAACAAGTTCAGTATACAAGGAAAACGGAAATATCTAATAAATCAAAATCCATTTGTTTTATCGACAAGCTTTACACTTGAATACCAAGGAAATTATGTTTTGTTGTGCTTTTTTTATTAATTTTAATTTTAGTATACATTCTCAAGAGACTTCTTATTCTTGTCTTTCTTTATCTATCGATGTATCTACTATTTATGTGTTAGCTTTTATCATAATTATTACTATTCCCTTTAGGACAATTACGACAACCAAATTGTAGTTATCGATATATATATATATATGTATATGTACGTTATCACATTCGTCAGTTTTATTCCTTTGAGCAATGACTGTTGTTTGTTTAAACGAAGAAGTCGTAAGACAAAACAATCGCTAATCTACTCACTTCATTAAAATATGACAGCGAGTCAAATTTGTTCATCATTGATCGCTTTGAATGTTTTTGTTGATTTTGCTTTTCGTAATATTTCGTGGTATCATTTGAATGTCTTGATCGGGACGCACGTTTTGTTGGTGTATTTACACCAGTATTAGCTGTTGCAGTAGTTGTTGTTTGTGATGCATTGGATTGACGATTAAATTTTGATGATGAAAATGTAGATGAATTACGTAAACGTTCATTTGATGAATAAGAACTTGAGCGTGATGCAAGAAGAAAATGGTCGAATTGAAAATGACTAAATTCTGGTAAATTGGCATAATGATTTACTAATGATAAATCTGATTGATAATGATTTGATGGTAATGAATTTATGTCTAATTTAGTGTTTAGTTTATCATCATTTTCGGATTTTAATTCAGTGGTTTTAAAGGATAAAGTTTTTTTTGAACTTTTTTCACGCCAAGCATCGTTGTGTATTGACTTTTTAGGTTTTTCTTGTAGGCTTTCTTTATGTAGTAAAGTTTCAACATATTCATATCTACTAAGAATAGCTGGTGCTGATAAAGTAATACCAGGCGATACAGCTGGTTTAGCATTTATTGAACGGTGACTGGAAGCAGAACGCTAAAATTAACATGAAAAGTTTTAATAGTTGAATGTTTGCTGTCAGAATCGATCTACAAAAGTTTTTCTCGAATTTTTCTTCAGACTTTTAATTAATTTTATTTAATAACATTTTAAGATTTGTATCCCTATGGAGTTTCCTTTAGAAAAATACTTTCATTTATTTATTATGTCTACTATTATAGAATTTATATTACGAATAAAAATAGTCCTTCTCCAAATTACAATATTAATCGCAATAAAGGCACCAGGGTCAAAAGTAACTTTAATTAAAATACAGAAATAGTAACACGCACGGAAAGACAAACACTATATTTCATTGCAAAGTTATATAATCAATGTAGCCTAACGATAACAATTAATGGCAAAAGATTTTATCAGTTTTTTGCATTATCATAAAAATAAATAATTGATTAGCCACGAAAGCTGATGGGTATATCGTAATTTAGAAGCGAATAATTATCAATTTTTTCTTTACAGTTATGTTTCTCCAAATAAAACTAGAATTCGTTTTTGAATGATGTTTCTACTGAAAAACAACAACAGACAATTGATCAAATAATATAGATTGCTAATAATCTTTCTATCATCTTATGATTCGATATTTGATAGGAAGAAGAAAAAACAAATAAATTATATATATAAGATCAAGTAAATTATTCAACACGAACCAGAAAACATCTGTCGTAAATAGCTAAAGGCTTCAACATCGGTTATGGCAAGGAATCATCTCAAGTTAAGTTTTGTTTATTAGATAAATCCATACTCTGCCGCAAGAGTAATCCAAGTACTGAAACAACATATTGAGAAAAACAATCCTTATCGGGTACGAACTACTTTCGAAATTTCGATAGACAAATATATATCTTCTGATAATTATTTATGATATATTAATTCAATAAAATAAAATCTAATAAACTAATTGAATGATCAAATTTTAATTCTACCAACTATTTTACTTATTACTATGGTTTTTATTCAAATTTCAATGTCAATTTGACTATTCAATATAAAAATAATACATGTAGACATATTAATATTGGATACGGACATACCTTATGATTATTCATTATTTCTGCTGTTGTTTTACTTTTACTAATACGTGATAAACGTTGATTAATTTTGACATCTTGATCACTATCAGTTATTATTTTATCATCATTATCGTTTTTGAATTTTGGATATGGTAATGGTTTTGATAGACTGAGTTTAACTGAACCTTTTGGTGTTGACTTTAATATTTTGATAACATCATCTAAATTCATATTTTCAAGTGTTATATCATTAACAGCTACTAAACGATCTCCAGGAATAAGTCTTCCATCTAATTGTGCTACACCACCTGCTACTAATGATCGTATAACAATAACAGGTGAATAACTTGGATTCGATGGATCTTGATAATCAAGTACGGAAAAGCCAAGACCGTGATCACCTTTATTTAATTCGATATTTAAAACTGATGTTGACCATAAAGCTAAATTAGAAACAATTTCTAGCGAACGAGTTTTGGTCGTTCGTAGAAATGAACTATTTGCTGCATCTAATGTTCCCATACTTTTTGCTTTAACAACTATTTCAGTTGATTTACAAAATGATATTGAACGAGAACGATTCGCATTCGGTTTTAAATTTGCCTCCCTAGATTGTTTCATATGACGACGAGCACACACAAGTTTTATGTCATTTTTAACTCGTTTAAGAATTTCAATAACATTAAGATGATTTTTTCCATATAAAACTTGATTATTTATCTTAAATGTTCAAGAAGAAAAAGGATTAAATATTTGAGAAAAAATAACATTTTATAATTTTTATTTTACTTCCAAAAGTTCATCACCAGATATTAAAGTTGCTTCCATGCCGATAATCCCTTCGGGTAATAAAGCTCGAATATAATGGTGTGCTCCAATTTTTTCACCATTTTCAACATCAACTGTGCCTTCAAGTGTTATTCCAAGACTACCATTATCGGGTTTATAAATATCAATAATAAAAATTTCATAATTATTTCCTAAAATTTTTATCCATCTGTCACGTATTTGTTCATGAATATTTGATTTATTTTGAAATTCAAGTTTTTCTTCAATTTGATTTGACGATTCAAGAGCTAAATATATATGAAAAGAGAAATATTTAATTTTAAAAAAATTAAAATTATTTACAAATCATTTCTTTTATTTTTTCATATTTAACGCCATCGAGATATCGTCGAATTTTAAGCCGTACCGATGAATGTGTATTTTGTAATAAATAAAGTGCTTGAACGTTAGAAAACCCGTTAAGTGATTGATCATTTACTTCAATTATTTGATCACCTATTGCTAAACGACCATCACGGAAACATGCACTGCCTTCAGCTATATCACGAATAAATATACCAGCGATAGCATCTATTAAAACAAAACGATAAAGAAAATTTCAAAGTGAATGCTATCCTTTATTTATCTCATTCAAATCCATCATTAACATGTTTACATAAAAAATACTCGATTGTAATAGAGATAGATGATCGGAACGTTAGATTGATTAGTTCCATCTGGAGTTATACTCTTGTAAACAATATCATCCTTTTAATGAATCGAATTATGCATAAATATTGACAAACTGATAGTTTTCTATGGATAATGCATTATAGAAATTACCAATGCCGGTGGCAGTTTTGTGTAGATATTAATCAATTGACTTTTGGAATATGTTAAACATGGAAACCACTCTGTAGTTATCAAGTTTGACATTAGAGAGACAAATCTGACTAGAGAATTTTCATATAAAACTTTGTTATGTACGAACTGATGTGTACTTGAAAGAAACCATGAAAAATCATTAAATTACGTTACCGTTACCTAGTTATCTTTTTGATAGCTTATTAAACATTTTAATAGCATCGAGATACTATGACTGTAGAAAGAAAATCTATCAGTGTTATTCGATCAATTGACTTATATTAATCTCTTCAATATTTTAAACCTAAAATAATCTTTCATTATTTTTCCAATATAAATACTCAATCCATGAAAAATGCATATTAATATTGTAAGACGGATTTTTTTCTAACTCAAGTACGAAAGAAAAGTGTGCAATTTAATCGAATTCTTTTTTATAAACTAAACTAGAATTTACTTATCTTTTTCAAAAAACAAAACTGTTACTAATCTTAGCTCTAATTAAAATAACAAATCTATATTATTTACCATCATTCGTTGAATCAGGACTGACGTATCCAGCAACAGTGATACCTAAACCATCGTCGCCTTTTTCAAGCGTAACATCCAATATTTCGGTTCCATCTTCATATTGACACTAAAAGATATTGATGCCATCAAATAACAACATATATATATATATATATATATATTCTTTTTTTTTTCCTTTTTTTTTTTTTTGAAGAAAAAAGCAAACGAATAGATAGCTATCTAGTCATTGCTTTCTAGCTTGAGAATTCAAAGGAAGAAAGAAAGAAAGAAAGAAAGAAAAAAGCGAAAAATTCCCATGATTGACAATCGACTTGCGCTGTCGTTATCTCTTTAATGGAATCAGGGTCATAGAAAAACACATATTTGCCATATGAATGCTTATTTCTTTCTCTCTCTCTCTCCCACTCGAATTTTCCATAATATGTTGGCTACTGAAGCAACCTGTCATGCTTGTGTTCTATGTAAAGTCTCCAGAACCAAGAATGATGAAGGGTGAAAAGAAGACAGTGCCCAAGAGATTAGGAAAATGAATGAAAAAAAAAACGGAAAGAATAATAAATGCGAAAAAGACAAAAAAAAATAATATATATATGTATATATTTATATAAACTATTCTGAGAGAAAGCACGACATGAGAACGGTTTCATGTTATTGATAATTAATGTTGATTTTTTAAAATAATATCAATATAAATAAAAAAGAAAGAATGAACAAACAAAATAACAAACCTGATTAAGAAGATTATTAAGAATTTTTTCTAAACTATGATTGCTTTCAAGTAAACGTTCAGTACGAAGAAGAATTTTATTTTGTGAATTATTGATAATTCCCTCACTATCATTCATCATCGATGATAAAGAGTTTCTGGTTCGAATAGCGTTTTCTGATATTAAAGAAGGATTTTCTGATATTGATGCTGCAGTATTTATTGCTGCCGTTGGTTCACGTATACTTCGTGCAACAACCAGACGAACTTGCTCAGACGATTGTCGAAGTATACCAGCTACTTGTTCCGAATTCATACCACGTACATAGACATGATTTATTTGAAATAAATGATCACCCGTATGTATACGACCATCCTAGATAATAAAAGACAAAAAAATAAAACAGGAACGTATATTAGAAATTCTTTGACATATAGCTCATAAGATTTGCTAGTGTGTAAAAGCAAAATACTGCTTGTTTTTCTCATTTTTGCCATTTTCCCTTCATCGTTTTTCTGTTCTTTTTCCCAGAAAGATATATACATACTACTAGCTATCATTCATTAGGCAAATTTTTTCCTTTCTGTTTTCTTTTCTCCTCTATGTTTTTTTGGTTCTCTCTGTTGTCTTTTGTTCCATCGATTTGAAAAGCAGTTGGATGCATCGGAAAGAGAACTTACAAAAATATACAACAATAAAATCTCTCATAGATATTACCTTATCGGCAATCGAACCAGGCACAATTGCTTTGACAACTACACCTGTTGATTGATTACCACTAATGCCAAAGCCAAGTCCGGATCCGTCGTTGATTAAATCGACCACTTCAATTTGTGTCCACAATGTATTTAGCTAAATGAAAATATAAAAATATAAACATATATTTCACTTATTTTGATATGCATATGCATATCAACCGTTATCTTACCACCATGTCGACGTTAACGAGCGCCGACAATATCCGAATACAGCTGTGTCCATTATTATTCGACTTTGACACAGCCGCATGAGAATAAGCTATAGTACAATTTTTTATAATAACGGCAAGTTCAATTGATACTTGTCCTGAATTAACGAGTCGTTGATGAGCGCAATTAGCAAGTGTCAAATCGTGTGAATTGAACTAAACAGCGTTTACATATACAATTTGATCGGCTCTATATAGTTGACCATTTCTAAAAGAATAGAAGATAGATCTATATATATATATATATATATACATGTAAGCGTAAACACATCGTCAGATGCAACCTTGGGTTCTTCCATAAAATCCTCGATGTGGCGCCAAGAGGAAAAGACGAAGGAAAAAAAAGAAAGAAGAACGATGCTCTATCATTGCATTCTACCAATAATCTAATTTTCATGACAAAATATCCTTCGTATGCACACAAACCGATTTGTCTTTCGTCACTGTTATTAGTATTTGGACTAAATGCTAAAATAACAAAGCTCCTATATATTCATGACTTTAATAATCATTGAAAACAATATCTCTAGTTGTACATGCAATGATAATAAATAATCCTAACTTAGTCTGCAACAAGGATTTTCTTGTTCTCTAACTCTCTATCTATCTATCTATCTATCTATCTCTTTACGCTTTTTATAGAATAAAATAAATCGAGCAAGGTATAGTAGCAGTTTTTCTACTTCCTTTGCATGATAATCATGATCTATTTTTTGTTCTTCTTTTTTTTATTTTTTATTTATATCCAATCGCTTTATCCTTTATGACAATACTTGATAATCTCTCGAGATTTACACAAGACGATTGATTCTTTCTTCTTCTTTTTTTAACGCACAAAACAATATTGTCGATTTTCTCTGACATTGTTTTGTAAATGCCACTAAATTCTTCCACATTTACCAATATTCTTATTTTGCTACATTATTTGTTCTATCTTTGTTTGCAGCTAACTTGCCAAGACAGACTTCTTCTCTCTTTCGATTATATGTGCGTGTAAAGAACTGTCAAAAATTGGCACAACATAAGTGCTAGAAAAGTAACTATTAAGAAAATAATGGTTGTAAAAGATGTGCATACTACAGCCTACTACAAGAACCAAAATTGATTTGCTGATCATGAGAAGAATTATTATTTGTAATTGATCTCGTTTTTTGTTCTTTTCTACACATATTTCTGTTTACAAAGAAGAATAGGACATATCTACTTATTACCATTGAAGGCCATTAAAAATTACCAGTAAACAATACTGCAAATTACATCAAGATTTTTGTAATCAATAATGCAAAATAACTTACACATCACCAAGGCTATTTTATTGAATATTTTCAAATAAAATAATTTCATGCATATTGAATAAATGATATTATTATGATAAGTTAAAAGAATATTAATTTCTATGGAATCATTTAGTATATTTTAACTTAGAATCATGCCTCGAACGACACTATCATTAGATAAACGATTATTATTGCCAATAGTTAAGAAAAAGAACTAAAACCACATAAAATATTCTTACTATTAACAGTGATTTTTTTTTCTATTATCATTAAATAATTAATGAAATTTAATAGACAACTGAACTATTTTCTATAGAATAATGTTTTTTATTCTTCAAATTAATGCGGTACACCGTCAACTATTGACTAAACTCTTTAATAAAATATATATGAATTGCATCAGTTCGCTTGAACTTGGCTTTTACTATAAATATTTTAATAAATCTCTTAATATGATAATGCCTTCTATATATGAAATAGAGCTGTTTTTCTTTTCGATCTGTATCATATTTCTTACCACGTAATTGAGCCTTGATAGTTGATATAGAAAAGAAAAGGAATAAGCCGTGAAGAAATTTTTATTTTTATATGACATAGCGAATGAGATACCAATTATGACAAGTTCTTTAGAGAAAAAGAAATGACAGCCGATTTTGTTTACGATTCGATCGTTCAGAATCTTTTTATTGGACAAACAAAATAGCTAATGAATAAAAAGCGCTACCATCATCAAAAACTATACAGACTGATTTCTAAATTGAAGAAGAATACTTGAATTCCAATGGCTTTTAAGACAATTTGGGAATGGATTTTAAGCAATGGCTGGTCATCACTAATCAATAAAAATATTGCTATCAAGTATTTCAATGATAATTATTCAGAATCAATGAGAATCTTAACTCATTTGGAAATATCTATGCTTACAAATGAAGTAAATGAATTCATGAGCATTTTTCTAAGATTATTTTTCTATTTTAGGTTATTAAGCAAATTTTGAATTTCAATATTCATGAACAATTGATTATAATTGATAGCGAAGAAACATTATTAACTATTCCATTTATATTAGGGTAGAATCAAATGTTCTAACAAATAGTTCAAAAAGAATTTTCTTTAATAGAATACTTCAAACAAACAATTCCTTTTTTATATGTGATTCTAATTGGTCTGAAAATATGTTAAGAAATTATATTAGCAAACTTAAACCATCGTTATTTATTCGTCAACGGCAAACTAAAGTAAACTGTTTTGTTTTTGGAAATCATTATGACGTATATTTTATGACATAATTTAGGCTAAAATTTATGATAAAATAATCGAGCATGTTACTTTATTATCGATTGTTTTACTTGACGAACCAATTGATTTTTATAAACTCAATAGTGAATGCTATTATAAAGATATTGCTTATGTAGTTACTTCATCAGGTAAAGATGATTTTCAACAGAAATTTGAACTATATTATATATACGAAATCTTGTTTTTTGTCTTAAGCAAGAGTAAATACATTTTTATCAACTTTTTCTAGAAGAATTTTCTTTTGAAAGAATTACAATTTTCTCGACGACATTTCTTTTTCTAGGCAAACCATTAGCTATACTACGTATTTGTATTGAATAGGGTCTTAGATAAATTTTTAATTTCGAAATTTCGAACATAGATTTACAAGATTACAGATGATTTCAACTGAAAAAGTTTATCTTCAATATTTTAACATTGATTGAAATTAAATTTAGTATCTACAAAATTAGCATACTCATGATTATTATCACATAGAGAATCCCACTGAGATTGTTCATAAGAAATGAACAGATAAAAATTTTGAATATTTTCTCTATAGAATGCTATTGAAAAGTAGTCATGCAATGTTCGTTTGACTAGTTATCAATGCTAATTAAATTTCTAGCATCAAGATTATTATTGACAATATAATATCGAAAATAAGTTAATTTTTGAAAAACTATTTTCATATTTTACTTCACATGATATGGAGTAGAAAAATGATTGATGCCAATAAAAAAAATGTTGCTTTCACATGTGAAACCCAGATTTATTTTAAAAACTCGAATATCCAACTAGATTATGTCCGTAGGCTTGTATGTTAAACTAACCAAAATCAGAATAATCAAAGTATGAAACTCAAAGAAATCGATTTCCTAAATTTATTTTAAAAAAAGCATCTTCTTCAAACAATTTTTACACAACATCTATGAACTATTTCGATCTGATGCTTTAGAGTGATATTTTCGACGCATTATTTAAGTATGTTTCGAGAGGTGATAAAAACTTAAAATTAAACGAAATCTATGACTTATTGTAAATAGAAATTGAATATAATGCAATCTAATTTGTATTTAAAATGAAAAGTTTGTTTCTTATAGGTTCAACAGGTATTCCAAAATTGATATTTGTTTCTCATGCATGTATTCTACCAAATTTGGATGAATTAAAGTATGTCGATTAGGTTAGATAAATGTTGTGACTACATATAATTATTTACAGATCAATTTTTAATGTAACATCCAATGATTGTTTATTTCGTTCAACACCTTTGACATTTGATCCATCCTTAGTTGATATATTTCTTGCGATTCATTGTGGTGCTTCTCTTTGTATTTTATCAAAAGAAGTACGTCAAAATCCGATCTTGATATCATCAATATTCAATAAAAGTTATTGTACAATAGCTCAAGTATTCATTATCGTGGCCTTTAATTTCGTTCTTTTGATTGATATCGATTCGTTTTAGATGACACCCAGTTTTTTTCGTCAAATAAACGCACATTGTAATATGGTGCAATTGAAAACATTGGTGCTCGGAGGTGAAAAGTTTCCAGATCTATCAAATTTAACTATTCAACAAATGGTTCGACAAAAGAAACGTGTCGTAAATATTTACGGTTTGACTGAAATGTCTTGTTGGGCATCTTATTACATACTGAACGAAGATGATCTTAAGTAAAATTTTCTTCTTGTTTGTTTGAAAACAAAAAATGTCTAATCTATAACCGATATTATAGAAGCAACAATGGTATTCCATTGGGTAAAGCATTGAATGAGACATCGTTAACATTAAAGTCATATCTTGACAATCAATCACAAACTGATTATTTTCAATTGGTATTAGGTACAGTTTCGTTTATTTTTCTAAAAAATAGAACTTTATCAATATTTTTCAATAGTATAGAGAGTCAAACACGTTGGACACAGATCGAAACGTTATCCTCAGTAAAAAAATTCATATTTGAAACCGATGATCTCGTTTATTGTAATCATCAAAATGATCAAATGTTTTATGTTGGTAGACGAACATTGACACAAAAAAGATTCGGTGTTATGATTAATCTTGAATATATAGAACAAGTGAGATCAATGAAGAGAACACATCGTGAATTATGACATTCGCTTTAGAAAAAGAGATAAAGTAGAGTTTGAAAAATTAATTGAGATATCTTCTATTTGACAGACTTTTATTTTAAAAATAAGGCAAATATTCATTTTGACCGATTTTGTTTTCTCGAAGTCTATATTTACTCATTTTCAATCACTAACTTAAATGATTAGAGGCATTCTTAGTTAACATAACTTGTAATAGTTATAAGTAAAATCTCATTGATGAAATTTTCTTTTAAGGTTCAAGTATTTTGTTTTGTCAAAATTCACATTGATTAGTTTCAATCAAACGAAAATATTCATCAAAGTACTATTTTCGAAACATTACTATTTTGAATCTTTTGAAACAAACGAGTAATAGCTGTTCAATACTATTTCAAATGGACTATAGCGTTTTCATTTCTAATACCTATTTTCAATTAGAATTAATTAATTATCTTTAAGTGGTTGAAAAATGAATGAATATTTTCTACCAAGCCCAGGTCGATTAATCCGACGACGAATTCTATCGGATCCTATAACATCCTACTAAGCGAAGAAATTCAATTGGATTCTGGGTTTCGGAATTATTGACGGATCCGACGGGAGAATTTAAAAAAATGATCAAAATTCTATTTAGTGCAAAAAAGCTTTTGAGAGGTTGGCTATAGCAGACTTTTTTTGGCGTATCGGATCCCAGAGTAGGATACGATCGGATATGTATCGGATTCCGATCCGATGGATCCGCAACGTAGAATCCGTCGATTCTCGTGGGTTTTCATATAAGATCCGAGGTGATCCGATTGGATTCAGTTGAAGAAATGAACGACCTGGGAGTCTTTCATATCATTCGGTAATGTGTTTATTTTTTGATGTCAGAACCGAATTACTTAGCTCTTATATATGCACAATCAAGGAGAAAAGCTCATTCTGAGTGATTCGAATAGCTAGGGACGTTAGAATAACATGTATCCCTTTGTATTTAACTGTTCTTACCTTTTTTTTCTGAATCGTTCGATATTAGATGATATCTTTGCATGAAGCATTGAAATAAAATATATTTGCTAGGATTGCAGATCGATAATAATGGTTGAAATATATAATATTCTTTCTATTCGATGTATTCTTTTTACTTGGACAAAAGCAATAATTCACTAGTCTCATTTTATAAGAAAAAAATGCCCATCAAATTAAAATACAAAACAAACCGTCTTGTCTTAGATTGCAAATCAATCAAATTTACTCGATGCATGTGTTTGTTTCGCTTTAAATGAAAATGAAAATCTATTAATACTTCTATGCAAATTTATACATGAAAATCAAATTAGTGAACTTAATTCGTATCTTAAGTCAAATTTATTATATCATTTTATACCAAATATAATTATTCCATTAGAATATTCGATTCCATTGAATATCAATGGAAAAATTGATCGTAAACAAATATATACGCTTTATTTAAGTATAATAAAAAATTCTTCAAAGAATACTTTAATTAGTATATGGCAGGTCAGAAAAAGAAAAGCTTGTTCATTTGTATTTCTATAATCTATTTTTGGTTTCAGAATCTTATCAATAGCATTCCTGATATTAGCTCAAATTTTATTTTTAACGGTGGAAATTCATTATTAGCATTAACATTCATAGAACAAATCAAACCGTTTTATTCATCGATCGATCCAAATTATTTATTCGATCTTATTTTACATAAAACATTCGGAGATTTAATAGACTATGTAAATGATCCTCAAGAAGGGCGCCACCACGGCCAACAACAACAACAACAACAACAGAAAACTATAGAATATGCTACATCTAATTTATCTGCAACAACAGTAATAAACTCAAATTTGAATCATATTTGGTCAATTCAAAGATGTTCAAAAATATTTCTTCATAATAAAGATCATTTAATGTATGAGTATTTTTCGTTTCCGCAAGAATCAGCATCGCCAATCAAACAATTGACACTACATTGGAAATATTCAATGAACAAATGTATTGATGCATCTCCATTAGTTATTTTAGTCGATGACTTTCGACAATATGTTATTATTGGATCACATGCTGGTTTGATTAATTGTTATCAAATTGATAGTGGACAATTTGTGTGGTCATTTCAGACTAATGATAGAATTGAAGCAACTGGAACAATCTCAAGAAATGGACAATTTTTTCTTGTTGGTAAATATTTTTGATTGCCATTTTTACGACATCTAAAATTCGAAATAAATTTAGGTGATTATAGTGGAATTCTATATATAATTGAATGCTCAAATGGAAAACTTTATTCCTCGTATCAATGTCAAGGTTTAATTAAAACAATTCCGTGTATTCATCGATCGGTTGATATGATTTATCTTGGTGCTCATGATCAATTTATTCATGGAATTCATCTTCAAGTATGCTTTTTTATTACAGAGATTTTCAGTTCCATTTTCTTTTGTTCAGGAAACATCGTCAAAATGTATTTGGAAATATAAACTAGAAAGTAGTTGCGCATCATCACCACAATTATCTGCAGATAATGGTCGACTTTACGTGGCTTCTTTGGGTGGAGATGTATTTGCATTTCAATCAGATGATGGAAAATTATTATGGAAACAACCATTAGATAAACCCATATTTTCTACAATAGCTATATGGAATGAGAAATTTTTGTTAGTTGGATGTGTTAATCAGATATTATATTGCTTAGATAGTGGTAATGGGCAAAAGGTAAATTTTATGAAAGTTAATCTAAAATTACTGCTGAATTTTACAGCGCTAAATTGTTGTATCCATACAGCATCATAGGTCGTACGCAAATAACGTCCATAGAACCTAATTCGAATGAGTTTCTTGATATCAAACATGATTTTGTTTCACTTAAGAAAAGAATAAAGTGCCTAGTCGCAAACGAAGTTATTTAGTGATGATTAGTGCTCTATTCATTACGAAAACAACGACGACGACAACGATGAAAATATCTACTATATTAATGTCATCATTAATATTTCTTTACAAATTATTTTCACCTGATTTATAATGAGCATCTCATAATTATATATGAGTAGAATCGATTCAAAGGTTTTTATACTTCTCAGAGCCCAGCTGATTAGAAATGCTTGAATAATAATCGACGTACTCAATTCAAGATCCATTAATAAAAAGTAAAAAATGATTTCAATGCTGCCATTGAATACTTACTACAGAATGTTTGAATGAATCCATAACAGCATGTGTCTCGTTGATCTATATGCTAATATAATACAAAAATCCGATGATATTATGATTACTGAGAAAAGATGAAGAATTCTAGATCCATCAATAATAAAATTAATCTTAGTACTCAATGAACTTTTATATGTAGGTCACTAAGAAAATGAATTAATATTATGATCAATTTTTTTTCTAGAAATGGACATTTTCCACACATGGTCCAATATTTTCTTCACCTTGTCTCTTCAATAATACTGTATTTATCGGTTGTCACGATCAGTATCTCTATGCAATTGATCTTTCTACTGAACAAAAAGGTATTTTAAAATGGAAATGCTTATTTTCATCGATGATTTATGGATCACCTTTTGTCTATGATAATGGTCGAATGGTTGTTGTTGGTTCAACAGATGGTTGCTTACGTATATTAAATACACAATCAGGTGAAATAGTTTGTGAAACAAAAATTGATGGTAATGGTTTATTTTCTTCGCCTGTTGTTTATCTGGATTTTATTTTGGTTGGTTCACGTGATGATTATTTGTATTGTTACAAACTATTATCATGACTGTTGTTGTTATTATTATTATTATTTTGTTTTTCTGTATGTCTTCTTCTGTCATATCATGAAAAATTCTAACAATCAAGATCGATAGAAACATACATGTACATAAACTATATTTTATCGAAAGTATCAATAAGTTAAATTTATGAGTAACCAACCGTAGAACAGACTAAATTTAATTCAAAAATTTTCAATTATCCTTTATTGAAAACATTCAGTTATAAGTATAAAAAAAGATAGAGAATTTTTAGCTGTGAAAACTTGTGCATTTGACTTCTACAAAGAACTCTTTGTCTAAATTCTCAACAGCCAACATGATGATGCACATTATTTATTCCTACGACAGAATCAAATATGCTCATCTAGATGAGAAGCTTCAATCTTCTGGAACAGTTAAAAATCTTTGGTACGATGAACGAATATTAACGGAAATAATTCAAGTCAAATTTAAAGTCATTTAAATGTGTCGAACATAGTCACGGACACATGCTATATGCTTCAGATAACAAATTCGCTAGACTTCGAAAGAAAAAAATTCTAAACATGTTTTTGACTGATTGAAGCAATGCATGAAAATTGATTGTATACTCAAAAAATACTTCACTGTTTGAAAATTCTATCGAATGACGTATACTTTGAAGGGGCGCTTTTAATGCTTAAGAAAAGCATGTAGTTATATTCAATAGTAGATGAGTTGCATAGTAGACAACATTCTTTGCTGTATAGATTCATCATATCATTAGTTAGTATACTTTTGTAAATTGCGAGCAACTATTTGTTACAATTCAAATATACACAAGATGCAAATACTACAATTGCCTGACAAAGGTAAAATTTTTCTTTCACAGTTATGTTACACTTGAAATTCTCCTTCTCTTGACATACCGATGACAATTCTGCCTGATTTTAACCAAGCGGAAAATGACATTCACATGTAACCCAATTCATTATAATATAAGATTTTCAGTCATTTTTCTCTCAATTCATGATATTAACAAGAGACTTCGAGCTAGAGCATTCTCACACTTCAAAATATTCTTTACTATGATGAATCTATTGATCATTTACAACTATTGTTGCATTTTAATTCGCTACGGAAAAATGACAATAGTTGCGTATATGAAATTGTCTTTTGTAAAAACGATTTTCTAATCAAATAATAAATTTAGTACTGAAGTTTATTAATGTTCTGGTCCGAACACTTGTCCGAACTATTTTATTTTTTGTCAAGTCAAATTTGAATTAAAAAGATCAAGATTGAGCTTTTCAATAAATGAAGAAAAAACGTGATCTTTTTTTTCCATATAAATAAAATTGGTTCATTCAGTATTACACAACTATTAATGATTTTGAAATCTTTGTTTCTATAAAACATTAATTTTCTATTTCTCCACGTCTCAACAATAACTGCGGTAACAAATATTGTATGTTGATTTTATATTCTCTCTTCTTACTTTTTAGTTTCTCTTTTATAAAAAAAAAAAACATCAAGATTATTATTACTCTATATTGTGACTATATCATTATTCTGAAAAAAGAAAAGAAAAAAATTATCGAACTCTGTCGTCACGATTGCAATCCAAAGAAAAGGAATCTCTTTTCTTTTGTTAACCGAAGGCCTTACAGATGAGAAATAAATAAATAAATCATTGTTATAGGTAAAATATAGAAGCATAAGAAAAAGAAATGAACAATTCAGTCTGTATGAAACCTTTCAGTTTCTAGAGACGATCGAAGACGAAGGTAATTATATTGAATTGAATCAAGAGAAGAAAAAGAAGAAATGGGAAGGCAATGCAAAATTAATTTCGATCATATATTTGACTTATTATGCGAGAAAAAGCTGTAAACACATACTTGACAACAGTGATTGAGCGAGTGTAAAAAAAAGCGAAGTAGTGATGGCCAGTGTAGCTAGTAATACTACAGATACAGCATCAAAACCACTTATGGATCGATTAACACATGCTATTATAAAAGAAACATCAAAAAATTTGTAAGATATATGTAAATGCGAACAAATTTTAACGTTTCTTTCGTGTTTTTTTTTCTTGAGGAAATATTATATTGATGTAAAACGTCGTGAAAATGCATTTGTTCTTAATCCAAAGTCGCCATTTAGTGATTCAACACCAGTCAAGGCAGTAAGTAACTAATAAATAAAGTTGATTAATAATACTATCTATCTTTCAGAAGCTTCCTAATGGATCAACTAGAGAACATCTCTCACTATATGGCTCCTATTATGCAGATAAAGATACTACAAATGTTTTACCGAGTTTTCAACAAAAACAAACACAATTTCATGTAGGTCTAGATGATTAGTGTATTAAAATAAATTTCGAAAAATTTATTTTATAGCCAATTACAACGAGTCCCGAAAAACGAATGTGCCGTGAAGAACTAAATTTTCATATGCGTTCATACAACTTTTCAGTAAAGAAATAACATGAACAAGAACGTTGCGTTTTTTGAAAGAATAAGAAATCTTTTTTTTATAGCCAAGAGAGAGTTCAAAATTTTCTGAAATACGTGCAAAGCCTACAATGCGATCGAGTTCATCATGCGGTATTCATCGTGATTGTCGACCACGAACATCACTAAAACTAACACGTCATGAACAAGATCAATTAGTTGATGATGCAGCTGATATTCTTGCATCCTTAGTTAGATCACGTCGATCAATTAATGAAACTAATACATTAATACAACCGGTAATCTTTTATGTCTAAAATATTTTTCTTACTATTTGCAATAAATCTAGACACCAACTTTGTATATTTCGGAGCCTACGACTTCTTCGCCACGGCAAACAGAGTAAGCCATACTTAGAAAACAAACGAAATAGCTATCTATTTGTATTCTTAGTGATCAATCAAATATTCGATCGCCTATGACGTATCCGGCAACTGATTTACGAATTTTCTCAATTAAACCAAAAGCAAAAGCAAAAGCAAAAGGAGAAAAACGAATAATACAAGATGCTCCCACTAAAGCAACATCTATGGCAAGTGCAACTTCAAACCACTTATAAAATGATTTGTTCTTTTCTTTTCTTCTATTCATTAAAGATGCAAAAAGCAAAATTAATAACTAAAGGTAGTCCATGTGAATATAAGATATCAGTTACAACGGGAAATTGCAATGGCGCCTCAACAGATGCACCTATACGTATTAGACTTCATGGAACAAATGGGTATACGAATTTTCATGAACTTGCTCAGTCTGAAACTCATCATATACCATTTCTAAAAAATCAATCTGATGTATTTACTCTTCAAACATTTCATGTTGGCGAATTAGTAGGAATTACTATTGGACATGATCGAAAAGATATGCGTAAGTTTGACATTTTAGAATGATAAATTGAATACGTTTAACATTTTCTTTTAGGAGCAAGTTGGTTTCTAAGCAAGATATCAATTAGTGATCCGATTCGTCATAAAACTTCTAATATTTTGTGCAATGCTTGGTTATCAATCAAATCTATTGATAAAAAAACCATGCGTGATTTTCAAGTGACTTCAGTTGTATCTCATCAGAAGACACTGATTTCAAACGGTATGAAACAGAAAGCAAAATTCTAAAAGATAATTTTATCTAAATAATGACTGATTGAACTCCGTTTTATTGTGTGTATAAGTTAGGAGACTATCAATTTCATGATTTTTAAAACAGTAGAATTAGATCAACAAGTTAAATCATTCACTGGAAAACCAACAAATTTTACCAATCGAAACAACACTCAAATATAACACATAATTGTTAATTGAGTTTCAAATCACTTAGGTTTTTTACGTACTCATTTTTCTTTGACATCTGCTAGAATAATATTACCCATTATGGAGTTTTGAAATAAGACAGAAGGGTAATTAAATTTTACATAAGTTTTTTTACCTGTATTGGCATCATCGAACTGACACAGGCGTTATCTGAACAAGTTACGCTTGCAAAAATTTACAATTCTAAGTAATTAAGATGTATATTTTAGATCATCGAGAAGAAAATGAAAGTCAATCTGATTATTCTACAAAAACCATCGAAGGTACAAGCAGATCCAATGAAACAAATCTAAGTGGAAATATTTTATTAACTGATTATAAACCAATTCAAAAAAATCGAAAACAGCAGCATGTATCAATTGGACCAACAACATTTGCTACAAGATTACCATCAATGTCTACACATACAAATAATTATTCTCAATTATCACCACCACCACCACCACCACCATTGGCTACTATAGCAACAATCGAAAGTCATTTTAATCACGATGATTTACTTTTTCCGCCTATTGTACCTCGGATTCATTCAGCAGCGCTTTCTGAAATATCTTCAGATACTGAAATTGAAAGTAATATGACGAATCGAACTCGTTCAACATCTCGTACACCATCGCCAACATTTCATCAAACACGTTTACAATCTGTTTCTGAATATGATACCTTGCAAACAAAATCAACAAGTAGTATGTTGAAACGTCATTCAATCGATCATGATCGACCACCAGCACGACTTGAAAAAAGAATTTCACCATTATATGCATCAGTTGAACGATCAGATAAAAACAATGAAAACAATCCGTTTTCGTTTATAGAATAAGGATTTTAGGTTTTCTCTGAGACATGTTTTCCCCCCGCATTATTCATGAGAATCAACTGACGTCTGTTTGTTAAACAATAAACTTGTATTTGTATCTTATTTAAAAAATAATTTGTCATTAATTTCTATTATTTGATACGAGAATGCTCTTGTAGGTTTAGATTAACAGGCATGACATTTTTGGTTTACTCTGATTTGGTCACGGCGATTTTTTGTTTTTCAAGATCTCGCCTAGATATAACTATTCCACCAAATGTATTCATACCGCATAAATATTAGATCATTCTATGATGTTTTTCTTAATTGGTTTTTAGTTAACGACTAGCATTTCATTGGAACATACTTAAAAATCGAATGGAATGCAAACAATTCGTTTCTCTGATTCTCTTTAGATGTATTATGTTCTATTCATCTTAGTAATGTTGTTTTCAATAACATACATAATTGACAACATTGATAAGTCTAATCATTTATTATTCACAAATTTGTAGTGTTCCTATTTTAAATTCTGCTTTTTAAAATAATATTACCATATAATTTTGTACTCAATGATCTTGACTGAAGTATGCGTTTAAGCGGTAATGCAAATATTTTTCACATACTCAAAATTAAAAGTTACAATAAAAACAAACAATATCTATCTCCTATAGTAAAAAAGTAGGTTAAGGTTGTGAAATCCTCAAAAATCTTTGTTGAAATAATAATATTAAATCATATTTTTTAATTAACAGTAAAATTTCGATTATTTATTCATCTGATTTCGATTTCATAATAGCCAGTTTACGCAAAGTGTTTATTTTTCGAATTCATTCACATTGTATATCAATTATGGATGTACCACCAATCTCTGTGAATGTTTCTTTTCATCATTAATATACAATTTCTTCCACGAGTTTACAACACCCACAATTTGTCAGAAGTTACTTTTTCTTTAATCGCGATGTAAAATAAAATAATCTCTTGATACAGATCGTTGAGATGATATTTAACAGATGGTATATTATTGCCCAATTACTATGTTTTATGAAATTCATTTTTGGATACTACATCAGATGTACGTTAGTCATTGGAATAAAACCATAAAACAAATAAATAAAAACAACAAAAAAGTGCGATTACAAATAAATAAAACAAATAAAACTAATGTTGATAAGTAAAGATGATAAAATGTGTGAAGATAGTGGGAGAAAAAACATTTTTACCAGTATAAAGTTCATTCAGACATGAGTTAAATGGAATGAAGCACATAGAATGTTGACTAGGAGATTATTTAGTTAAATTACATAACGCTTTGTTTTAGCTTTACAAAATCGACGACGAAATAGAACAAGAATAATAATAATAGAAGCAAGCAACACATAAAGCGAAGAATGTTGTAAAATTATCATCAAAGAATTAGTTGATCCTACTTGCTGTGATTTTTCTTCCTTGTGCTTCGTATGTTGTAGTTTTTCTCTCTTATATTCTTCATGTTGCAATTTCTCACTCCTATACTCTACATGCTGCAAGTTTTCGTTCTTATATGCAACACGTTGTAGTTTGACATCTTTGTATTCTGCAGTTGAAACTAAACGTTCTTCTTCAGTTGATAGTTCTTCAAGAAGACGAGATTTATTTGATATTAATGATATATCGATATTTTTTCTTGAGTAATAATCAAGAAGAAAATCGATTGTTTTTGAAATATCATAGTCATCATTGTTTTGACTATTATTGATTGATTTACATGTTGTACATAGATATCGATTTGGAAACTGAACTTTTGGATGTTTAGGATCTTCAGTTATTTGACCCTGTAAACGTTTATTAACACTATTATGAACTAAAATATAATTATGAAGATTAAATGCAAAACAAAATTTATTCCAATGAATATTTTACCTTTCCAAAGATAGATAATAGCTTGGTGTTTATTTTGTGAATCAAGTTGAGTTATATTGATAGTTTCTTTCATAAAATTATCACTACATTGTTTACAACCAAAAAAAAATTTAATATAATTTTTTATAGCTAATAGAACTTCGGTAACATTAATATCTTGTGATTCTATTCAAAAATAAAATCAGAAAAATGACGAGAACAAAAACAGCATAATTAAAGATAGAACTAACCAGCTTGATATTGTGAAACAGTGAGCGTATGGAAAAGAAGCCATAGTGCACATGGATAGCCACGATATTGTGGAGCAGATCCTGCACAATGTTGATATTGAACATGATCATTAGGTAAATAAGCATTCGATATTTTCATATCAACCATATCCCGAAATAGACTTCCACTGAAACCATGTGGTTTTTCATTAACACTTGATAATAACTGTTGAAAATATGCCATCACTGGTGCACGACCAGGAAAATACTACATGAAAATAAGTAAAAAGAAATACTACAAATTTAAGTTCTCTTTCAAATCAATGATGAATATTAGATGCTGAAGCAGGTCTAATAAAATTAGGATTGATTTACGAATCTCAAGTGATATATTCGTACTTGCTTTTATGCAGCCAGTTTAGTTAAACTGTTTTTATTATCATTTTGCTGTTAGTTCAATAAAGGCAGCAAAACATTTTTGTCAGAAATCAAAGAAACTATGCATTTTAAAACATCAATTGGTCTCACGTAACATGCATCTACTAAGAATAGAGGAGGAAAAGGAAATAGCATCACTTAGCAAAGACAGTTCTATATTTTTATGTAAGCTTATGTTTAAGAAATTTTATGAGCTTATTAAATAGAGTACGGAAAATGATGTCCTGTTATGGTAATATTAATACGAATCAACAGGGAATAAGAATTAATGAGCAATCTGCCTAAAGCAATAGTAATAATCATGATACTAACCGATTAGAAAATTCTGAAAATTAATCAATGAAACAGTTGCTACAAATGAATAAACGAGTGAGAAATAAATGATCTAGTTACTATCAATTGTGAATCATGGCTATTCTGTATGATTTGAACTGAATCGAAATCGCCATTCAGCTGTTATTGGAGAATTTAGTAGACGACATATCCTAACAGTGATAATTGAAACCAATGTGTGAATGGACGTTTCGGACCAACAGGAGCAAAAAATATTTTTCCCGTATTTCATTGAAAAATTATCAAATATCTATGAAAATTTGTTAGAGTACTCGGCGGTTAGTAATTGTGTCAATTTCAGCAAGGCATTCATTTGGAAATCCTATTGTAGTTGAGTATTTTTATGTATAGCTGTCAGAAATAAAAATTATTCCCGTATCTAACTTATTGTCTTCAGAATAACAAGTATTATGGGTACTTCAGCAAACAAATGACAAACATAATAGACAGGCATTTTTTTAAATAATATTTTTCCTACTTTTCCGTCCTATTATTAGATCTCATGTAATATAACTCGCCGAAGGAAATTATTTTTTTTTTGTATTTGTGATTGATTTTATTTTACTTCATATGAAGAATTTTCATCATATTCATTGCCGTAGTTACTATTCATGCATGGATGATTCATATTTGTCAACAGTCGTAGTATATCTCAACATAATCTATTTTATTTATTTAGATAATACCTTATTCGAATCTGTAAATAGTTTAACTTTACTTTTCTCTATTCTGTGAAATTGTCATTAAATTGTATTTAACTATTCGTATAATATATCGAGTCGAAAAAATTTATAGATATGCAAATCAAATTTCGAACAAAAAAATAATCAACTATTCGAAGACTCTATATATAATCTTGTAATTAACGTTTTTGAAACTAGTGAATCTATTTATAGTATTAAATCATGAATATATTTTATATATCATACCTTAGTAAGCACAGACAACCATTGAACTAATGCATCATAAGCTTTACCTTGAATGTCCTTCATTTGAGGTACTTCTGTTCGAAACATGTAAGTTAAAGCTAATTCAAGATCAACCATATTAACTTTACGATGAACTGTACTATTATCACCGATATCATCTGTTATAGTCTTGTTGTGAGTTACTCTTTGGTTTTTATCCGCATTTTTAAGTGCATTTTTACGAAGAATAACCTCTTCGAGATCATGATCATCAAAATCATCAATGGAATGTGTTCTATGTATAAATGATCGAATACCATTGTTAAACGAATTTCGAGTATCAATATTACTACTGAAGAAAATGAAAATTCATACAAATCATTTCTATTATTCAATGAATTATTATCTTTACTAGTTATTTCGTTCAATATTGATTCTTTGAGCAGTTCTATTACGAAAGATAACAAATAAAGCCGGTACATCTGTTAAACTAATATTAAATTTATGCCATAATTTTCCATCTGTAGTTGTTCGACAAATAGCTATTTGTTCGCGATATTGAGAAAAGTCAAGCATAACCTATATCAAATATTATAAAGTTCTATTTGTCAATATGAAAAGGAAATTTTACTTGTCGACCAGTAAAATCGTCTCGTTTTTCTGCAATTACTAAAAGGACTTTGACTGCCGGTGGTATACGTGAATAAATTTCTTCAAATGTAATTCGACTATAAGCAATACAAAATATTGTTTTAATTAATTACATGTAAGCAAACAGTAATGTTTTACTTGACTGGTGTAAAATATGGCCATGATTTGTATTTTTTATGCATTTTTTCAAGCTCTTTAATAAGTCCGTTTTCCACCGCATTGGCATTCATTGCTGGAATATCAATGCCTTTAGATGCATTATAAGAACTAGTACCTGGAGGTATTAACTATTTTAGAATGAAAACGAAAAAAAATACACTTAAACAAAACTAATAAGAATCCTCCCGCTTGACTCACCCGAAGTGTTGGATAGCCTCTGATACCATATTGACGACATACCGCTTCATTCTTTCCTGCATAACAGTTTAATGCTCCAACGCGAACAATCTTTTTCCATGCTGAAAAAAAAACAGAATTGATGTTGAAAAAACGGTACAGTTTTACCTACTCCAAGTATCTATAGCGATTTCTCGGTAAGTCTGGTATTGACGGGAAAAAAATAACAAAATTGAATATCTATCAAGCAAAGAAATAGAATATATAACATACATTGACATAAGATTGACAATGACCACACCAACTTGCATAGAATTCAATTAGCCATGCCGTTCCCGATTGGTTAACTGCCGAGGAAAAATTTTCACTTGTTAGAACAGTTATTTTATCGTTTGAATTATACAATGAGACCAAATTTACAGACGATGATGCATCTGTTACAGTTTTTGGAATATTGGCAATAATAGCAAAAAGAATTAAGTTAATATATTTAATAATAAACAACGATTTCATCAGCTAATAAATAATAGATTCATATACATGTGATCTGTAATAAGAAAGAAAAAATGCACAAAGCATTATATTTTAGTCACACTGGATAGTGTCTCATTCAAACTGTCACACAGACGCACACATACAAGTGAAGCCGAATGAAAAAATATCATCTTTTTTTATAGATGACAAACATTGAATGTCACTCGTAGACATTAAACGAACACAGACATGCTAAATTGATAGAAAGAAAGAAAGAAAGAGAGACAGGCAGATAGATGAGCAATGTCTAATCCGTTAAATAAATTTCGCATCTTCATTTCTGCATCATGCACATATTTACTAGTGTATTTTTGTATCATCGTCATGAAAACTTTGATTGAAGTCAAGATTCTATTGAATCTGCTTGCATGAATCAATGGCATATTTTTAATGTCTTCTTTTTTCTTAGTCGTTATCTACATGTAATGTATCTCTTAATTTAGCTTTTATGAATACAAACATTAATAGTTTCTCATGCAATGATGTTTAGTGGAAAGAAAAAAAAACGCTAATCAAAATCACGAAAAGACAATATGATAGCCTACTGAAGAAAAGTCGATTTAAAAAAAATGTTACTGCAAGTTTGATTTCATCGCGGATAATCCGTTAATACTATCATTATTGGCCGGTAAAGTTTGGTTTTCGTTTCTCTAAAAATGCAGTCATGCCTTCTTTTCTATCAGCCTAAAGAAACCAAAAAATAAATCTAAATTTTTTCATCTGTCGTTTTGGCTAACTTACTAAGCCAAATGTTGTATGAAATAGACGCTTTTCAAAACGATTTCCTTCAGCCAATGTTGTTTCAAATGCTACGAAAAAAAAAATATCAACATACATAATCTTTCACTAATCAAGGAAATAAAAGTTACCCGTATTGACTGCTTCCTTAGCTAATTGTACGACAATTCTTGAATGACTTGCAATTTTTTCAGCTGTTTTAATAGCTTCATCAACAAGCTTATCAACTGGAAAAACAGCACTAACTAAACCAATTTTTTCAGCTTCTTTTGCATTAATTCGATCGCCTGTTAACACCATTTCCATTGCTTTTGATTTTCCAACGTACCGAGGTAAACGTTGAGTTCCACCAGCACCTTTCATATTGAAACATAAAATATTATGATTACAGTAGTAAACGTCTTACCTGGAATAGTACCAATAATAATTTCTGGTTGACCGAATTCAGCTTTCTCCCCAGCATATATAATATCACACATCATTGATAATTCACAACCACCACCTAACTATTAAATAAAAAGAAAAAGAAAAAGAACAATATATATATATATATATTTATTGAATGGACTTACTGCAAAACCATTTACAGCAGCAATAATTGGCTTTTTAACTCGTGCTACTGCTGACCATTGATCGAGAAAACCTGAGCCAACTACTTGTGCGAGTTTATTATTTTGCATTTCCTTGATATCGGCACCAGCTGAAATATTCAAGATTATTTTAAGTTGTTTTCAGAAATACAATAAAACTAACCAGCAAATGCACGTGTACTGCCTGTTAAAACAATACAACCAATTTTATCATCTTTGTCCAGTGATTCTAACACTGTACTCAACTAGAAGAAAACAATGAAATTTAAATCAATGTATGAATATTATTCGTACTTCTTTCATCAAACCATCACATAATGCATTTAATGCTTTTGGTCGATTGAGTTGAACAAGTGCTACATTAGAGTTTTGTCCTTTAGTATCTACTAGTAAATATTCATATTTTTTTTGTTGTTTATCACCATCACCTGTGTATATCAAAGTTAGATAATTTTTAAAAAGATTTCGAATTTTTACTTTGTTGAGATGGATTTGTTGATGCTAAGCGAAGTGCTAATGACGTCGCAGGATGTGGTTTCAAAAGAAGTGTAGATCTTGTTGTTGTTGTTGTTGAACGTGTAAGAACTTGTGATAATGTTCTCGTAAGGAAACTCATCTTTAATAGGTGTGAAATATTTTAATAAAAATCAAGCAAGTATTTCTTTGCTTGAGAGACAGCCTGCATCGTTATAGAATGTCTCGTTTACATGTATGCGCATGGCATCAATAACTGTAACTACTGCGTTTCAATTCAACCAAGTGATTACAAAAAAAGACAAGGGAGACAGCTTACTGTAAAAATTAATGTGCTCGACATATGCAGCACAAACCTATTTAAATGTAAACCTTCTACTCTGAAAAAAAGATTATTGCCTATTATATTAGCAGAGAGACACATACACACACACCACACACACTGTAAGGAAGCATCTCTATTGGATCATACTTTTACCAATAGAGAGAGAGGAGATGGTATTATTTATTTTTTGAATGAATAGTATAGTAATAGTATGTATATAATGTGATTTATAATGGACAGAACAACTAAGCATGGCCTCTATCGTTTTCAGAATTATAAACTTGAAGAAAAACTAATCACAATTAAAAATATGAATAGATCAATTAAAACAAAAAATAATTACTAATTAAATTCGATGGAACATTTCGTACTAATGCACAATCAGTTGATTTAGCTTTTTTTGTCATGAAAATAAAATATTCAACAACAAAACTAATCGATGGATGTGAGAAAATGCTCTAATCTAAATAGATGAATCAATGACAAATTCGTATGCTTGAATAAAACATGCGATTCGAACTCGTCTATTATGAAGAAAAGTTTAATGAACAACGATGCTTCTATTTCTTTTTATTCAACTCATATACATTTGAATTAAAACAAACAGATGTACAATTCTATTAGATCAAATGCTTTCACAATTTTATTCATGTGAATATAACTAATTTGACTTCAATGGGTACTAAAATAGATAGACTGTTATACCATAACATTGGTTTCGATAGCAAAAACAAAATATGACGTAGACTTATTTTCCAAAAAAATTATTTTCATGGAATAATTTGACACAAATCAAATTAAGATTGATTGAAGTATTTTAGAATGAATCAATATAAAAAGCTTCCTTTTAATATCAAGTTTGTTTATTTAGAATACATGCATAGAAATTCATATTGTGATCGATACCCTTTGAAATCTAAATATCCAAGATCAAGTTTTAACAAGTTTGATGATAAATTTTTCTCTAACTATTAAGCTATAGTTAGTGATATTTTTCAGGTAATAAACCAAACATGACTATAGATTTCTAGATATTCGACTACGTCTACATTTAAAATTCAGAATACATAGAATTTTTTCTGGAATGATAAAATGCCGATAGCTATCTAAAATAAAAGATTCCAGTTTTCCATCTAATTCTTACAATAATTACTGACGCCTCTATATAGTTAACAAATTATTATTGTCATCGTCTTCAACTTTAAACTCCACTTGAAATCAAAAGTTAAAAAAGTAATTGTAACTATATAGGTAGCTACATCAGCATCATTTGTGATAATTCAATAGCTATTTGAAATGAAGAAGATCGATCTTGAATTAGTTTTTTAAATGCATCTAAAATCAACATAGTTTTTGCTTTTTCATCTATTCATATCATGTTTAATCTTTGAAGATACTTTTATACACATTTGATTTACCTGATACTATACAATCGTTTAATTGGTATAGTACTATAGAAAGGCAATCTAAGTAAATCGTTCTGAATCGTGACCGATTGCCAGTGCTGTCCAGATTTGTTCAGTTTAAGATATATGATAAAGACAAATGTTTTTGCAAGTTTTTTTTTCGAAAGCCCTGATAATGCATGATTCACAATCAATTTAATTTCTTTTTTCTACCAACTTCTGCTAGAGTTGTTTTTCGTAAGTTTATATCGAGTGAAAGCAAAATCATAGCCATATGATCTTATAAGCTAAAGTAGTAATTTCTTTCGCAAGTGCATTTACATTGTTCTAGTTCTAGCGTCAATATTCTACTTAATCTTGTTTTTATAGAGCAAACAACATGAAAATGAATGTTTTCTATCTTCTGTTTGTTAGACATAATTTATTTATTTATTTTTGTTTATATAGGATGCTTTTGATGATGAATGAATAGTTTAATGATTTATTAAACTCTCAGATCAAATAATAGAAAGACTTAAACAGAAATTGACTAATCTAGCACCAAACTGCAATGTTTGAAGCAGTTCATTGTCAAGTCTCTCAATAATATCGCTAGAGAGTCCCCATTCCCAATAAAACAATACCGGATGGAATCCCCAGAAAATAATCAGACAACCGATGTTTAGTTCAACGATGTTTCTGGGAATTCATACGTATCTGATAGTTGCTAAAAGTTACTTATTCGTATTTTTCCCAATAACGTAACTTTTTCTTTCAATGTTTCTCAGCCGAGAAATCAATGTGTCAAAAAATATCGCCCACATGTCAAGAAGGCTGCTCATCTAATTTGTTCGACAGGCTTTCTGGACTGATGGCTTCTGTAAATCAAATAATATATCGTGTCAAAATCATATAAGTTATCGTTGATGGAGTTTAGATAGAAGCATAAGCAGTACTTATCGATTAGAAATAAATTAATATTAAAATCCCAATTTTTCTTTTGGATCTTCATTTTCATATGTACTTCTATAGGCACGAAAGAAAACAGCTAATGTAAATATTTATGTAGTCCCTCATGAATTCCCTAGGACTCTTCATTCTTTTCTGTGTATTTCTCGCATTGGGGGATTCTCCAGTGAGATTCCGGTGACATTTATGGGGACAACGAACTGTGCATACATTAAAAGAAAAAAAATTTCTAGTAATTCATAGATGTCAGATATTGATGGTGTGTGTAACATGAAATAAGAATGCGCTACACGTAGCCAGTAATCGACATTATTTTGTTAGTGATTTATTTTCGTGGCGTACGTCTTTGAGACAAGTAGTAGTCAGCTGTATTCATTCTGAATCATTAAAAGGAAAACAATCATCATTATGACATTGGTATTTTTACTTCATATGATGTCTAAAAGCTTATGAACAAAAATATCGACAGATATGCCAAATAGTCAATCTATGATGTCAACTACAGTATCAACAGAAGCCCGAAATCTTAGAGATTTAGTAAATAATTCAACACGTATTGGTGGAAGCTATGGTAGTTTAGACAAATCAACAATACAACCCACATTCTATATTGCTCACGAGGTCGAGTCAGATGACACGTTGCAAAGACTTTCATTAAAGTATAGTGTCAATGTATGTATTTTTCTTTTGCTTCTAATCATCATCATCATCATGTATTATATTTATATTGAAGATTCAAGAAATTAAACGAATCAATAAACTATGGTCTGACGCTGAATTAGGTTTACTTGAATATATATATATTCCAGTTAGTAAGGCACAATTAGCGGTACTTCGAACTAAATATTCAACAATAAACATTCTTCAAGACCTACCTAAATTAATAAACCAACGTAAAAAATTATCCATGAACACTAATACAGTTGATGAAGATGAAGCAACTTCATCTATTCAGTCATCTGACAGCTCCACGTCTCTATCAACAACGACTAGTACATCCTATCAAGATTATTTCTCAAAAATTGATCAGCAGATACAATTAACAAAGAAAACATTACAATCAATAGATACACGAGAGCTACATTTCACGTATAAAAATGAATAAATAATATCTGAATATTATTTTCTATTTTAGTTCAGAATCACACGAGATATCAATTGCACATGTTTCTGATAAGTATGATACTAAATCTACGAAAAAGAACGATAATCCTTCTTGCAATAATGAACAAAGGACAACTGCTCATCGTTTATCTGATAATTTGGTACCATCGGATCTGGCAACACACAATTCACGTGAAAAATATATATCTGCTGCTCTTGAACGAATACAACGAGAAAAAGATAATCTTGACGAACTTTAACTTTATCCATGGATTGATAAAAACTGACCAGAAAAAGCCGTAAACTTATTTGAGTCAACTTAATATTTTTGCTTATCTACACATTGAATTAGAAATTTTGTTAACGTGATTAAAAACTTAATTCTACTTGCATATCAATATAGTAATTCATTCACTGGGGAAAAAACCTGAGGAAACAAATAATACGATACGTATATAACTAAAACTAATGTTTCCGATTATTATTACGTATTTACATTTGTAAAACTTTCTGAAAATATATTATTCCAATTAAATATTGAACAAAATTTTTGTAGAAAAATAGTATTTGTCTAAATATATAATTGATAAAGTGAAAGCTTGTATCTAAAATAAACACAGAAACATCTGTTGATAGACAATTTTTCAAATTTATCTAGTTTTCCCCCAGCGCGAACGTTAGAACTTAACTTTTACTCTCTGTCAAATGATCAAATCTTGACCTGCAAAAATATTGATTGAATTATTTCTTTTAACTTTTCTTTGTTTGTTGACAACGTTGAACATGTTTTGTCATCTAGATAATAAATAAATGAATATTGAGATTATATTTTGTTGGTTTACTTTTTATAAATGAATGAAAAAGTGAAATAACTGATTAATTACAAATAGCATGAAAACCTATAAATGATCAAGTATGTTTAGCAGCAAAATTTTCTCATGTAATAGCTAACGTTGTGACAGTTGTAAAGGTGAAGTTTCATGAGGATAAAGTGCACTGGTTTTTCTACTATAGAGATAAAACGCTCGTGCAGTTTTCTCAGTGGTAAACACATTTTTTAACTCGAAATCTTCTGATTCTAAGCAGAAAAAAATTAATCTCAGCGTTCTTTGCTGAAAAAATTGATAGATTTACAAAATTATCTATCATACGCTGTTCTTTCCCTAATGATTAGAAATAAACTTGTTCACTCTGCCACGATATCAAATTTAAGCACATACTAATCTTTGTGTACATAGATACTGTTATGTGCGGAATTAGAATAGCATATACTTTCATAGCATTTGTTTTGTAAAAAACTATAATATAAACTCGAAATCTCTTGTTAAAAAACACTTAGTTTTAGCAGTAAAATTAATTTTATTCGCTTCTTAGGCATATTGCAATGATAACGTGACTCAAATGAAATACAAAATTAATCTTTTAATCAACTTTTCAAGCTTACTAATTCAATGAATAAGTAAAAGGTAGAGTTGAGTCGCATTTTGAATGACTCACACCATTTAAAAAAAAAATTAAAGTAATAGTATTATGTAAATCATGATCTCTCTACTATCTATATTCACCTTTCTTTCACTAGTATGTGCAATTCAATCATAGTTTTGTTTTAACATGATGTAAATTCAAATTAAAGAGTCATCATTATAATTTTTATTATAATAGATATATGCGACGTTTGGGTCCGTATTAAAATTTCAAAATAATGGATAATTGATACAAAATGATTATCAGTACAATGACTAAACGGCATTAATCCATAAAAGAATGTTCTTGTGGAGAGCATTTCATTTCAACATGTCGAAGTTTTGAAAATATATAATATCAAATATGAGCCATAAATCAGAAAATTTTCATCCAGAAAATCAAGCATTATCGTTGAGTTATTGAGTTTTTTCAGTCTAAACTCACCTCAACAATGAAATGTATACATTGCATGTCAGCAAATTAATTCTAAAGACTTTGATTTAATTGCATTTCAAAAGGAAGAAATAGTTGATTTTTGAAATAGGTACCATCAGCTAACATATATTTATAAATAATTCATATAAGATTTCTAAATCGCGATAATTCAGCTACTATTATAAAAAAAAGAGAGAAAATGTACTGAATTTGCTTTATAATACTGGCAATAAATCGAAAAATTCATGAAAAGGAAAATAAATTAAAGGAGTCAGTGATATTGAATAAAATAATTGAGGATCCAAAGCATTCTACCTCGTTTTAATCAGATTTTCTCTTGAATATGTCGTAATTAAAAATCACTCTCAGTTTTATTCGCATGATATCGACATACACAAGGCCCATAGCCCTAAAACTATTGCGTTACCTACAGTGGAATCAAATATAAAAATATATCACAGGTCTACAATTCTGGCATCTGTATACGAAAACCGCGAACAATCGTTTTTTTTCAGCATATATAGTCGTATTTCTCCGTATATAACCGTTTACGATCGTGCCTATTTGACTTGAGTATAACTAACCGTCTTGTTTTTCGGCGCCATCTATGCTGTCTTTCGACATATATGGTTTCTCTGTTTATATTTGATTTTCTTTTTAATTGGTTCTAAGTTTTTATATATGACTGATCGATCGATATGGTCTCGTTTAGCTTGAAATGTCTTTGATAGAGATATCTAGGGTAGATTTTTGAATCTTTATTTCCATGCTAACCAACAATAGTATTTCCAGTAGCAAATGCGCGGACATCTGATATGAAGATGTACGCTGTTGTAAATTTGACTAAAAAAACTTTGTGTACAATGTATTATAGTTTACTGGTAATTTCTACAATGTACTAAAAATGTTGTACGGACTATGCAAGATAGTGGCCTTCCTTTTTTTTAGACTTTTCTACTTAATCTCTATTTCTTATTGATCTGTTTCTTAATAAATGAGATATAGCTATTTTTTGCAGCATGAACCTTTGATATTGCACATTAAACTGGCAATAATAAGTCTATGTGTAGATTTCGCCAATTTAAAACAGCGTGTACTATACATTATATTTTAGATTTCCATTAGAAACAATGTTTCAAGTTAGTATCGCCAATCTAATGTTTTGTTCTGGAATTATATCATTGTATTGTGTAAATTTGTTTTATTTTTATTATTTCAGATGCTATTCATGATGATAAAACCATTTTGTATTATATTAAGATGTTGAGATTACTTAAAGAAGTTAATATGTTCTTCAATATGTATTTTTTTTATCATTAATTTTTCCAATTTGCTTCCCTATTGATGTAGTTTTTTCACAGAAGAGGATTTTAAAATTGTTAACCTTAAGAAATATATTTATGAATTATTTAAATTAGTTTTTTACTCTTTCTGTTTATTCGATATTATTGAATTAATTAATGTTTATTTATAAATCAAATTTATTATAAATAAAAATGTTTCTGAGCGCTGCTGTCTCGTTCTTCAGTTCAGTGCAATTTTATGATTAAAATAAAATAAAAACCTATGTTTACTATATACATATTCGTTTATTTTACTTCGTCATTATCTTTCTCTTATAGTAAACTGAAAGATAAGATGATGATGCTGGAGTCTTAAGCCTATACATTTTCATCTTTCGCTTCGCTTTACGAAAAAAGAGAGAGAACAAGTAAAATGGGCATATATGTCAAACTTGAAACTTGAATTTATTAATTGAAAATTTTCAACTTTTAAACCAATAGCATTCTGAATCATTGTGACTCATACATATATCGCTATAAGTTGAAAGTTGAAATTCTCTATTTTCAACTGAATTCAAGTTTCAAGTTTGACACTACTGCAAATCTCTGAAACCTTTTCCAAATAATAAAGTTAGTAAACAAATAAGCATTTATTAATTCAATTATATCTAATTAATAGAAAGAGTAAAAAATTTATTTAAACAATTTGTACTGTTTTTCTTTATGTTAACAATTCTTTTTTTTACCTCCCTTGACTACCCAACTTAGTCTATTATTGGTTCTGTCCGATTTCATTACTATTTTGTATCAGTATGAAACTTCAGTATTAGTTAATTTTACTGTTCCCAGACATATTATTTCACTGATTTCAAAACTATTGTAAAAATACAGTGATTACAGGGGGATAAAATAATGACACGAAATCTATCAATTCATTTTAGTCTAAATAATACAAATAGTCTTTACGGAAAAGTATAGCTTATTACCTGAAGGAATTCGCTTGTTAGCCATTGAAAGCTTTTAATTCTAATCATGATAATTTCAATAAATCATGAAATCGGTATAAAAGTTACTCATAGTAAAAGAATTTCTGAATGATTACTATTTTATATGCTCTTAAAAGTAATTCATAGACTTCTTATGAATTAGAACGTAGTTGTATTTCCGTCATCATAAGTGATCAAAAACTGAAGTTCTAGTGTAGAATAGATCTAGATTTTTATTATATATTTTATCCATATCAGTCTATTCAACGGAGGAGTCATATAAAAACCGAAGATTATTTAACGAAGAAAACGTTTATTTAAATACAAAGTGTATATTTTTATTATGATTGGTTTTCTTCAGATGCAAAAGGTTGATTGTCTTATTGTCGGTGGTGGCATTGTAGGCGTAGCTGTTGCTCGACATCTACAAGCAACATTTTCACATTTGAAATGTTTATTAGTGGAAAAAGAAAACACTTTGGGTAAGATGAAAAGACAAAAAGACAACATGTTTTAATTAACAAAAAAAAACAACAACTTCTTATTCAACTATTTAGCTAAACATCAGACAGGACATAATTCTGGTGTCATTCATGCTGGCATCTATTATAAAACGGGTTCATTAAAAGCAAAGCTTTGTATTGCAGGTTTGAAAAGAACCTATGAATATTGTGATACTAATCATATACCATATAAAAAATGTGGAAAAGTAAGATTAAATTAATCTGTTTTTATAATATTTTATATAAATATTGGTTTGTTGTAGTTGATTGTTGCTGTCGAGCGTGATCAATTAGGACGTCTCGAAAATATATATCGACAAGCAATACAAAATGGTGTTCAAGATGTTAAACTGCTTGATTCAAATCAAATTAGAGAACTCGAACCTAATTGTCGAGTAGGATAAAAGAACATTCAAAGATTTATTATTCATACAAGTTTTTAAAGGGTATTCAAGCTATACATAGTCCACACACAGGTATCGTTGATTATGGTTTATTATGTCGGCATTTTGGTAAAAGTTTTGAACAACTTGGTGGACGAATTGCTCTGAATTTTGAAGCAGAGAAATTCCTTTCATCCGGTGATGCTACTTATCCAATTCTTGTAAAAAGTAAAACAAATGTAAGTGTTTGTCTCTTATTTATGTTATATGAATATTGCATCGAGATTATTTAGTCAACATTTTTGAGTCGCTATGTAATCACCTGTGGTGGATTGCAAGCCGATCAACTTGCGATAGCTTGTGGAGGTTCAAAAAATCCGACGATTGTACCATTTCGTGGAGATTATCTAGTATTGAAAAGCAATAGAGATGAATTAAAAATTAATGGTAATATTTATCCGGTTCCTGATCCAAGATTTCCTTTTCTAGGTATTGCAAAATAAAAGCAGAATGTTTCGGTCTTTTTTCTCATACTTATTTTACATGAATATAGGTGTTCATTTTACTCCACGAATGGATGGTTCGATTTGGCTTGGTCCTAATGCTGTTCTTTCTATGAAACGTGAAGGATATGGTCTATTTGATATCAGCATTAAAGACACAGTTGATCTTGCATTAAATGGGTAACTGGGTTTAAAAAAAAAAGGCCTCGCTAAAGTCGTTTCGTCAAAATGAATTATGTAGTCTATCGCAACAGCTTGTCAAATATTTTATACGAACTGAAAGAGCCGACAAAGCACAGCGAAGGACAAGATACATCGAATCTGTTAGTTTTCTCTTTGGAAACCGAATATTTCATTTGAAAAAACAGAACTTACAATGTATCATCGTAAAGATTTGTGAATTTGAATGATTTTAAATTCCTGTGCCAAATGAGAAGGGTTCACACCACGTAGACGTTGAAAGATTGACTTTCTAGAAAACGATCAACTATCTAACAGATACATTCATCATGACTGAGTAATTATGTTATTTAATGCCTGTCTAGAAAGCACTATGCGATACTAAGTGTTACAATAGTCATGGTTTGGCTCTGGAAAATTTTCAGGTGGCTAGATTTGTTAAATTATAATCTTTAAATAACATGCTGACTGCTTTGGCACACACTAATACATTCGTTTGTAGTTAGCTAGTCTGTGCAAGAATCGCGAGTGATTAAGCGGAAGAATTCTATATTAAACTAATCTACAATTTACTACTACAGTAAAGTTAATCATAGTTCCAATGAATATACGAATTTGTTGAGTCTTTAGCTAGGCACTATCTGAAAATGTAAGTTAGCTGATAGATGACAAAAGTAATTTGCATTACTTTCAGTAGTGAACTTGTTAGCAAATACTGATAGTATTATCAGACATAATGCAAAAATTGAAAAGTACAAAATGCCAGCATATCTCTTTTAATCAAAATCCATCATTTTCCAGGTTCCGCTGAACAGAGCTTTTCCAAAACACAAATGAGATAATTAGTTTTGTTACAATTTGAAAGTTTTATTTTAAAGTTAGCTTTGTTTATGTTGATATATTTTAGTGGCCTTCGAAAACTTGCTTGGAAAAATATGAGCTATGGCATTAATGAAATGCGTCGTGCTTATTCACTCTCGGCTACAGTTAGAGAGTTACAAAAATTTGTACCATCCGTAACTGTTAACGACGTCGAACGGTAATATTGTAGACAGCATGCATTTGATAAATAAATAACGAAAGCTTTCTTCTATCTTTAGAGGCCCAAGTGGCATTCGAGCACAAGCCTTATCTGACGATGGAAATCTTGTGGAAGACTTTGTTTTTGAAACAGTTAATACTGGCGATCTAAAAGATCTAATTCTGCATGTTCGAAATGCTCCCAGTCCTGCAGCAACATCATCAATACCAATCGCGGATATGATTGTAGCCAAAGCAAAAGAGTGTTTCAATCTTTAATGAAATCATATTTTTCTTGTCTTTTATTCGTCTTTTATTTTAGTATAACTTTAGAATATTGATTATAAATTTTTCTTTCAATACATACGATGATTTATCTTTTTTTTTCTAGATATCTAACAAACATGTCTCTCGCTGAACAACTTTCTGAGATGGGTTTTGAAAAAAACCAAATGTAAGCTTTGATCTATTCTTAATTTAGTACGAATATATTTCTTTATTTATGATAGTGATAGCGCTGTAAATATAGGAAAGGCTGCAAATATGGAACAAGCAATTGATTGGTAATTTTTTTTCATAAAATATGAAAAGTAAAACGATTGATTTCATTTAGGATAACAACACATAATAATGAAATTACACCAGGCGCTACAGCTAGTTCTGAGCCAGTTCTTACTTTGAGTTCTAGTGATTCAGCAACCGCAACCGCAACCGGAGCAGCAACTGCTAATGCTCAAGTCGAAGCAAATTCACTGAAATGTGATGAGTAAGATTGAAACGAACATCCTTTTTTATGCTAGATAAATTCATTTATAGATGTGGTAAATTATTGAAAGATGCTGATGCAGCAACAGCTCATGCGATGAAAACAAATCATTCGAGTTTTTCTGAATGTACACAAATGATAAAACCATTAACAAATGAAGAAAGAGAAGAAATGAAGAAAAAGCACGTTTTAGATTGTAATTTTTTTCAAAACTAATATTGGATTTGTTGTTTTTTAAATCGTTAGAATTCAAGAACGTATTGTTGCTCGTCGTAAGGAACAACAGATGGCTGATGAAAAAAAAGCAATTGATATGGAAAAGAAACGTATTTCTGACGGAAAAACTTTATTAGAAATCAAGCAAAAGTATGCATATATATTTTATATAAACGAATTGTAAATATGATTTGTATTTTTTACTTTTGTTTTGAAGACGAGAAGAAGATGAAATGAAGAAAATTGCTGAAGCTAATCGTCGTGAAAAGCTTGAAACACAATTGGCTAAACAACGTGCTATTGAAAAAATTGAAGCTGATAAACGTGCTCGACGTGAAAAAGCAGCTGCAGAAAAAAGTGGAGGAGTTGTTGGAGATGTTCCAGCAGCAAAACCTCAAGTTGCTACTGTGCCACAACCGACACGACAATACGATGAATGTAATCTTCAAATTCGTTTATCTGATGGGTCGACAGTACGACATACCTTTAAAGCAGCTGATCGATTCGAAAAAGTTATTGAATGGATACATCAAACACACCATACTAATCCATTTGTTCTTGTACAAAACTATCCGAAAAAAGAATTTAATGAAAGCGACAATTATAAATCCTTAACTGAACTGGGTAAATACTAAATTAAATCATTCATTTTCTTCATTTTTTATATTTTCTTGTTTTCTAGGTCTTGTCCCGTCGGGATCGCTTATGATGAAATCACTTGCGCATTTCCAGACATAATCTGTTTTCTTCTTTGTTGATGCTTATGTACTCCCTGTTCTCTTTTTAATAAATAAATAAATAGCCAAGAACAACACTTTTTTCCTCACGAGTCTTACATGATCAAGTTTGAAAGTATATTGGTTTGTAAAGAAAAATACGTAGATTTCGTCGTATTTATTATTTTCTTTAAATGAGAAAACATTATCGTGGTTTTTCAAACATCTAGATTGAGTTTAATTTAAAAGAAAATTTCAACATCATCCTTTGATATAGATCATTTCATCCTGTAATGCTGTGTAATTTTCAGTATTTTTTGTTCAATATACTTTAACAATATTTGGTTCTTGTCACCACTGATGATTGATTTGCGTTATAATACAACCCTATTGAAACTATTCTATTACTTTTATCTATGTTATATTTAAGTGAAATGAATACGATTTATTTGTTAATGTGCTCATTAATCGATCGTAATAAACGCTTTTCCAATTTACTATTAGCTTTACTTTCATTAAAAGATCTTTTTATTTAAATTCCATATTATACTATTGTTCAAAAGCAATTAGTTCGATTTTCATATTATTTTGTTTGAGGAAAATCAATATAAATATACATACAAAAATAAGAAGCCGGTTGGAAAATGTGATTCGTATGAAAAAATAATAATTTGACAACAGCAATATTAGTCATCATCATTCATATTTTAGTAATCCACCATCATGAATATTACGAACGATGTGCAAATTCTGTTTTTTTTTGTATTTCAAACAATCACAATAAAATCGTTTGCGAGTTACAGTGTAAAACATGAAAATCTCTACAAGATTCTTGAAGTTGATAGTAAGCTATAGTCAGTTATTGCTGAATTGTGTAGGGCATAAATGTTACTGTTAGAATATGCAAAGAACGTTAGAGCTGTCTAAAAAGTAGAATAGGTCTATTCTTGATATATGTACAGTAGAATTATGAAGATTAGATGGTTCTTATTGATTACACTTAAATCATCTAAAAAAAGTATGAATAAGATGTAATACAGGGTACGAAAAATTTATTATTCGAGTTTTTTAATCTATCTACTAACGTATGTTTAACAAAGTATTATTTCGTCTGTAATAGGAAAAGCATCGGCATTACTGAATTGATCTAAAGAACAGCTTCAATCAAAGTAAAATCCTTTTATTTTGGTGATGCTCAATATAGTTTAAAAGTATCATGTTGAGAATATTTTACTTCAAATTACAAAAAAACGGTGTCTCTATAAAAAAAAAAGACTATTTAAAATCTAAACATGTAAATTTTCAGATGAATATCGTTATTTTAATGAGATTTTTTTTAGAAAATACGGTAATCTAGCAATCTTGTATTTGTTGCTCTCGGTGTTACTGCTAGGTATTTGTACATTTTTGAAAAGATCACCGAGTTTCGGATCTATGAAGATATCTTTATTTTAGAGAGTCAAAGAAAGTGAGCTAGTTTCTCATAGTTTTTTTTTCTCAATTTATTATCTAGCTATGTTAAACCTCTAGTGTGCAAATGTCTTATAAATTGTTTCCGATATTATCGCTGGGAGTCTATAGAGATTAAGGTGTAGCTGCGAAAAGAAGTATAAATATACTGCACTAGATCTCACATTAGAATGCTTTGCTTATTGAGTTTCTATCATCATCAACACTTTCACGTTAATTATTGCAAAATAAAGATCAATTTATTATCGTACATGGAGATATAATAAATGAAGAGATTCGTGTATGCACGCCTTATAGGCAACAGAAGAAAAAAAAATACAAGGATATATATCAGACGAAAGCGACTTCTGTTTTTTTAATGAGAATTGCCATTTTGAACATGCGAAAATCCACCAGTGCTGCCAAATCCATTTGAACCACGTACAGTATCATCGAGTTTCTAGAAAATATAAATTAACAAATAAAACAATTGGAGAAAATAAGAATTAAAACACAAACCTCGTCTTCAACTAACGCAGCCATTTCAATCTTTTCACAAATTAATTGTGCAATACGATCACCTCGTTTAACTAAAATTATGCAGAAAACAATTAAACCAATGATTAATAGAAATAATAAATCTTACTAGTAAAATCTAAGTCATTATGATTGAATAATACAACACCGACATTACCACGATAGTCAGCATCAATGACACCAGCTATTTTTGAGTAAATAAAATTTATAAAAATTACATATTTATACGTATATTATAACAATACCTCCAGTATCGATACCAAATTTAGCAGCTAGACCAGATCTTGGGGCTAGAACAAAAACAAAAAACATCATAATTTTATTTTTATCGTATTCATAAGAAACCTAAATTCGAAAGTTTTGTTTCGACTATTAAATGTATGCACTTACCAACACGGCCATAACAGCCATTTGGTACAGCAATTTGTATATCAGTTTGAGCTATTATTCTTCCTCTTGCTGGTACTACATAATCATGAGCACTAGAGATAAATAATTTCTTTTTTTTAATGCAATTAAACGCTATGTTGAGATTACCTTCGAAGATCCCAACCGGCTGCATAAACTGAACCTTTCAAGGGTTCAAATGCAAATTCACTAAGTTTAGCAAATCTTAATACAGAGTTTTTTGATGACATTTTCGATCTGAAATAAAGTATAAACAAATAAATCATTACATTCAGAATCATCTTATGTAAACAAATAAGAAAGAATGAAACGGTCAGATCAGACGATAAGAAAATCAAAATAATGTAAAGCAAAGTAAATAATAGCGTCGCTAAGAAAATACCAAGTGAAGAAGAAGAAGAAGAAGAAGAAGAAGAAGAACGAAAGTGTTTTAGTGTGTATTCTTGCTAACTAGAGAACGATAGTGTACATATGTATCCTAATAGACAAATAAAAGTTTAGTGAATTTTTATATCACATTTAATCACATGAACAAAGACAAGAGACATATATCTAGTCGTTAGAGAGAAGAAAAAGCGATAGAAATACTGAAAGAGAAATTTTTTAAAATGACGAATTCTTTCATCAAGTAATTTTATAATAAAATATAAAAATGAAACAAAAATTGATTTAAATTTCTTCAAGTTCTTCAACATCAAAATAATTATTTCTGCTCCATTGTTCAAATTCTATAAAAGGCATTTGTTTGTTAATTTTAAATTTAACTTGTTTACATTTAAGTGCACATAGTGGACCTAATTCAGGTCGATCAAGAAACTTTTGAAATCCACCTAGAGAATTTCCACAAAAGCACTTAACTTGTCCTGAAATAATACACAAACAGTAAACAGCTAATATGTTGAATAGTCAATAAAATGAAATTTATCTACCCATCAATAAATGCTCGTACATATTGGTATATGTACTATCAAGTCTACAGTCGTTATTATTAAAAAATTCTGCATTATTTATAAAATAAATCGTATTTCGTTTTTTCAACCATAGAAGTTCACCTAATTCTCGGTTACATTTACGACAACATATTGATCCATCTTTTTTACCAATTTTTTGTATCATATTTTTACGTTGTGTTTCAAGTGATAAAGCCATTTCCCATGTATTTATAAGTGATTTCTATGAAGAAAATAGCTCATTTAAAAATTATTCAAATTTATTTATTTACGGTTTTAACTTCTATAGCTCTTTGAAATTGATCTTTATCGATTGTTTGCCATTTACTAATAGCAGTATCCATTTCTTCTTCACGAAATTTGTTATTTTTTTCTCGTTTATGATTGGTCGAATCTAGTTCAGTTATGAGATAATAGGAACTATTTTGTGCTCGAGCTCGACCTCGTGATTGAACTGTACCAATTTCATCAGACACAAATTCATAGCGAATTACATAAGAACAAGTAGGAACATCTAAGCCTTCTTGAACAATATCTAAATAAGAAATGATAGCAACATGTAGCTATTAGATGCATACATGTTTGACGCAAAACAGAAGCAAATATGTTTCGTATTAAATATAAATAGAGAAGAAAAACTTGATTTTACGAATAATTATTCACTTTTAGAATTTATACAAAGAAATATCAAGTAATTACTATATTTCGATAAAACGAATCAACTCATATAAAAAAAGGTATACATTTTTAACACATGAAAAGCTTGATAAAACAAGACGATTCAAATTTGCATTTGATTCAAGCAAAAATAACACAACTCTAGTTCGAATTATATATTTTAAAAACGTGTCGAAAACTCATGTTCGGTGTTTTTATATTCAATATGAGTGTGTGAGACGGACTGAAGATCTTTTATATACTCAATGACACTATTACTCTCACAAACAAATTCAACTACATAGCATTCACTCTCCATAGTTCTTCAAGATACATGGAGGACACAGATGTTTTGGCTATTCATTATTAAAAAATAAGCTTTGAACACTTTCGAACTGAATAGTAAAAAGAAATCATCTGTTTAAGCAAAGATGAAAATAAGTACGCTAAGTATTTTAAGTAAAATATGTTCAAAATTGCAATGAATATGATTTTATATTAATAACTTACCGGTAGCAATCAGTACATTGCATTCACCTAAAATATTCAACAAAGTTATATGATGATAGAAAAGAAAGAAAAGCTAAACCTTCTCCGAATTGTCTTAGTTTGACTTGTTGATCATTTATTGTCAAGGAATGGTCCGCACTATTTTGACCAACAATCCAAGTTGGCTTAACAATATTCTAAATGTAAATGGGAATTATCATAATATTAATCGATAAAACTATTGTTCTACTTTTAATTCTGGTTGATCGGATAAATAATCACAAATTGACTTTGCATAAAAAGTTGTTGGCACCAAAATAAGTCCTAATTAAATATACAGAATACTGTAATATGAAATAAAATATTAAAATGTTAATATTAACCTTTTGTTTTTTCTATGGCATGTTTTTTAACAAGATGAATCAATGTTTCTAATTTTGAATTTGTTGTTGGATTTTCTTTATGTTTCTGTAAAATTTTATCTAATTCATTTTTAGAAATTTCATTCAGTAAGTTATTCATTGGTACTGATTGTTCATATGCTTCATGATATAGTTTAATTTTCTCTGATACATGTCTTAAAATGACTTCAAATGGTAAATCTTTGAATGCTGAGTATTTTCGTGTCAATAATAATAAATAGTCACAAATAATAATATTATTCATGTCACCTTTTGTTTCAAAATTTCGTTTTAAAATTATAAGTTGACCAATAAAACTGGAAGACCCTATATCTTTTTCGTCTAATAGTTCATGATCATCCAAATGAGTTTTAATAGTTTTAATAAGATTTTCGTATATATTTAAATATTCTTGAAAATATGAATTGTATTGTACTTTTAAAACATGTTCGAATTGATTATTTATCGGTCGATTGATTTCACATTTAATCTCAACAAGATTATTTGAATCACAGACTGTTGAAATATTTTTACAATCAAGTTTACTACATAAGCTAATAAGATTTTTTTCAACAGGTTCTTTTTTTTCTTGAGAATCTTTAGCGCTAACTGTTGCTGTTAAACCAATAATCATTGGTTTTTCTGCTCCACGCTCTTGTTTTGATGGACACAAATAATGTTTCATTATTTCACAATAAGGATTTCCTCCCGACGTGTTATGACATTCATCGAAAATCATTAAATTTATTTGAGATAAACGAATGGTTTCATTTTTCAGAGAATTAACAAATTTTTGTGGTGTTGTAACGGTTACATCATTTGCATCAATAAGTTGATCGGTCCTTTGATCGTCTTGGCACATTTGGACTCTTAAATTACCAACATTCGATATTGCTTTGGCTTGTTGCAATCGTATTGCTTTTCTTGGTACAAAAAAAAAGGCTGAAAATTTTCCATTGGGACTATTTTGTCGGTATTTGATGTAGTAGTATTTTATTAAGAGTGAGGCAATAAATGTTTTCCCAGAACCAGTTGGAAGACAAACAATTGTATTTTTATTGTAAATAGCATTTCGAACGATTTCAATTTGGTAAGCTCGAGGGTGACATTTTAAATTGAGCGATTTTGAATATTCTTCAGTCCATTCATTCGAAGAATCTTCAAATGGTCCTAAATCAATGCTGCTAAAGTCGATGGGATCTGGTTCCGGTAGATTGCGACTATTTGATTCAGAATCTGTTTCTATCAAAACAAAAGGATAAATAGAAGATATTATTCTATTATAATCGTACTCGACGGATACATGGTATCCTCTTCATCAAGATCAAGATCACGAAGAATCTCATAAGGAGTAGGATTTTTTGATTTTGTCAATGGTAACCTGGGTTTCATTTCAGCCTGTGTTTCCTGTGGTATAGATGGTATAATATCGGCAGGTACCAGTTTACCATAGCCTAAGAGCAATATTATTTACTTTACAACTATATATATATATATTGTGTGAAGTAAAGTCTAATATTTACTAAGCAAACGTTCAACGCAATCAGGGCGTTGAATGGCTTCTAGTGCATGAACAAGATAGTTGTAGTTTTTGTTTGAAATTTTTAAACGATCGAAAAGTGTTTGTAGAGCTTCGAGTGTCGTTTCTAGGGAACCATTAGATTGCAAACGACGTGGTATGTCTTCACCGAATAAGAAATGCAATTGTAAACGATCAGCATCAGATAGGGTATTTTGAATTTTGATTAAAACGACTCGAAATTCGAAATCTTCATTCATTTCAGTCATTATTACAATCTAAAAATATGTCTAGGTAAGCAGGAAAAGTTTTACCGATCATTAAAATGCATGATATCAGATGTCATTGAAAAAATTTACTTATCATGTTCACTATGAAATATAAGGGATGTATTTTAAAAAAATTGACCATTTTCTATTTATTTTATGTAAAATAAAAATCACTAGGAAATTGAGGTTTTACGTTATCTTCACTTTATGAAAATAAACGTAAATCGGATCTTTATGTTTATCGAATAGAAATGAATAAATCTTTATTATTTAAGAAGATAATCATACTAAAATCTTTATTTCCGAAAACAAAATATGAAATAAAGAATGACGAATGAACGATTTTCTATCCTAGATATATTGATGAATACCTAGTACAACAATAGGATATCTTAATCAATATAATTTCATACCAGTAACATCATAAAAATATATGATATTATTAAAAATTTAACGTGATAAATAAAATACGCGTAACAATTTTTTTAAACACTATTTCTTTTTGTGGTACCATATATTTTTATGAGCTACTTCAGAGTAACTAAAAACTAAGCTTTCGAAGAAAAAAATATTTTACTATTTATTTTATTTTTGTCTAATAAAGATGAATTAGAAAAATTCTTTCGCATTATTTTTATTGTAAAACAAACTAAAACTCAAGTAGAAACCATAGTAGGAAGCAAATAATATGAATGAATCATTGCAATTAAAAATTAATCAAGTAGCCTTTCAATAGAAACACTATTCTCAGAGGTTAACATGTTTAACTAATAGAAGAGTGTGACGATTTTAGATACAAGAGATGCTTGCGCTGATGGAACTACGCTTTATTTAGCTTCTTCGTATCACAAATCGCCTCGTTTACATCCACAACACGCGTTTATATACGCAGCCAAGAGAGAGAGAGAGAGAGAAAGGGAAAAGATAGACATAACAAAAGAAAGATGAGAATAACAGAAAAGATAATCGTGGAGGATGATATATGTTCCGGTCAACAGAATAAGCAACAAGCTAATCTTAGTTATAAACACATGAACGGCAATATATATGTTGAAGAGGAAAAGTCAGAAGATAAAGTGATGTATGAACACTCATAATAGAACGTCACAAAGAGTCTACTTAAAATAGAACACAAACAAATATATTGTTCTATTGAACTTTTACTAGATATGTATATTACTTAGTTGAGAAAAAAGAATTTTGCAGATTTAGTATAACAGTAATGTAAATCATCGTGCGAATAAAATTTAACGATGAAAACAAACAGACATCATGATGTCACCATTCGGAAGAGAAGCCTCCAATGAGAAAAATGATAGAAAAGATTATGCTAGTTTTCTAGAGCCAAACAAATGTCTTTAACATAAGATAATGAAATTCTGTAAACTTTAAGCTACAATATACCGTGTAATAGCTAATTCTGGGCACTGAACTCATCAGTCTACAATAGTATTAAGAATAATCAGATTTACATTTAATTCGAAAAAAAAGCAAGAAGAGAAACACCAAAGTTATGATAATTCAGTACTATATTTACACAAATTGTTTTTATTGTAGAAAATTAAGCTAAGTCTAACTATCTTTGAAAACGAAAAGAACAATAAAAATCGATGTCCTGGTCTATGAAAAATAATATATATTTTAATTGCAAAAACATTTATAGCTTAAAATGACTATCAGCAGTTTTTACAGATGCACTATTAAAGTTTAGTTAATAGAAACCAAGAAAAAAACTGCTTTCAGAAACATAATTGCTGAAAATTTAGTTACATTTTTTATTTATTCAGGTGAATCATATTTAATAATAAAACAATAATATAAATAACTATTTATTTTGGTTATTTTTCTTTACCTGAAATACAAAATAAAAGAATATTCCTATAATTGAGTATAACATGTTCGAAACATCTACGTCATCTTAGATGATAAAAAACTTATTTACCAATAATTTTGATAGATCAAGCAAAATAAAAATATATCTATGATTGAATTGAGTCAATGAATTAAATAAAAATAAGTGTTGCCACTATACATCAGTTTGTACAACATCATAGGCATCATAATATATATCTTCATCATTTTTTGAGCATGAGATTTCAAGAGGTGGAATTTTAAATAACATTTGTTTCCATTGCTTTTTTAGAATCATTGTTTCGTTGCCGTTTTCTTTTTCAAAAAGTTTAATTTTAATAGACTCACACTTCAACGGATAGATTGGGCTAATGCTGGAATGATGTTTTAACATTTGAATACAACCAAGTTTAGCACGACAATTTTTACTTCCACATAATGCTTTACCTTTGTAAAAAAAAAAGAAAATAGAAGAACTTCAGTTATTGCTCGGATAACAGAGGGAATTACCAGTTATTAAAGTTGCCACATATTCTTTTGGTTCAGGTAATAGTTTTTCTTCGATACGATTGTAAAAATCATGATCACTAATAAAATATGATTGTTCATATTGGCGAAGTCGTGAAAGTTTACCGAGATGATAACCACAAGCTCTGCATAAAACATCTCCAATTAATTCAGTATTTTCAGAAACAATTTTTTCTGTAGCCAATGCTTTTGTTAAACTTTCACTCCACTCTTTAATAAGAGATGTCTATAATTAATCGACTCAAACAGACAGTATGAAAAAATAGAAAACACGTTTTTTTACTTGTTTTTCCACCACTCGTTCTTTGAATTCATGGGAAGGAATTTGTTTCCATATTTCGAGAACTTCTTTCAAGTCTTGTTCACACTGACGACTGTCTAATTCTTTGATATAATTTTGAGAATCTGAAAGTTATAATTAGTATAGTAAAAATATTGTTTCTCAATTTCATGCAAGTATAATTTCGTCGTATTCAGCACATTAGCTCACCATGTTTCTAATGACTTATGATTTACAAATATGAATTAGTAAATATTTCATAAATGAATGATAGATATATATTTAACTTCATATTTACTATGAATCTTATTCAGACTGCTTACAGTTTATTTTTCGAAGAAAACTACAGTGAATTTATGTTTAAGGTTGATATTGCTTAGCTTTCTTATCTCTCATAGAAAAGAAATTATCAAAAACAAAACATAGATAACATGCATGAGACTACTTTTACACGATTCCATAATCAAAGGAAAAATATTCAAGAAAGAATATCACACTATGAAGCTGATTTAGAATACACAAATGGAGATATATAATAATATGTAGAGATCTATTATTGATGTCATATATATGAAGAACAGACCAATCTATCAGTTAAATCAGTTATTGCAATAAAAATTATGTTAAATAAAACTTTAAGAAAATGTGAAGAAACAAAAATAATAACAATGCCTATAAATAAAGAAGCTTTTAGAGAAAGCAAGAAAATTCTTTTGTTTTTCGTAAAAACAAACTATAGATTACTCAATAGCTTTTATCTTAAAAATGTGTTCACTAAGGTGAATCAGGCTAAAGCATGCATGAAGAAATTTTCACGTTTTAGTTTCAAAGAGGATAAGATGGTATGTTAGTTTGATATCCTCTAATGAATCAAATATACATACATGTATGTATGTCTAATTGCGGTTTTAATTTGTACAAAAAAAGAACCTACCATTTTGTAAATACTCACAATGTTTCATTCTGATTCTATGATTAGTATTGGTTACAATCTGGAAATAGAAACATTCTTCTCCCTAAAATAATCTTTAAACAGTATTTCATCTATCGGATTAGATTTCAGTTTGTTTTTCTTCTAAACTAGTCCTTATGAAATAATGTTGATAGTGTCAGATAAATCATTTATGATGACACTGGCTAGTTCTAATTTCAATTAAGACGTTAAAAAATAAAAATCACGGAAATTTGTAGCATATACTTATTTTGAAGTTATGAAAGCTAGGAAATACGAACCAAAACTTGATTTGAGTTCATTGTTGAGAAATTTATTGTTCTTATGTTTAATTTAGAGAAAACTTTAATGAGTCTATAATTTTAATTTATATAAATTTCAAGAAAGACAGATCAAGAAAATTATACTTAAAAAATAAGAAGATTAATTGCAAAATCATATGTATGATCTGCATGTTAATTTATAAAATCAACATTCTACCTTTTGTCGTAATCAGATAATATACACAATTAGTTCTTCGTGCCCGAACACGTGCTTGAACAGTACCAATACTGTCAGGAACGAACTAAAAACAAAAAATATATATCCGTAATTAATTCGTTTAATTAAATTTCACTTACATCATACCGAAGTACCAATGAACATTCCGGTATATCTAAACTTGCTCGTACAACATCAGTAGAAATCATTACATTATAAACACCTAATTATAATAATAAATCAATATTCAATAATGCATACATAATACAAACAAACCATTTCGAAAATCTATTAATACTGAATCTTCTTTTTTATTAGATTTTTTAGAATCAGGACCGTTTTGACTAACAAGCCAACATGGTTTTATAGTACACTGTTGATTATTAGAGACAGAAAAACGTAAGCATTTTAAAAAAATTGAAATCATTTAACAAACCTTTAATTCTATATGATTTCCTAAAAACTCACATATTTTCTGAGCATAGAATGTTCTTTCAACCAAAATTAGAGCTAAAATAAGTGATTACAAATTTTTGTGAATGTACAAAATCATCTGCATATTAGAATTACCTCGACTGTTTGGTTTTTCTGTATGCTTTTTTAATAACTCAACAAGTTTATCGAGTTTTGGATTTAATAATATTTGTTCAGATTCTTCTAATTGCGTTAATTTCGTTTTTAATAAACTTTGACATTTATTATAAATTAATGTATCAACAGCAATTGGATGCTCACGACTTTTATATATCATTTCAAAATAATCTTTTAAATCCGAAAGAACTAGATCAGGTGTTAAATCTGCTAATGATCTTAAATGTCGATAAATAGCAAGAATATAATTTATTAAAATTACAGATGGAAACTGTTGTTTTTTTTGTTCGGATTGTTTTAACATTTCAAGATTTTGTTCATAGCCATTCATGTCAATATCTTTTTCAGGAAAAATGCGCAATGGATTTGTATCTTTACTTAAAAATAATTGTAAGATTAAATTCCTGAGCTCTTTTTCTATTGATAATCTTAACATATCAAATTTTTTTTGTTTAGTAATACATATAATTTCGTCTTCAGATGTACGACAAACATATTGTTCAAGTTCGGCTTCATTGTCTTCTTTCAATACTGAAGTAATTGTGAAACAATTAAATGTGGCACACAGTACTGTTAAATGATTCGTTATATGTAAAGGACTTGAGCGATGAAGACCTAAAAGTAGTAAAATTAACGGATGACCCAGAATAAATGGTGGTGACAATATTTCATCAATATATCACTTATTTTTCATAATTCAGCCTTTATTTTTTCTCCAAAAGATTTACCATTAAATTCTCTTCAAAAAAAATCTATGAAAGGAGTTTGTACAAGATGTAAGCGTGAAATTCGATGTGGTCAATAGTTGTATGCTCTGAAACGATCCACTGTCAGAGAGTATTTCTTATCATTTTATTGCATTCACGCCGCTATATGATCAGATACAGAAAAATTGAAGATGTCAATTTGTAGCCCTTGAAAACCCCTATCAGTTGAGCGATGAGAGAAAAATTCAAACTTTGAAAGTTGCATGAATAGAACCTTTCTTTCTTTTGTGATTTTTTGGATTTTTCAGACTCGCTATGGGACTTCTTCGTAACCTTCGTGTGGTAAGGTCAAAACATGAATCTTCATAGTCAAATCTTAGCCAGTTTGAAGAACAATGCTTTTTCTATCATAGCTAGACAACCTAATCGGTGTACAGTTCGTTTTGATAACACATTTTGCATTAGAACAAAATGTTCAATTATTTCAGCTCGTTTGTGAAGACTAACTGACCTTGAGATCTTGTGATCTTATTCAAATGACTTGTTTCGAATGCTATGAGAAAGAGGATGCTTGCAAACAGCAAAACAAATGTGAATCTCAGTGATTCGACGCCTGACTAGCCACAAGAATCAAGAAAATTTACATTGTGAAAGCGTGCGTTTAAAAACGGTTATTTTCATAGCATGCCAGTTTTCACCACATAGGATTTTACGCTTGTATCTTGTACATCTTTTTTTTCATGTGATTTCATAGACAGTTGAATGGGGTTTTTTTAAAAAGAAACTAATTGTGAGCGATAAAAACTGCATGAGATATTCACGAAATACTGAGACCACCATTTATTCTAGACCATCCGTTATATTGATCAATAGTATAGAGGAAATATGTCTCTCTTACTGAAAACGAAAGGAAATCGTATTACCAAATTACTACGATAATATTCTCGAAGATAAACTCAATGTAAATAAGAAAAAAATCTTGTTTTACAGTGTTTATGCCAGTCATAGTCTTAGAAAATGATAGAAATAGTAGACATTATAAGTAATTTTCCCAATAAAATGGTTAAATCGGTAAAAATTCAATGATTGTTCTTATAAATATAGGAAAAATTAACATTTTTTTAAAGCACTATATAAACTATTAAGACAAAAGGAGTGTCCATAAGAATGAAGATAAGGATAACATTTTCATGCCAAGAAATAATTATTTATTGATCTTTAGCAAAACATTAAAATTGACTACAGTTTTTTATGTATTAAATATATTGGTACTGAATTTGCTTATGTTGATTATTTTTCTGTTCACATATACAGAGAAAGAAAATGAAGCGTTTTCAGTAATCATTGATGGAAATTTGAGAAACTTTTTTTTTTAATGAGGATACGATAGTAAGTCTCTGATATTTGAGAAACTTTCTTTTGCTGAACTATCGTCGGTTATTCTTCTATTTACTAAGCGTTCTGATTTCTGACAACAACAAAAAATGTATCTCAGATTATTGCAACTAGTTCTTTATGGTGTATTATATAGTTTCAACAGGTTAGAATTTAGGTGTCTCGCTTAGCTACTAAACTGAAAAGACACGTTAGACAACAATTTTACCAACTACTGCGGTCAATCCAATAATAATCGGTAACGAATTAACAGATGGAATATGATCAACATCTCGACACATAATATATTGCATGATTCCAATATATTGATTACGTACTACAGTATCATGACATTCATCATAGCAGAGTAAATCAATATCGGACATGAAGATTGTTTTTGCTTTCAAACAACTATTAAAAGAAAATGATTATTTTTTGAAAAAATAGGAAAAAGTTACTCGAGAAGTTTTTGTGGTGTACAAATAATAACATCGTAACTTTTTAGGTATTTTGTAATGTCATAATGTTCATCGCAAGCTAATATTCGAAGATTTCCTATTGTTTTCAATTTTTCAAATATTTGTTTCAACATGGCACGCCGCGGTACAATAAAAAAGCCCAAGAACTTGGTTTCTTCTGTCTTTGATAAGGCCATCTTTTTGATTGAATAGTATTTCAATAATAAAGCTAATCATCATAATTGACTTTATTGAAAAGTACATAAAAAAAAGAAACAAATGAAACTAACCTGCAACTAATGTTTTGCCTCCACCTGTTCGAAGACAAATTATTGTATTTCCTGCTTGAATAGCACTTTGTACTAATTCACGTTGATATTCATACGGATGAATGTTTACATTAATTTTTTTAAGAAAATCATCTGACCAGGTATCGTTTTCAAATACCTTCAGATCAATATTTTCCAAATATAAAAACATCGATGCTAGATCAGGTTGAACTGTCATAGGCTTTATATCAGTTGGAGTATTCTGTTCAGATTCTGCAAAATTAATAATTTATATTTGTCGTCAAAAGAAAAACTTAATTTTCTGTACCCGATAATATCATGGAGTCTTCTGAATTGATATCATTTACTAATTCTGCTAATGTTGGTGTATCTTTTGGAACATTATCTATTGTTCCAGTAGATGAGACATTAGTATTATCAGTGGGTTGACTACTTTCTAATACTGTTGAAATTGATGTTGATGGAGTATGTTCTTCAACGTTGAATATTATATTTATTAGAGAAAGCTAAACGATAAGCATGACTTACTCGTTGAATAACTAGCTACTTTGTAGGCTAATGCTGTTAATTTTGTTCGTTCGAGTAGTTCAACTAGATAGTTACAATTTGATTCTGAGATTCGTCCTCGATCGATAAGTATTGTAAAAATATCAACAAGTGGCTCATCTCGCTTTCGTTTTGGTATGTCATTACCAAGTAGAAAAATAAATCTTTTACGTTCGTCATTCGACATCTCATCATCAAGATCGATTAACAATCGACGAAATTCCACGTCGGACGGCATTTTGATGTTTAATTCAGATTCCTTCAATCAATATAGACAGTTTTTCATCTGAAGTTTCATATTAAAGAAAAAACTGTATCAAATAATTCTAAAACTATACAGTATGTTTATCTTTAAAAGGATGAATTATTTTCTGTAGAAACAAATTACATTAAAAATAAATAAAACTTGACAATTTTAACATGATTTTACAGAATTCTATGGATCGATACGATTAAATAAATCTGAAGAAGTAGTTGATTTTACTACCGGGTTCTCAAATTTTACTGTTGATGAATATTGTTTCAATTGGCGAACTAAATCCATTCGTCGAATGTTTTCAAGACGAAGAATAAGATAATCTACGTTTTCAGGAGTTATCTTCTGGCGATTGATTAATGTTTCCCATATAATATTCATCGATGTTCTATTATCTCGTGCAATAGTATCAAGATCACGACGTGGTACATCATTGGCTAGAAGAAAACCAAGCGTGGCGCGATCATCATGGGATAATTTATCGCCAATATCAATTAAAAGAGTGCGTAATCGAAGAGAGTTTTGATCCATCTTAAATAGAATATCAAATATAAATTCGAGAACAATATTGAATCAGCAAAACTATGAAAATAACACCACATATTCTCTTAAAAATGATCTTATCAATAATAAAACTGTAGAATATTTTTCATAATTTCAAGTTAATTTTTTTCTTTCTTATTGTATGTTAATTATTTCAGTATTCTTCTTATTCGTACTAATATTTCTTATAATAAAAAAAGTTTACTAAGAAATTGAAGTACCTTATAACTCAATTATTTCCTAGAAGAATTTAAATAACTTTTACATATTATCTTGTTGTTCGATACATACGTATATCTCATGTAGTTTATTATACCTGAAAGAAAAATTAATTAGAATTCATTATTTCAAAAATATTTCATATAATTGATACCAGCGGCGCTCATGTTACTTGTGGTTTTGTTCCATATGAATCTCGTTAAATAAAAGTGTAAATCGTATCTGTGAATTCTTCGAAGCTAGTCAACGCTTGGCAATGATAAGCTATTTACAAATTATTTACAAGCTATCATCGTAGTCTTAGTTTTGAACTACTATCATATGTGAACTGAAATCGAATAATGAATAGTTAAAAATATTGGATTTTCATATTGTTTTTTCTTTTTCATAAAGAAATTGTACGTGATAATACGTTAACGTCGTCTCATACGCTTATATTTTAACAAATGTATATGCTCAATGGTAAAATTTTATTCGTTTCTAATAGATTTATTGAGAAGAAACTTCTGGTACGACAGACTAAAGAAATATACTCCTCATAAGACACGAGTAAATATGACTGTGTACTTAATGATGATAATCATTTTTTTTTGGTAGCATTCTTGTCATGCATCGACATTGTTTCGTACATCTGCCGCGCGCGCTTGGAAATTTTTCTGAATTTTATTTCTTAATGATTGAGAATATTAACCGGCATATAACTAAAACGGTTTTATCGATGCAAATCCTCGAAAATAAAATAATACAATTACAATTATATTCTTAAACTAATGGATTCTATCGGTTTTCATTTATTGACAACATGAAATTAGTGCGCTAATACATTACAAATCTACTTGACAAGGTCAATTTAAAAGCAGAAAAATTTTATGATATATTGTTTAAACTTATCCTTAATCTATTGTACTTAGACTAATTTATAATTAAAGAACACGAGCTTTTATAGAACGCAAAAATAATTTCTAAATAAAAAAACAAATACAATTTTTAAGAAAGTATTAATAAAAAAATCTAAATACATTTTAACCTAACACATGTTAAATAAGTAGCATGTGATGTTTTACAAAAATAAAAATACTTCGTATAGACACTAGTTCGCAAGTATCTTTCGATGAAATTATTGTTAAAATTGTTGTGAGCTGTCGTATAGAGATATCCTACATATTTGCTATTTATTGTTCACGACATCTAACATTTGAGTGTTATTCTATGTAAAATAGAATGAATCTTTAATAAATCGATAGAAATCAGTTAAAAAAAGGAAAACTAAATTTATTAAAAGTTAAATAAAAACACGAAGCGATATTAGTAACTCATTATCATATGATTGAGTATCACAAATGTTTAAATTTACTAATGATATTTTTATTTTTATAAGATTGACAGATATAGTTTGAATGAAGTATTTGAAGCAAAAATAAATCCTGAGTCAAATTCTATCATTTCACATCAATGCGAGCAATGACGATTCGACTTTTTTTTATTGTATTTGATCCTATATAATACTAAATTATTGTGAAACTATTTTCTTGATTACCGAAAATGATAGGCCACCGATTATTTCCGTTGAGTAGTTATTTAGCTTTCACATTGTTCTCTTTGATTCTACCACAGATTCTTCGTTGATTTTACATTAGTATAGTGTCTAGAAGTCTTATCATATTTTCTACATAACATAGTTACGAGCATACACTAGTTTCTATCTGATTTGATGTTTATGAACTAGTTTCGACAAAAAAGATTAGAAAATTTACTTTTATTTCATGAAAAGTACTTCGAATCGATCTTATAATTTTACACTTTATATTTTCACTCTTTTGAAGGTATCAAAGTAAACGAAAATCTAAACATTAGACAAGATACATAACTAAGGTAATGCAATTTTATTTGTTGGTATTCATTTAGAGATGAGTTTAGAAATTGTGTAGCAGTTATCATGAAAAAAAAGCTGTCATCTTCAAATTAACTTCAATTTAATACTTGTACATTCTTCATTGTTTCAAAGTGCATCTATATTGTATTTGCCTACTGATAGCCTACGATATTTCTTAGTATGAGATATAGCTCATGGTATATTACAAAAATCATGTTGGTCATTTACTAATAAATAAGAAAAAAAAGATTAATAAAAATATATCTAACGCATTCTAGTATAATTAGTAGATTTTCTTGTTTATACTATGAAATTAGATCTTTACGATCGTTTCTGAATTCATAGATACTAATAATCTCTCTGAAAAAAAATAAAATGTTCAAATGACTAAAGCAAATGGCAGAAAAAATTGCTGTATAACATACTGCAAAAAATCTAATTCTGTAAAAATAAAAGTTACAATACAAGCCCAGGTCGATCATTCCGGTCACCGGATACTGTAGGAACCGGCTGGAAAGATGCGAAAAAATCACCGTATTCAGGAGGAAAACACGGGAAGTCGCTGGAACGTGGAAGCAGTATTCTGGTCGGAAAATTTTCGGAGTTTTTTCCAATGATTTACTGTCGGTTCCTGCTGGAAAGCACTGGAAGTTGACCGGAATCCACCGGAACAAAATCCGAGAATTTACGACCAGAATACTGCTTCCACTTTCCAGCGATTTCCCGTGTTTTCTGGTCGTTTTCCGCCGTACCACCACGATCTGGGAGAAAATACTAGCAAACCGAATATAATTATTGATATGTCTGTATGGTAAGATTTCGTGGAAACTTTCTCTAAGAAATAAACACAAGATAAGATGACGATTCAGAAAACATATCTGATCTTGATTGGTGTGATTTAAACGAATATATTTAAAGCGCTACGTATCCAACGAGCATTATTTTGTTGCAATTGGCTGTTTTTAATTCTATCAAGTCTATACAGCTGGCTTCATTTCCATCTCTGATCAATCATTGTTGGATTGACACGTACATAGGTTAACTACTATTTTCTTAATCTTTACATTACCAATGGCTAAACTGGTTTTCTCTACAATTATTTATACTGTGATCATAAATTGTTATTTAGTTTCAAGTGATGAACAAAGTCCATTAGCTAATACTAATAATCTCATTGAAGATTCCAGTTGCCCTATAGCCGAATTAAATGATCTTAATAATCAACGTCTTTATCCATTATTACATAAGATAGTTGATAAAAATTATTTTCGATTTTATCCAGTTAATCTTAGAAAGAAATGTCTATTTTGGCCAGATGATGGTCATTGTTCACGTCGAACATGTGCAATAAAACAATGTCCTGTTGAAAAATTACCTGAACCATTGCGTGATAAAGTAAATCATTTACATGAGTCTTGTGCCACGATTCATAGTAATTCGTCACTTGACATAATTAATAAAAATATAAGTGAAGAACATAAGCAAACTATTCAAACTTGGATTCAATTCGATGATGGACAATCGGACAATTTTTGTGATGTTGATGATGAAACATCAGTTGATTTAGAATATATTGATTTATCAATGAATCTCGAACGTTACACTGGCTATACAGGTCCATCAACTCAACGTGTATGGTCAGCAATCTATAATGAAAATTGTTTCTTTTTGCCAGATTCAAAAATCTATTATGATCTGAGACAAAAACGATTAAACGCACATAAAATGTGTCTTGAAGGACGAACATTCTATCGTCTTGTATCAGGTCTACATACAAGTATTACAATACATTTATGTGCACAATACTTTTTTCCAACAATCGGTGGCGGCTATACAGGTCTAGATGGCAGATGGGGACCAAATTTTGACGAATTTCAACGACGTTTTGATCCACAAACAACTGATGGCGAAGGTCCAAAATGGTTAAAAAATGTTTATTTTATTTATTTAATAGAACTACGTGCTATTTATAAAGCACGAAACTTTTTTAAAGATCAAACATTTTTTACAGGAAATGAAGCTGATGATTCAGATACAAAAGAATTATTTATGAATCAATTTATAAAGGAAATTGAACCATTTGCAAATTATTTCGATGAAGATTATCTATTTCAAAATGGCAATGAACTGTTAAAAGTTGAATTTAAAGAACATTTTCGAAATATTAGTTATATTATGGATTGTGTTGGTTGTGATAAATGCAAATTATGGGGAAAATTACAAGTGCAAGCATTAGGTATTAATAATAATCATAAACTAAATGACTTTTGTTTCTATCCAATAAGATCTACGAAATGTTTTTATAAGTATACGGAAAAGAACTATGATTCCTCTCTCCTTAAATATTTGATAGACATTGATGATCCAATATCATAGACCCTATATGAGTAATAGTTCGTGAGAATAAATTTTAATTACACATAAATTGTGCTAACAAATTTTGTATTATTATTTTATTTTTTAAGGTACGGCATTAAAAATTCTTTTTACGGAACATCCAATACAGTTACAACGATCAGAAATTGTTTCATTAATTAATGGATTTAATCGTTTATCAACAAGCATATATCAACTTGAACGTACATTCAAAACATATATTAAGAAAAATAGTTGAAAATGATTTCAAATTATCTTGGTTTTATTGTATATAACTGATTACTAATGCGAGAGTTATACGGTTCGAGGATGAATTAGAAAAATATATAAATAGGGGTTCATTTGCTAATAATTATATCCGATGGATGTATTGTATTTTTTGTTTTGCTTTATTGTCGCAGTCTATTGATGTATAATGCTACAAAAATAGTGAATAGTATAAGTCTTTTGCTGCGTTTCATTTGTTGGTGTTTATTAAAAATAAATTTGTTATTGTACAACGTATTTCGATAATTTTTTATATGAAATTTACACGCAGCCAATAACAATGAAACGATACAGTAGCAAGAAGGAATGAATTTGCTAAAGTTAGACAAAAAGCTACGTTCTTTTTTTCAAAAATGAAAATATATGTTATGAAAACAAAACAACAATCTATTATTTTTTCCCTCCACGGCCAAGATAGCGAATAAAAAATAGCTAAGCTAGATTTCATTTAGAATATAATTGGTTTGTAAATATATTGTAGCTCGATGTCGATTTTTCATATATTATTTTATTGCTACATGTCTGACTTTTATATACAAGCTACAAGAACAACATAGTTCATATGGACAATCAACTTTATTTCTCTTCGCGTTACGATTTTGTGAGAGTGTCTCTTTATTGATTTCGTTCTCTTGAAACTAATTTATGATGATATAAAATAGCGATTCTTTTTTTGCTGTTTATTAGTTAAAATATGAAGAATTAAATCATTAACATGTTATACTAGCTACAGTTGATTACTGTACTCAAGTGGTTCAAAACATATTCTTTACAAAAGCTTCTATTTTACTAAACTTGAACTTCATGATCTAGTGCAGACTAAATTTTTGTTTATATTGGATTTGTTTTCAATTAGAAAATTGTTATACCTAATATAGTTTATTCAATTTTTCAAAAAATAGATTCGAAACTTTAACTATGACGGTTCATTCAAAAGATGAAGTTTGTACTGGATCACATCTGAACTTGGGTTCGGTTGTATGATTAAAAATAGTATGAAGAAAATAAGACAGAGAATTTGTATGATTAATTTGTTTCAATTAGGTGAGTCTACGTCTACTGATTTGAGAAAAGCGCTATTTCTATCCTATGTCATACCCCTATTCGCGTGGATATACCTACTTCTCCCCCTATTCACAGCAAATCAACAGTAACCGATTAAACCATTTCTACTACATATGTATACGTAGAATATTCTACTGTCAGCACTGGCCGGATAACTTCGTCTCCTTTGTCCTGCGCGAAATAAGTTTAGATGACAGGTGCTTGAAATATTGGAACAGGTATTTATCAACATTATCGAGCACGAAAGATGGAGAGTTAATGTTCGAGCAGATGAATTTCAATGCATTCAGAGACGCTTGGTTGCTTAAAGAAAATAGTATAGCTGGAGTCGTTAGATCGAAGAGATATTTTGAACATAAGCCGGTACTAGAAAAAATCATGAACTGGTGTGCAAGTATAGCCTCTAACGAATCCATTGTAAACTATAACATAGAGGAAGTGATGACCTTGGCGGAATTTCCAGAAACTTTTGACGCAAACATATGAGTTCCGGCTTAAGCTAGCTTCTTCTTTCTTCTTTCTTTCTCCTTCTTCCTTCTTCCTTCTTTCTCCTCTTGCTCTTTAGTTCATCGTGTTGCGCAAATGTACGTGTACTAAGACATGTATTTTTATGACTGTTACATTTCCCCCCCCCCTCTCTCTCTCGATGTTAAACCTAACGATGTTTCTTTCAATGTCACGTTCATTCATTCATTTTTTTCTGCTTCATTTTCGCTGGCATTTTCATTGTTCTTTTGTTTTTCTCATTCGTAACTTTGGTGCTGAAAGAACCTTCATGGTCGTCAGGTTATTACAAATTAAAAAAAAAAGATGAATTTTGTGCTTGCTGTGTTTCTTTTATGTCGTGATCCAATTCAATTTTTATACTCATTCTAATAGAACAGTGAAATTTTATGTTTGAAAATTGAACTAATCCTAGTACGGATTAGTAATTAGTTTTGTTGTTGGTACAGTTAATTTTCATGAAGCATGGTAAAAATAGCGAACTATTTAGAATTCTAGAATGAAAAAATCCTATAAAGCCATTTCATTTAATGATTTTTAAACTGTTATTATAAATAACAGCTTTGTTGTTAATTTTGCTGTGCACTTATAGTTCATTTTGCATAGTTTAAATGCAAAATTGACCTTTGCATTCCGTTTTATTTTTACAACATTTTAAGAATAATCTTCAGTCTGACATCTGAATAGATTTCATTTACAGCTGAACTTTTATCAGCTATCAAACCATTAATTTCTGCTACTGATTATGCTCACAATCAAATGGGCACATAATTGAAAAATTACTCGTTGTAAAACTCATAACGGATACATTTAATAGGTGCGACTTTCTTTGCTCGGTGAGAGTCATGATTTTCTTTACGGTTTCTGAGTTACTGATGGATGGAATTTTTCTTTCTGTTCTTCCACTCGTTCTGAGATAGCGCATCGAGTTATTTCCATGGTAATGCATGCTAATAAGCAACAGCCAGACTCTTCTTCTCAAATATGGTAAAGAATGAGATGCTGACAGAAAAGAAAAACTAGCAGGACAGAACAAAAAAAAAATGCGCTCCACCAGCAACGCAAGCGAATACTTGTAAGCAAAACGATTATTTGTCGATCTATTTATTTGTAGAACCTTATACAATTGTATCAAAGAATAGCAAAGAGCGCTAACTAAAGATTTGTTTTCCAAATATATAGAGAAAATATTTTATTATTGAAATTACTTTGAAGAAGATAAAACGGCAAAAATGAATAGTACACCACCACGATCAGGTAACTAATAAAATGTCCTAAATTGTTGAAAAAAATATTTCTTCTTGATAGTCCCTTTTTGGTGTTCAATTCGTGTTGCTGTTGCTTTTGTTGGATTTCTGGGCATGGTTGCACATTATTCACAAAAAATTAGCGTTGGTATTGCACTTGTTTGTATGGTCAATCATACAGCTATTAGTCAACACAAAACTCCTATTGATATGCCAATTACACAAGAGGATATTGATTGCCCATACGCAAAAAATACAATGAAAATTGTAAAAAAAAATATAACGTAGTTACATTTTATCATAGAATTTTCTTCTGATATTTTTTCTATAGGAAGGACCGTATTCGTGGACAAAAAATATTCAAGGTATTATTTTAGGAGGATATTTTTGGGGTTACTTAATTACTGAGATACCCGGAGGATATATGGCTGTTCGTTATGGTGCTCGATTTATTTTTGGCATCGGCATGATTATTTCGGGTATTTTCACCTTATTAATCCCGTGGGGTGCAAGTTTACATTATGGAGTACTTTGGGTTTTTCGATTGATCGTTGGACTTTCACATGGAGTTATATGGCCAAGTATGACTGTTATCATGGCACATTGGGCACCACCTAATGAGAGAGGAAAACTTGTTGGTTTTATGAATGCTGGTAAGTAGATCATTTTAAAATACTTCAATTTATTAAACTTGCATTTTTTCTTGTGGTGAAGGCGCTCAAATTGGAAATGTCTTAACTTTATCTATCGGTGGACTGATGTGTTCATTGAATTTTCTCGGTGGTTGGCCATTAATTTTCTATTCAACAGGTATTATTGGTCTAATATGGGGTATATTTTGGATTTTATTTTATGCGGATTCACCTCGTGATCAACGCTGCATCAGTAATGAAGAAAAAGAATATATTATTGAGAGTACTCAAAAACAATTAGCTGGCCATAGTAAAAATGAATTTGAGGCTCCGTGGAAAGCTATTTTAACATCGCCTGCTTGTTGGGCACTTTTTACTATTCATACATGTAATAATTGGGGAACGTATACATTTCTTACATCAATTCCAAAATATATGGCTGAAGTATTAAGATTTGATATTAAATCTGTACGTAACTAAATAAATATTAATACATCAATGTATAATTGATTTATTTTTTATTCTCGATTTAGAATGGTTTACTTTCATCATTACCTTATATTATGTTTTGGATTAATATAAATCTATCTGGTGCAATAGCCGATATGATTATTCGCAAGGAGATTTTAACAAGAACACAAACAAGAAAACTGTTTAATGTATTAGGAAATATACTTCCAGCAATATTTGTTATTGCTTTAGCATTTATGACATGTAAACTCAAATATACTGCAGTAGTTTTATTAACGTTTGGTGTTACATTCACGTAACTATTTTAATTTATCAGGCCATTCTTTGCATACTTTAGTCCTATCATGCTTTATTAATGTAGAGGATGTTGTTATGGCGGAGGTTTTATGTTAACCGCAAATGATATTGCCCCAGCCTATGCTGGTATTGTTTTCGGTATTTCAAATACATTTGCTACAATACCAGGTATTGTTAGTCCTTATATTGTTGGAGCGCTTACGGAAAAGGTTTGCTTTTATTAACAATCGTATGACTAACTCTTACATCTAATAATATAGGATTCCAACAATTGGCGTATTGTTTTTTTCATTTGTGCAGCAATTTACATAATTGGCATGATAGTATTTCTATTCATTGGATCGGGTGATGTTCAACCATGGGCAACTAGACAAAAAACTGAGGCAACTACATCTGAACAAGTTCCTCTATCAGGCAAAATATTGTTTTTTCAATATTATTGAATGAAAATAATGATTTTTTTTAAATAGCGAGTGAAATTTCATCCAAGAATAAACAAAGTGAACCATAGACTTGTTTCAACGAAATCTTTAAAGTATTCATTTTAATCCGTCATTTTTTTCTTAATATGTGTACTTTAGATGTAGCAATTTAATTTTTTGTACAAACTATCACTGAATCTCGGTAGTAGTTTGATATGATTGTAACTTGATCATATATTGTCTTTAATAGCTCAAATTATCTATTATATGACTTTATGTGAATCTATATTCCTTCGTCTCAATCTATATAATAGTTTACTAATGCCACCTGTAGATTAATAAAGAAAAAGAATGCTTATTTTTGGGCGTAAATGAAGTTTTCAAATAGAGACGATGCATTATAATCAAATATTAGCTTCTAATTTAAAAGTGAATGCCTCGACTAAGTAGTAGCTGTCAACAGAATTGAGCGTCACATTACATCCAGGCATTCATTGAAATGAACACATACATCAATCAGTACATTCTTGAATAGATGTTTTATTACATTTTTGCGCACATGAATTACTACTCGTAAAACAAATTTTTGAAACTAAAAAGAGCACTTTTTATACTTCGATAAATTTAAAACATCGAATGACAAGATGTTTCTTTTTCTTTATATTTTCAATAAAATCTTCTTTTAATTTTGCACCAAAATCAGTCGTTCCTGATAAATAAAAAGCGGAAATTCTCGCTAGATTGGGTACCATGAACTTTTCTCTAATATACTTAAAAGAATCATCACTATCTACCTCTATTCCAACAAAAAACACGTACAACTTCTCAAACAGTTTGTTGTATTATGTAATGCTCAACCTGACTTATTACATGTGCCTGGATCGGAATTCTTTCGACAATGATTTCACAAGTAAAATTCTTCTATTATTCCAATAGTCGATATGAATTTGCTCATTGCAACTAGAGATTGAATTAGGATTAGGCTAGTCATTTTATTTATCATTTATCTTAATCTCAATTGGGCTTTTTTTCTAACAGATTTAGATACAATAGGTATAATTGAAGATGATGAGGGTGCAGCACAACCAATCAGTGATCTTAATGTTGACGTATTGTTCTTTAATCAATGAAGCTATTCGTGATTGTGCTCATGCTTTAGAAGTGAATGAAAATTCTCAATAAAAATTTAAACAAAGAAGAAGAAAAGCAAATCAATAAAGAAAATAGAAATGATTTGTCGAAGTCACATTAGTTTTGTTCTAATTTGTTGGGTATTGAGAAGCAGTTAACAGAGATTTTTATAAAGTTCAATTATCTGCTTTTGATAAAGATGTTCAGATGTGGTGCAAAAAATCTTGAAGTGAATGTAATTATATATATTTTTCATTCATACTTTTTCTTTTTCTTGATGTTCTATGTTTTTTTTTTGTTCACGCTAAAATAGTTGTTGAACACAAACGTAAATAAGAACGACGTCGAGAAACAAAAGAAGCTGATACTAAACAAGAACGTGTTCTCAAAGCTCCATAAGCTTATACTAAGTCACAACAAGAAGAGAACGATCGAAGAACACGAGAACAGCAATCTCGTTCTACAGGCCCACACCAGTTTCCAGATATAATGACGTGTTGTTTTAAAAATTATTTCGTATGTTTGATTTGCTTGTTTATAGGTGGCATGGGTGGCACTGCTGATTTAGGAGGATTAGGTGCTTTCATGAAGAGTCCAGATATACAAGCCGCTTTTCAATAATATTATTCATTGATAAGATTCATTTAGTTCTATAACATTTTTCAAGAAATCAATTTGTTAAAATGATGAAATCTTTTTCAGAACATAATTGCAGATTCATCAATGTTAACTGCTCATGAGAGTAATCTAAAAGTATGCAAAATCATAGAAAAAACTCTCCAGCAATGTTTGTTGGTGGGACTGGTGCATCTGCCACTAATGATTTTAATTCATTTTTCTTTTTCGCGGTCGTCATGTGAAGGACATGCATTATTTTGTTTCTTCTTCTAAATAGCTTCATTATGCTCGATCGAATTTTCAAGAAAGATTCATCGCTATACTTGTGGCAAAATCAAATTTTAAATGTTTATCTAACATTTCATGCCAAGAAAACAAACAAAAGTGCAATGAGAATGAATATCTTTATGTACATACAGTTAATACGGTTGTTGAAAAACAGATTATCCGTCAATACTCTGTCTAAATGATAAGCGGTTATCTACTTGAATGTAGAAAGACTCATCGATGTTCTGACCGGCATACCAAGTGTTTTTCTCTACCCTATACTAAAAGAATCATAAGTGAAAGTATCTTCCATTTTTATTGTCATTAGTTCATATGATACCATTTTAGCATATGACAAACTCGAGTAATTATCACACTGTGTTTCTATTTGATATAAATTCGTTTTTTCATACAAATAAATATCAATAGATGAGTGTGGAGAGTGTAGCTATGGCTTGATCATTGACAGCTTATTCTCAATCTTCTTCATGTCTTGAAAGATACTGAAGCTCAATATGAATGCCAGATTTTCTGTTGGATTCATTCTTAGATCCTAACAATTGTTGTTTCCGAAAGGTGTCAATGATTGATAGAATCCTTTCCAGGATTTTTTGAGATTCTTGTTCAAATTGTTTTCTAGATTGGAAATATAGGTTCTTACTCAAATTCAATCTAAATCAAATTTAAGATTATTTCAAGGATAGCAGAGCAGGTTTTGTAAAGATTCTATCAAGTTTGAGACAGAATCTGATCTGGATTCGCCGAATTATTGTAAGTAGGCTTGATAAGGATTGTTCGTAAGGACACCATAGAAAATGCAACTGTAATCTTTGATTAATACAAGACCAATACGAATTCATACGCAACCTTGATACATGCTCACTAGATTCAAGTCTTTAAATATTTTTTAACTACACACTACTTTCAAGTGTTCATGGTTTCTTGTACGATTCCTAGTAAATTCCTTTTTCGAATCGTGTCAGAAAACGAATGACAGTACCATGGAATCCTATTTATTGAATCCACATATGACTTGAAACAGAAGCATGAAAGATATTTACTAGACGAGGATCTTCACGAAAGTGCCAGAAAAATTTGTCGAACGATATTATTCAGTTTCATTTAAGATCGATTGTAGATGTTTATGCGAATATCTGATGACGAATTATAGATAGATCAAATGTGAATCTTACTAAGAATACAATAAGATTCGTCAAAGTCTTCGATGAATAAAATCTAATGAATTTTCACCAGAGCCATGCTTCTAATAGTTTGAAGAACCATCAGCTTTGAATCTGTAGAAAATCATGTAAATCAAGATGAAAATCTCGACGGGAAAATGAAAAAACTATTGTAGATTTTGTTTCAGACACAAATGAATATAAATTTTTCATTGGAATTTTAGCTAATTTTTGCTAAGGATCGATTCAAAAATTTTCAAAATTTAGATCTCAACATGAAGCTTCATAGTAATGCTGAATAAAATCAGAATAGTTATACATGAGAGGATTTTTTCAAGTGTTTACTATCTATTATTTATTCTGAGTGTGGTAGTATTGAGATACCTACTACAATTTTATCCTCATTATGGTGTTGGATATTTATAAAAGAAAAGCAAAAAAGCTACTAGCAAAATCTCTCAGTGTTTTCCCAAATCTTTTGAAGATTAACATCGAAAAAAATTTGACTTTTCAATACTACAAATAATAGCTACATTTGTGGTGTTAACTAGAGAAGGACTTCAAAAGATTATTATAATATCGATTTCATTTTAGGTCTTGTACTTATTTCTTTCTCGTGGATTAGCTATTTTTTGAACGGGGTATATCATTTGGTAAAATATATTCATATTTGGAATTATGCGTAGGAGTTTGAGGGATAAAACAATTAAAATTCGACATTCGTCAGAAAATATCTCTTGAAGTAGATTGATCATCTGATTTCATTTTTATCTGAGCATCGAATTTGATGGTTCCTGACAAATATAGTAATGTTAGCAAAAACAATGCCGACAGTTGGCAGTAATATGAGATAGATTATTTTCCGAACTTCGAAGCTATATTCATTTTTGAACCGTTCATGCAACTGTAAACTGTAGAGAATTAGTTGAGTATTTCACTCGTTTATCTCATTTTCAATACGAATCTTTAGATAGAAATGAATATTGCATTGAAATAGCTACTTCAATTAAAACATTAGAAGCAATAGTGCTACATTGATAGAGTAAGAAAAACTCGACGAATATTTGTTTCTCTATGTTATAAAACAACAGAAGTTCCTCTCGATTGTAGTACAAAATATTTGAATTCCTAAATGTTTCTATGGCAGCAACCTCAATGCATCGCTTAAACAAAAGCAGTTACTATATTCGCACTTCTAGCTCCAAGAAAGAAAGCGAAACTCTTCTTCTTTACATACATCTATACAACTGAGGAGAAAATAATTTTGACGTGCTGATATAAAGCAAATAAAAATAGATATCTAGATATTTTTTCAATTGCCTTTGAGTATATTTTTGTGTTTAACTAATTAAAGAAATAGAACGAGAAAAATCAAATTTTTTTCCTAAACGAAAAAAATAAGACAAAAAACAGAGGTATCGCTTTATATGTATGTGTGTAGATAGGGACAAATGATAACGTTATGAATTTTAAGAAAGCGGAAAAGTCAAGAATAAATGGATAACAAAATGAACAATGCTCCAAGCACACACACATACATATATTGGATGTTGTCAATTAGTTGAGTCTTCTTAAGTTTCTAGGAAATGAAATCAACTTTTTTTTTCCGTTTGACAAACATAACGTAACAACAAACATAGAAAGACGAGAATAACAAGACAGAAAAAAAATGAAAAGAAACATAGTTGACTGAAGTAATTATGTCTCATGGTTGGAGATAAACATATATATATATATATATATATATTTATGTGTGTGTGTGTGTGCGTATACCTATGATAGGTTTCAATGAAGAAAGGCAAACAAAAGAAAACTATGATGTTAATTATAAGTTTATTTGTTATCATCAGAATAAATAGAAGATGGTAAAAGAAGTTTTTGTTTGATGCTGATGATTTTGATGAAAGCACAAGAACAGATGTCTATCTTTTAAATCAGATCGGCAACGTTCATTGGCATTTCTTGTATTTGTGTATTATAGAATTGTTCAATATCACGTAATGTGCGTCGATCATCATCGGTAACGAAGTTGATTGCTACACCTTTTCGACCGAATCGACCACCACGCCCAATACTTAAATACAAAAAAAGAAAAAAAACACATTGATAAAAATTAATTAAAAAATTAAGTTTTTTCTAAATTTCTCCTACCGATGGATATAATTTTCACGGTTATTTGGTAAGTCGTAGTTGATAACAAGACTAACTTGTTGTACGTCAATACCCCGTGCAAGTAAATCAGTTGTAATCAATACTCGACTAGAACCTGTTCGAAACTCTTTCATGATTACATCACGTTCTTTTTGATCCATATCACCATGCTAAAATGGAAAAAGAAACGTTTTGTTCATCAATATTTGTTCACTCTAATAATTTTAATTTTAAAAGAATGGCTTTACGATTGATCTATTCAATATTTGGCCAGGTCCAGTACATTATATTTACGGAAGACAAAATTAATGCTTGGTAATATTGGCCAGAACTAAACAAGTTTTTTTTTGTCTTTAAACTTACCATTGCTGATACAGTAAAATCCCGTGAACGCATTTTTTCCGTTAGCCAATCGACTTTTCGACGTGTATTGCAAAAAATAACAGCTTGTGTAATTGTTAATGTTTCATATAAATCACAAAGCGTGTCTAATTTCCATTCCTATAGACAAACAATAATAAAAGAATATTGGTAAAATAGATACCATTCTATTGCTCTTACCTCACGTTCAACAGTTACATAAAATTGTCGAATACCTTCAAGAGTTAATTCTTCTTTTTTAACGAGAATTTTAATTGGATCATTCATAAATTTAGTTGTTACTTCAAGTACATCACTTGGCATTGTAGCTGATAAAAGAATAACCTGAATATTTTGTGGCATTGTTGTGAATACATCATAGATTTGTTCTTTGAAACCACGTGATAACATTTCATCAGCTTCATCTAATACGAACATTTTGATACTTTTGCTACCTATTTATATAGGAATTCTGAGAAATGTATGAAAATAAAAGTCTCTAAATGCACATACGAAGAGCAGATCGATTAAGCATGTCATAAACACGTCCTGGTGTACCGACCACAATTTGAACACCTGTTTCAAGTCGTTTAATATCGTCACGAACATTTGTACCACCGATACAAGCATGACATGTTACACCCATATAATCACCGAGGGCTAACACTACTTTTTGAATCTATACAACGACAACGAAAAATGAAGATCCAATAAGTAAACTTAGTCCATTTTATGATTATAAATATACTTGTTGAGCCAATTCTCGAGTGGGTGCTAAAATCAACGCTTGACAATCTTTGAAGTCCGGGTCAAGTTGTTGTAATATTGAAATGGCAAATGTTGCTGTTTTGCCTGTACCCGATTGTGCTTGGGCAATGACATCATGACCTAGGATAATAATACGAAAAAACAACCGAAAAGTTGATTATCGAAACAATTATTTATCATAATACCAACCCAAAATACAGGGTTTAATAGCACGTTGTTGAATAGCAGAAGGTCTTTCGAAACCATAACCATAAATACCACGTAAAAGTGGTTCACGTAAGTTCATCTGATCGAATTGTTCGACCACTTCAGTCCAATTGCTCTCGATAGTACCATCTAAATAACGAATTAAATTTTGGGCACTTGTTTGTTTGTTTATTTAGCCTACGTACCAGGTTCCATTGATGGAACGCCTGTGCTCGAGGTCTGGTTGGTGTCATTCCTAAATAAAATAGAAAAGATAGATAATAATTTATTGTCGATTGTCTTCTGATTGTATTTTCTTTTCTTCGATTATGAAATAGACAAGAAAAAACGTACTTGTCCTTAGACATTTTGTTTGATTGGTGACATAATCTGAAGATAAACAAGATGAAAAAAAGTCGTTAATTAATGTTTGTTGAAAAAAACAAGACGGATATAAAAAAAATGTATATATATACACTGTTCGAGAGTCAGGCAAACGTTTAAGCAAGATGGCGGATTAGTAAGCTGTTTCTCTGTTAAAATATAGACCAACTAGCTTGCATCATTAGAGAGGTCAGATACAAATTGATTTTTTGTTTTTTTGTGGAAAAAAATTGAAATTTCTGTTTTTTTTCAAATAATATATTTCTATAGAGATTTCCTTATATAAAGATTTACTTAAAATTCTTTTGTAATTGTCGCTCATAGATACAAAAAAAATAAAATACTAATGCATTTCAAATCCATATAATGCACAATGAACGACGAATAATAAATCTATTACCTAGCGACAATAACTGAATCTTAGAGAAAGACAATCGATTGTTCGTTAAACAATCATCGTTGAACAAGTTCTATCATAACAATATTTCATTTTCGAAAGAATTAAAACATTGTTTGAGTCAAAAAAAAATCTTGTATTGGATGTGTAATGCCACGGGGAATCAACAACATGAGCACGTTATATGTGAATCATTTTGACAGTAGAGGTAACAAAAGGAGTGATTCAATAAATTGAGTGAGACATATCCGTTATGTTTTTGTTTTATAAAAATCTCTGGCCTCCTATTGCACTTGTTTAAAAATATAGGAATCCTTAGACGATCAAGATTGTCAAAAATATAGGATTTTCGATAAAAAATGACAAAAATATAGGATGTTTCATACATAGTTTCTGTTGAATTGTTTTGCTGTTTTTTAACTGTCCTGCTCGAAAATCCTTTTAATGAAGCTGTTATAAACAGTTCAACTGTAGCCAAGATCGTTATGTAATTTTTTCTACTGAAATAAGTCGCTAATTCGAGGATCATTATAAAAGTTTTTCACAAATCGATAAATAACAATAAAGTAGATCATAAGCTTTGAAAAAAAAAATACATAAAAAAGACAAATACTATTCTCATAAATTAAAGGAGACATTTCTGATTACGGATATGACTTCCCAAAAAATTTCAACCCAATTTTATTGTCCTGATAATCAGCATTTATTGCTTATTATTTTCCACAAGTTTATTTTGTATTTTATCATAAATTAATTTTTTCTGGTAACAAATAAGTGTAAATGAAAATGCATATACACAGGATGGCGTAAAATTTCACGAGCTTTCGGAAGATGTCGTTCCTTTTAAAAAAAGATGTTCTTTTGGTAACAGTATCTTCAAAATACAAAGTGAAACTTATTTTTTCCAGGGGAATATATATACAACTTTTATATCTAACTAAAACCTCACTAAAAACTCGAAACTAGTACATGATCATTTTGTGAATGCTTTTTTCTTTTGAACTATTTTGTATTTTGTGCTTAGTATTAAACAATTTCTCAATCAGCCCACTAAATAGGCGAAAGAAAAAATACTATTTAAAACAAATGTCACTATAACACAAGAATTTGTCCAAAACACATGATTATACACATTAAGAGTTTTTTTTTGTCTAAAGACAATAGAAAAATGAAGAGATTCTTGGAAATTTTCTACTTTCTTCGATAAAATATAGGAAAAATAGGAATTTTCATTAAAACATAGGACAAAAATAGGATGTTTTTGAAAGTAGAGGAAATATAGGTCGAATCACCGCCCAGAAAAATCTTGATTGTGAATCAATTGTAATCTTTAATGCCTAGAAGCAATGCACTTAATAGTTTCTAGGAATATTTTCTTCTGATACAATGTGTTTGTGTGACAAGGTGTCGTTTCATAAAAAAAAATTCTTTTTATCACAGAATAAATATTTCCGATTGTTTTGGATCAATGTGTTCTATCATATCACATTGGTTCCGATAATTTTCTGTTGTATTCAAACAAGTAAACAGAGTAAGGATATCTTCTTATTTAAAACAGCTCAGGTTTGGTGTGTTTCTCGTACGATTCACTTTTATTAACAAAATTACATATTAATTGAAACTGAAGCAAATATTAGAAACAAAACATTTTGTAGGAAATTTAGAGTGCTCATTTCAATACACTAAAATATTGTATGTAAAAATTAGGAACTTCTAAAAAACAATTTTCGAATTTAGCTATGCATCCAAGTCTTTTATAATAAATATATGTTTAATGTGATATTGAAGTAGATTATTCACTAATGGCAATGATTTCTAACTACATGAAAAGAAGATATTTTCTAGCACATGTATATAACATAGATAAAATGAAATTTGATTTTAAAGACTCGTAGACAGATAGCAAAAAAGACAACGGAATTTTTTTCTTTTTTCTATTGGCGTATGTATGAACAATTCGAACCTTATAGTACCCGAACGATGCGCCATTTAAGTACGATAACAACAATGTGTTCAATGGTGATGACTGAATTGCATTAACAGATTTAGAGATTGTATTGATTCGATGCCATTCTGTAAAAGTGCCTTCTCATTCAGCAGAACTAAACCACGAAAAAATGTTTCAAAAAGTTCAGTAAAATTGCCTGTACATGAACTTTATCGTGATCTGGGCCCAAACTGTGAAGTAATTGATGTTAAAGTAGCGGATAAAAAAATTGCTTTTGATATCGAAAATGGCTATTGGAATACAGGTAGGATCATTCATAATTAATTTTCAATTCATAAATTAAAATCTTTTTCATTAGCTGGTGCTGAAAGTCTCTATGGAATAAAATCGATTGGTAGTACACAAACAATTCGAAAACAAGTTGCAATATCTAACGAAGAAAACAATATGTTAAAACTTAAAATTGAAGTTTTATTAAATCTTGTTGCTGAATTCTCATCTGCTCAACGTTAGATCTGTTAGAATTATATTGAACACATTTTTTTACTTGTATTTTTTGTTTTTTGAATTATAGTGTATTCTAGTTTTAGAAATTCAATTTACTAATCTTGAATTCTCTATTAAGATCAATAAAAATAGTGATTAAATAAATTGCAGATCGATGCAGTACTTATGATATGTTAACTTTGAAAAAAACTAAATAAATATTCATAACGTTATCAGAACTATCTTAACAAACTTCTATTGCACGAAATGATTAGATATATTGATTGCAAAGCATGTGTATAGAAAGAATATATCCACACCCCTGTATTGCGGTTTAGCTACTTGTTATTCTCATACATAGATTGATAAAGTCTATACTAGATACCATTGTTTATAATATGACACTTGCTTGAATTTTAATATCATGGCCATGGAATCAATTTTACATAGTAGTTTCAATGATTTTACATATCATGATTTGAATATTGATGATCGTTTTCTTTATTCAAAAGAAAAACTCAAGAAAACTTGTGTTTATGAGATTGTGGTAGTATTTATATAGTCAACTAGTGTCCTCTGTCAGATTTATCTTTTCAATTGGTAAAACATAATTAACCAATAATGTACATAATTGTAAATTCTTTTGATCCCTTTGACAGATCTACCCTCAAGGATCTATTCTAGGCCTTGCATTTTGTAAAGCATTCTTTCGCATAATTTACTTATTAACGTTTATTTATTATGGGTAATACTGTACAAAATGAAACGAGTAGCTATAAATTCGAATAGTGTACCAGTTATTTTTCAACCATTATGTCGAAAAGAGAAACAAAATATTTCATTCATGGTTCTCTTTATCTAAGTCAAGAGGAATCAATGAGTTTATTTCAACTGTTGTCATGTTTGATAGGATACTTTTGGACAAGATACGCTTTTCTAACAGAAACCTAAAATAGAGTAAAAATGAGTACTTTATTTCTGTTCACCTATTATCTATTGGTATTTAACTGTTTAGAGCAAAATCAAGAGGGGAAAGTGCAGGTTTGGAACCCCCAGAACCTCAGCACCTTTTCTATAGCGAGATTTACTTTAGCCGTATGGAAATGAATCGGGAAAACTACTTTCATTTTCAATAGTAGAGGTGAATTTTTTCTTGAATTATTCACAGAATCTGAATAAGAATTATTTCAGAATAGAAAAGTCAACAGAAAAAGAAAAACACCCTTCAAAAGTAACTGTATATCAAATTGCAAAATGATATACCAAAAAGTTTGATTCTTCTTTTGTTAGCATGAGAACTAACACTGAGCTCTGATTATTTTTCATTTTATCACCATTGCATTTGTACAGTTTCTGCTTTCTCTCAAGTATGAAAAAAACATTGTACGCAATGCCATACTCCTTGGTAAAAAGAAACCTGCACATAATTTTATTAGCTTGAAAATCATCATTGAATTTGGATTATTTTCCACAAATTTGTTGCGTATTTTATAAAAACTCAATTTTTAACACTTGGACTCCCCTTCAAGGGTCGAAAACCCTTTTTTGTTCTGGTTTTACTATAGATAGTTATATTTCCATAAAGCTAAGCTTTCTGATTACAAGTATTGTCTCAGTTTTGAATTTCATTGAATAATAAGAAACATATGAAGCACTCTCTCGGATCCTTAAAAAAATAGTTACTGACCTAAAGATCTATGAATATTCGATTTATACTGTTTGAAAATAGGTCCGTTCGATGCAAAAAGTTTTTTTTTCTATCAGAATATATAAGAACGACTTAGATATTCAATCTTTTTTTTTCTCTCGATAAATTCTAAATACCACCCCCGATCGGATCATACATTTACAAATACTGCTTTTCTCAGTCTTATGAAATGTGGTTTTGCGAGGTGTACCAGTAAGATTTTCTTATCGGATACGTTATTAAATGTGCTCTTTCTAATGAAAGAGTTTTCAATTTAAAACTCAATGTAATGTAAAGCGTTTTCGCTCCAATACTAGTATTGGAATCGAATTTCTGTCATTGCTTGGTTGATACTTGATAGTTTCAAACAGAATAATTCCTATGCGACTGAATATAAATATTATATTTGTTTAAAGCACAAAATCTGAGCGGATCTAATTATTTCTACAACTTTTGTCTTGGTCAGATTTTTACGTCTGGTCCCCTTCAGGATTATATGAAAACAAAATATTTTATTCAAAACAACTATTTGATTGATTATTAATTGATCTATTTTTGTCTCAAACATCATTCTCAAAGTTTGAAAACTTTTAACATTGTCCACGTGACCTTTGGAGTAAGTTAATTTTTTCGCTATCCATGACGGGGACCAGAGGTGAAAATCTGGCCGAAAACAAAAGTTGTATAAATAATTAAATCGAATTAGATTTTGTGCTTAAAAAAAGATAATATTTAAATTCAGTCAAGTGGGAAATAATCTGTTTGAAACTATCGAATATCGGTCACAAATGACAGAAATCCGGTTTCACGAGTAGTATTGGAGCGAAAACACTTCACATTACAAGGCGTTTTAATTTGAAAACAGTTATTAGAAAGAGGACATTCAATTACTTATTCTGTAAGAAAATCTTTCTGATACACGTCGAAAAAGCTACACTTCATAAAATTGAGAAAAGCATTATTTCTAACGGCATGACGCAATCGGGGCGGTATTTAGCATTTATCGATAAAACAAATTTTGAATATCTAAGTCGTTCTTATATACTCTGATAGACAAAACATTCTGTATCGAAGGGGCCTATTTTCAAAGAGGATCAATCGAATATGCATGGACCTTTGGGCCAATAGTTGTTTTCAAGTCTTTCCGAGAGTGCTTCAAAACTTTCTTAGTGTCTAATGAAGTTTAAAATCTAAAATGATATTTGTGATCAGGGAACTTAACTTTATTGAAATATAACTACTTGCACTAAAATCTGAACAAAACGTTTTTTCGATCCTTGAGGGGTACGCCAGATGTTAAAAATGGAGTTTTCATAAAATACACAATAAACTCGTGGAAAATAATCAGAATTCAATGATGATTCTCAAGCTAATAAAATTAGGTGCAGATTTTCTGTGAAGTCAGGTTCCTAATTCGGCACACCTCTTTTTTGATCGTTCAATTAGTGTATTCGTCAAGACTGAGGGAGAACAATCAGTTTAACAGAAAATTTTGTCGTCCTGTCGTATACCACTTCTTTATTTTACTGTTCCTTTTTCGGCACTTTATAGTAAAATTTGGTACTTGGAGCCAGTACTTCCCCCTTGGCAAAATACTACGGCTAAATGTTAATTCACGAAAAACAAAGACAGAATAACTCTGCCACTAGAAATATCGATCATGAATATCATGAATTCGATTTGATTAAACTAAAGAACAAATAAGAAAACATTCTTAGGTCTATCAACAAGTAAAACACAACATACATACATAAGAGCAAACCCAATGATTCTTTACATAATGGTGAAAAATTAACAAAGTGCATTTTTATTTTATAAAGTATCCTCAAGATACTTTGCTTTTTTCTTCAAAATGCAAAACACAGTACGTTTGAAAAATCGTAAGTGCCTCGGGAACGTTGCTTTTGCTTGGCTTACTTAACGTTAGAAACAGTGGCCTGCTTTCTCTCTCTCTATGTAATATATTTTCCGTTACAATAGAAATTCTGTAACTGTTTTTTTTCAATTTTTCGAAAACAAACTTGATAGATGACATTTCATATAAAAGACGATGATACTCAATAATGCATCGTTTCAGTCATGAATAAATGGTATTACTGTAATAACAACATCTGAAGTTGAAATAAAAGAAATTCTATTAATAATTTCACGACATTTGCAGCATGGTTCGGTCATTGGGAGTAATGAGTTTGTCAATTACTCGTATTATTGGTGATCACGAATAGTGCTCTACATAGAACAACGTTATATAGATAGAATTCTTCATCACACTAATTGCTTTACTTTTGATTTTCATGCTTAAAAATATTTTTTTCTATTACATTTATAAGTAGTAGTATTAGCCAGCGTTGAATATGCTCTCCAATTTTGATAGGCTTAATTTTTGCTATACAAAGTTTTATTTAGATACGTTTTCTATATATTATTCAGCAAAGACGTGGTGCTTTTTCCTAAAATTAAATTTGCGCTCCTGGAGTTTTACAAACACTCCTCCTGAGGAGAAAATCTTCAGAAAACACCCGTCGTTTGATCCGTAGATCAACGAATATTTCAACATTTTTATTTCATAGAAAATCGTAATGTTCTTTTGATTAATACGATGGAATATCGAGTCAGAGCATGAAAATTATTCATTGTGATAATTCATCAATTTGTTAAATTATTTACAAGATTCATTTTCTTTATAAATGCAACACATACTCTTAGTATAGATAATATATATTTTATCAATGCTTGCAATATCACAAGTAAGGTGAGTGCTGAAAAACTAAGTACTATACGTGACGAGATCAAATACACGTTTCATGTTAGATCAAATATGTTATAAATTGTTGATAAAAGCATTCAATTACTTGTTAGTTTGTTTATTGGTTGAATGAAGATGAATTATAATACAGAGGAATGATGTGCTTACTTGATTCTATGAAATTACATGAAAAACGAAAAATATGAGTTTGTATTTCAGATAGTTCTGAATGGCTAATGTTTTCCTACAGTTTTTAATTGATGTTGAAAACGGTGATTTAGATGCTGTTAAAAGAAATATACAAAATGGTATTGATTTAGAAACACGTGATGAGGTAAGATGAACACAATTATGATATATTAAATTGAACGTCTTGTTTTTTCGTCCATCTTTTAGGATCAACAAACAGCACTTATTTTAGCTGCTCGATGTAATCATTTCGAAAGTGTTAAAATTCTCGTTGAAGCTAATGCCGATGTGAATGCTGAGGATGTAGTATGTATAGTTTTGAAGAGAATCCATGAATAATCTACTGATTTCGATAATAATCATCATTATTATGAAATTTTTATTCACATACTTTTTTAACTATTTAGGATCATTGGACAGCATTACTGAACGCATGTCAAAATGGTAATTTAGATATTGTATGTTTTCTTATTGAGCACGGTGCACATATTGAACATTGTGATTGTGTAAGTTTTATATTAATAATAAATAATTCAAGTCAATACTGAATTCATTAAATAGGGTCAATTTACTCCATTGATGTGGGCATCCTATCAAGGACATACAAGAGTAGTTGAATATTTATTAAGTTGTGGTACTAATGTTGATGCTCAAGATGAACATGGTATATCAAGTTTAAGTTGGGCATCGGGACGAAACCATATTAATATTGTAGCATTGCTACTTGCAGCTGGCGCTTCACCAAATCTATGTGACAAGAATAATACCAGCCCATTAATTTGGGCCAGTAGACGCGGTAAAAAAAATACGTAGAAAACTCTATTGAATCTAATTAATTTTTTCATGTTCAGGTTATACACGAGTAATCGATTTATTACTAAAACATAATGCAAATGTTAATAATATTGGAATGAAAAATATGACTGCTCTTTTAGCTTCTACAAAAGGTGGTCATGCAGAAACAGCTCTTTGTCTTCTTCAGAATTCAACAATTGACATCAAAATACAAGATAAAGTAAAATATCAGAAAATTGTTAAATAAATTTATTTTGAATAATTGTAATAGGATGGACAAACACCACTAAGTCATGCATGTGGTCAAGGTCTCACTGATGTTGTTGCTGAATTGGTTGAACGACATGCTTATGTTAATACAGTTGATAAAGTAGGCTGTTGTTGAATAAATTGTTTTGCTTTTTTCAGCCAAAATTTTAATGATTATTTCTGTAGAATTTGGATCCCGTTCTTTTTTCAGCTGTTAAAAGTGGAAGAGAAGATTCCGTTGCTATTTTACTGGAAAAACATGCTCATATAAATGTTGTTGGCGCAGTAAGTTTAATTAGAAACAAAATCACAAAAGATCGATTCATCATTCTTTTCCATGAATATTCAATTTTTTTCTATTTCCGATTAATTAAACAAGGAGAACAAGACAGCAATATGGTGGGCTGTAGAATGCGGTCGACTGGATGTAGTCAAATATTTACTTCAATATAGTCCTGATGTTGAAATACCAGGTGGTCATGATGATGATACACCACTCTTATTGGCTACGAAACGAAAACGTGTTGGCATTGTTTATGAACTTATAAAATATGGAGCTAAACTATCATCAGTCGATCGAGTTAAAGATTTTTACATTATATTTTATAAAATTCTTATAACAACTGTTCTTTAGTTTGGTGATAATAGTTTGCATATCGCTCTGCGTAATTGTAGCCGAGATATTGCTGATATTCTACTTTCTAATCCAAGACATTCAAAGTATTTATATCGACCAAATAAACGTGGTGAAACACCATACAAAATAGATGCAAGCCTACAAAAGAGTATTCTTACAACTATCTTTGGACAAAGTATGAATATTGACTGTAGAAAGTTGCTTCTAATCTAGAAATAAATTTTTCTTTGTTCTAAATAGGAACATTAAATTTGAACGATGATTCTATTCTTGGCTATGATCTGTATTCATCAGCATTAGCAGAAATTTTGAGTGAACCATCACTTCGAACTCCAATTACTGTGGTAAGAACAACATTTTTTCTAGGATTTTTCAATATTTGAAAATTGGTCTATTAGGGTCTATATGCAAAATGGGGTAGCGGAAAGTCGGCGTTACTAGCGCACCTTAAAGGTAAAGTCTTTTTTATTTGAAAAATTGTATGTTGTTCTTTGATGTACATCGTAACTGATTGTAGATGAAATGTATAGCTTTGCTCAATTAACTGGTATGTTTTTTCTTTATGTATTTCAGTATATTGATACGAATTGGTTACTTTTTTCTTTCTCTTTTTTAGACTTTCCCAGTATAAAATTTTCACCTTTGCTTCTCTCAGTTATTTTCATCACAGGATCAATTATTGGTCTTGTTATTGGATTTTTAATTCACTATACTGTGGGAATATCTATTGGTTGTCTATTGATCATATTTCCATTGGTATTTCTATATTGGATTAAATATCTTCTTCGTAACAAAGACTATGGACGGACAGCTAGTGTAGCACGATTCATAAATAAGCGTTTGGAAATTTTACGATTTCTACTTCAAGTTCTATTTATTAATCCTTATGCACATCATCGCTTAAAAACGGATGATACAACTGATTGTAAAAAAATAAAGTAAATTTTATGAAGCCGGTATATTTATTAATATCTATGTAAATATTTAGATTTATTTTCACTGAATACGGAAAAGTCTCAACTGTCGAAGGTGAAAAGGTTAGCGCAACTATGATTGCTGAACTTGCAACAAGCATCGAAGAAACATTTGGACTTGTGGCAACACGTCTTTGTCGTGCACTTCATTCCAAAAGTTTGTTAAAAACTAAAAGAATCAAATGAATTATTAGATTTTCATTAATCGATTAGATTTAAGCCATGATCGATTCAGAAATCTATGTTGCGTACCTGCCTTTATTTTTGTGACTATTCAAATATTAGTTGCTTTTGTTCTAAGCATTTTAATATTTATCAAAGGTTGGATATCATCAAATAAATTGACTAAACAATGTTAAATATTACTATAGGTATTCCATCGGTTCATGGTTCGATTAATACTGTTTATATTCTCTTGGCAAGTATATTAGCTATTTCGATTGTATTCAGTTTAGCTACATGGCTTCGAATATTAATGGCATTGATGAAGTCACCGCAATCAAAAATTATGAAATTGTTAGACCAATCCTCACATTTGAATGAAAGTTCTCTTTATCGACTTAAAAAAGAAGTAAATCATGTTCAATGAATATTGTACAAAGAAACGAGAGAGTTTTATTTACTTATCTGTTTATTTAAATCCAGGTTAACCGATTGTCATATATTATTAAAACAGTTGAAGCTTTTTTAAATATTAACACTCGTCTTGTTGTTCTTATTGATGGTTTAGATGTTTGTGAACAACAGCGTATACTTCAAATACTTGATGTAAAAGAAATATAAATCAATGATATTATTGTTACTTTTATTCGATTACCATTCTAGCAAGTACATGTACTTTTGACGAAAGAAAACGATCCATTCATTACATTGATTGTATGTGATCCACATAAAATGATTCAGGACGCTAAAACAACAGCAGCAATAATATCATCAGCAGCAAATCAACATTCAAGTTTTGAATCTGGTGTTAACGGGCATGAATATTTACTATCGATTATTCAACTGCCAATCTACTTACAATTAAATTTAAGTAGAATAAAACAATTGAAAGACGACGGTAATGACTTTCCAAAAAGAAGGCAAACGGTTAGTTTGATTTTTTCTTCAATTGAATTAAAGATTTCCACTAATATCTCGCCATATATGGTAGGTTAGGGATTTTTCAGATTATAGTAGCGGGAAGATAAAAGTTAGTAAAATTATCTTAGTCAAGTTACGAATAAAATTGTTAAACAGTCAATGCCTATTAGAGATGTTACTACAGGAAAAACAAAACATTTTTTTAGACACTTCCAAATGGTACCTCAGTTCTTGATGTAAGTACACAACCGTCAATAGGCAAGAAACTTTCAAAAAATAAACGACGTCGACAACGACGAGATACATTACCCAATACTAAACCAGTAGGATAACCATGGCGTCGTTCATTTCATTATCGTGCTATGATTTTTTCTCTATTAGGTAACAACATCGGAGTTGACTCATCAATTACTTCAATCTGATTATTTTCTTGATATAAATCCACGAATTCTTCAACGTCTGATTAATATAATTGCAATGAGTGGTCGATTGTTACGTGCTAATCAAATATTATTCAGTTGGACACGTCTTGGGTGTTGGTCATATTTAGTGGAACAATGGCCATACCGTATTTCTTGGATTGTTGTGCATTATGAAGATTATGAACAAGACTATGCAGAAGATACTCCACTCAATACTCTCTATAACAAGTTTGCCTTAGATATTTGTCTTGCACAATGTTTTTACCAATAATGTTCTTATTTATTCTTATTTTTTCAGAATCAAGCAATTTATTCCCATATTGAATAATACTCTTTTAGATCTTGATCGTAATCGACGTAAATTCGAACTTTGTATAGAAAACAGCGAACCTGTTTTAAATGTTATGGATTTAAAACAATTCCTTCCGTCCACATGTAATCTTGATCCATATTTAAATAGATTCATTCGAGGTATAGGGTTTGCATTCAAAATACAACATGTTATTACAAAATCTTATTTATTATATAGAATCTGTAGCATATTTTTACATGAATAATTCAGATGAAAATGGTTTTACTCTGGACGATTCATCAAACTTTTTTTCACCTCGTGCTTCGACGTAAGTAATGAAGTAAATAAAATATGCTGATGTGAGTAGTTAGTAATCATTGAATCATTTTGTCCAGAAAAATTTTCCTATTGTTATCATAAAAGATGGTAAAATTATTAAATTTTAGCAATAATTTCAGTATTGCATGAAAAATGCTTCGCTTCAATTAAACTTTTGAAGCTTTATCAATAAATATTCTGTTCTTTTAAAATATGTCTTACCGTCTTCTAGTTTTGCCACACCTAATCCATTTTTTCAACAAGCACCAACTCCAAGAAACCAAACAAAAATTTATCCAAATTTTAATCTTGACAAATCAGAATTTGCAGGTAACTGAAAATATTTTCTTCTAAATGGTTTAGGTACTATTTAACCCAATATCGGACACAACTACTCTTTCGTTACATTTGATTCTTTACAAGGATTACTTTTTCGAATAGATTCTTTTTGCATAGAAACATTCGAAAATGTGCGCTCGTCAAGTTAACTCATCATTAAAAAGTAACAAGCAAATATTTCTCTAATCATACGGGAAATTAGTGAGAAAACTTCATGGCAGACTCTACTTTACGAATCGTATTTATGTTGAATGCTTCATTAAGGTTGAGCTCCAAAATTGCTCTTCGTAAAACAAACACTTGTCTAGTAATTCTATCTAATGGGGCGACGCCAAGAGTGAAGTGAAGGTGAGTAATCTCAAGTAAAAATACTTTAAGTTGTAACTAAATGTGATTTTAGGCACAAATTCAGCGGTGAAGCCTATGCAAACAAAAATAGGATGAAAATTAGATGAAAGCAATAAGAGAACTATTAAAAATTGATTACAATCGAAATTCAATCATACTCTATCGATATTTGTCCTAATTCTTCGACAAGAATGAGCCATTCTAAAACTAGAAAATTTCTATGAGATAGGTAGAGAGAATGTTAAATCTATTCTGCTCAAAGAAAGTTGCACTGTCTCTAATCTTATCTAGTTCTGAAACGATAGCTTTTTTTTAAACATCTATCAGTAATCTTGAAGACAGGTTTTTACTTTTTGGCATTGTTTCTAATCTCATTATCTAGTTCTATGAACATAGTTTCGTTTGTACAGTTATACGATGTCAAATCACTAACGACAAATAAAATGATCGTTAAGAAAAGATTGAGGTATGCGAAGAAAAAAAACGTTAGATATAGATTTTTAGAGATTCGGAAGTTGCTTAAGAAACGTAAAATGAAACTGTTACAGCCCTCACAACTTTTGCTGATTCAAATTGTGCACCAACTTTTCAGATATTAAAATATTTTTGAGATGTCCACCATAATTAAACATAGATGTAACGTATGAAAATAACTATCAGGAGAGTTTGTGATCACAAAATTGCATGTGTTTTATTTTTGCGGAATCCCATCATTACTCAACATTGTTGTTGTTATCAATTCCTTTGTGTTTTGTTTATAAAGGAGCGCAATGTCGTCCAAATGCACTTATTTCGATGAGAAAACGAGATGGTGACGAAGATAATAATCAAATTCAAGTATCATCAATTTCATCACGACCAGCAGCATCCACTAAGCAACCAACCCTATCAAACGATGTCAACGTATGTCTTTTTTGTTATGTTGAATCAAAATGATGTCCTAGAATTGACTTTTATTTAATTCAAAACAAAACAGGTTGATTTATCACCATCTCTCAGTCAGATGACAATTAATGACATTTGTGATTGCTTGAAAAATGACATTGCTGGTATGAAACCCAAAATGATTCCAACATATATTCGAAATATAAATGAAAATAATATTAATGGTCGAGTTCTACTAGCGTGTGATTTCGATGAACTTAAACAAGTAAAACGCTTGATTGACGTTCTATTCATAACATTCGAATCTCCTTTGTTCAGACTGTTCCCATGACATTTGGTGATTGGGTACTTTTTAGTACTTGGATACGGAGAAAACGAGAAGAAGAACAGTAAGATCCGTTATATAAATTAAAGAAAGATGCTATTTCTATTAGTTTAGATGTTCTCGACTTCATGTACAGCCACCGTTTGCATCAACGACTAACAATAATAATAATAATAATAATAATAATAATAATAATAATAATGATCATCAACAACTATTGAATAGCGATCCTTATAATGAATATCAGTTCTATTCTGGTAACAGTGTCCTTAGTTCTGCTCTTGATCAATTATTTTCTCACTCAACCCAGAAGAATATAATGAATTCTAGTGATAGAGTACATGCTGAAGATAATAGCAATAAAATATCAATTGTTGCAGCATCCAAAAATGTTACCTTTCTCATTCCGTCAGTTCGATCTGGTATCACTCCAAATGATAGTGCATTTGATGTCAATGAATCAACAACACGAACCATTACTCATGTTAAAGATATATTTCCAGCGAATTCTTCATTCCAATCTCACACAATAACAAGCAATGAAATAAATACAGCGACACCTTCTTCGTCCTCAGATTCCGTAACCAATTCATTACTACTTGAGAAAGACCAACAACAAGAAATCGTTAGAAGTGCCAATGAAGAAATCCCTTTACTTAAGAGTGATAATTTGAATGATAAATGAATGAATAAAAAGAAAAATTCAGCAACTATATTCAATTGGCTGTCTTTAATTTCATATAATTTCGGATACATTCTATTTGATGCGTATCTTTAGTTATCATTATTATTATTGTTGTTCTTGTACTATTAGATTGGTATCTATTCATCTGGTTAATTTTTTATTTTTATCTTTCTTTTTCCTCCTTTATTTTTATAAACGCTACGTAATTTACTGTGGATCATCAAATAATAAATAACATAAGTACAATAGCTAATACTAAAGGATGCAGAACTATAAAGATTTGCGTAGGCCTAATTTTACTCAAGATTTGTGATTCGTCGGTCACGATAGATTCAAAAAGTGTATATCTCCTTCCAATTAGATTTCTAACTTTGATTATTTTGTCAAAATTCTTACACAAACATTAATATTTTTTTCAATTATTACACTAATAAGAGTTTCACAGTTCAACACAACACACTAGCGTAAGATTATAAATCAATAAATATTTGTAACAGAAATCTTTCATCACAAAATCAAGAACTGCAGACCTGATTAATTGAAGTCAGTCAGGCATGTCTTTTACTATCACCCATACATTATATTTTTTTTTGTTATGAATATTTCTACTGTGATATCACGGTTTTTTCAGTAAAACTGAGAAGAAAATCTTCTTTCGTCGTCTCAATTGAACGCAAAACAATCATTTCGCTATTTTGGTCGCAATGAACTCCACTTGTTTTCTAATCTAAATTCCAGATATACGCTAGAAAATGTTAGTTAGAAAGAAAAACACTATTAACCTTCAGTATTAAGGTAACAAATTTAAAACATAAATTACCCTTGGTATGTAGGGACCTGTATGCTGAACTATTGATAATACTTACAGAGAGTGTAAAGTTTGAGTAGGTCGCAATTTCATCATTATTTTTCCTTTGTATAATCATTTAATGGAGCTCATTAACTGGTCCAACAGAAATTTATATCAAATAAAAAATAGAATTTGCAGAAATTAGAATTTATCATTTCTTTTTTTTTGCTCAGATTTGAAGACGACGGCATGATTTTCAAGGTTTTTCATGAAATATTGTTTATTTCAAATATACTTTACTATATGGAACTCGCCGATAAGTTCTATCCAACCAGCATAAACATGTAAATCCTATTGAATTCTTGCGGTTGTGCAAATTTTCGATATTAAACCTAAAAACTCATTCAAATCTAACGTTCAGAGTAGTTCTAGAAAGATTTATGAAAGTTAATATCAATTAAATTTTATCTATATAGTTCTAGTTTTATTAATTGATAACATAGACATTTTCATGCTAATTGGAATTCAAAAATACATGTTGTCTCATTTTTCTAATGTTCAGTCGGAGGTGCTGTTCTCATAAACTGCTGAGATTATTTCAGGATGAAAACATTACGCTGTTCCACAAATAGGCATAAATAATATTGATATCATAGTTCGAATAGAAAAATCAGAAAAAAAATCAAAGGAATCTTCATGTTCTTTTCATTATAAAACTACAATTCTAAGATCTGCATAACGTTTAATACTGAATGGTATAATATCTATAATGTGTGCTCTTCGTCTTGTAGCGTCCTCTATCACATTTGTTTTTTTTCACTTTTCTTTCACTTTTTATCAGATTTTTCGAAGGGATCGAATAAACTTCTCATAATTGGTTATTCTTTTAATAAAAAATCAAATTGTTTTACGCAATTTTTACTTTTTACTAATATCTCAGGTTACATTGGCAGATGACAAAGATGATAAGACGATCAGAAAGGGAGAGAGACGGAAAAAAAAGAATAAACAAACAAATGAGAAGAGAAAAGAAGAAGGAGCGCTAGTTCGTTCAGCCTTCAGATTCCAATGGCAATTATCATATGTTTGCACTTAGACTTGTATTTTTCTGTTTTTGAACGATGATATAATATTTATTGGAATATAAAAATTTCTAACGATTGAATCATTATTGTTTTCTTTTTTTTTGTTTTATTTCTAGAAAAAGATCTTTAACATCAATTATTCCCCTTCCTAAATTAAAAAATAACGAAGAATAACACAAGCAATAATATACAATGAGCAATGAGTAAAGAATTTTTTATTTTTATTTTTGTTTTTTCAAATATTTTCTAAATATTATTTTATAGTCAAGAGACAAAATCGTCGCCACAACAAACATGCGGCGATACCTATGAAAATTCAAAATACCAGAATAATAAAGAACAGGGTAGTAATGATAATAACTATGCCGGTGGATACAATCGTGCAGGAGTTCCTCAACAACAACCTTCAACGCAAGTCTATCGGCCTCCTCACTTACAGAATCGAATGAATTCGCAAAAGTAAACAACTAAAATATTCGTATGAAATTAATTTATATTTTTCTATTGTTTTTAGTGGCAACTATTCCAATAATGGCAATACAACTGGTGGCTATCAAGCATCAGCCAATGTTGGTCCACCATCTTCACAACAAAATTATGGTAATAATTATAGTGCGGGTGGTAATAATATTCATTCTCATCCTCCTTCACAACAAACATATTATGGTCAAACACCACAAATACAACCTCAACAACAAATCTATCCTCAATCTGTACCTAACAATTGTCAACAAATGGGGCAAGGGCCACGTCAAATGAATGCATCACAGTCAGTTGACAACCGAGGTTATAATCAATCATCACAGCATCAGACGCAAGTGCAAAATCGATCGTAAGTTTACTCTTGATTTTATATTTTCTAATATTTAAATCATAATCATAGGTTCAATGATGTATCACAACTTCCACAGAGTTTTGCTCGTCAAGGTTCAAATGGTAGTAGTGGTAGTGCAAATGCTGGCCAACAGCCATCAACAGGTGGTCGTTGGGATGCTATTTTAGCTGAACGACAAACATCAAACCATAGTAGTGGTAATGGTATCAGTCACCATCGCGGAACAAGCGGATTAGCTAATAATTACAACAATCGAAATGGCCGTGATAGTAGTGGCAATGGTGGTTACGGTGGACAACGTGATAATAATTACGGTCGACGTGATCATGAACCTCATAGACCATATCATTCACATGTTGGTGGTCAATCAAGCGATGCAACCGGCTCTGATTGGAGTGTACCATTACCAGCTAATGCTAATCTCGAAAGGTAATTATGCAATTAAATTAAAAAATAACTAAATTCATGTAAATATCTATAGGGAACTATTTGGCGTGCATACTACTGGCATCAATTTTGATCTTTATAATGATATTCCTGTTGAAGCATCACATATGGATCATTCGCCTATTGAAAAAGTTTGTATTTTTTCAATGATTTTATTTATTTTTAATTTAATTTTTTTCAATGTAGTTCGATGATTGTAATTTTGGTGAAATTATTAAAAATAATATCAATTTATCTAGTTATGGTTCACCAACACCTGTACAACGTTATGCCATGCCTACTATTTTACTTCGACGTGATTTAATGGCCTGTGCTCAGACTGGTATGCTTATGAAATGATAGGAGTTTTTGTTGTTGTTTTCGTGCCAAATAATCTAAATAGAAAATATGACTATAAGCAAATATTTATTTCAATTAAAATTTATTTAGGTTCGGGCAAAACGGCTGCATTTCTTCTTCCTATTTTGCATATGATCTTCGAAGAAGGTCCAGTACGTAGTCCTCAAGCTAAATTTGGAAATAATCGTAAACAATATCCACTTTGTCTTGTTATGGCACCGACACGTGAATTAGCCTCCCAAATTTATGATGAAGCAAGAAAGGTAGTTGATCAATAAGGATGAACGAGAAAACTTAACTTGATTAATTAATTAATAATAACTCATTTTGTATAGTTTTCTTATCGATCTATGGTTCGTTCATGTGTCGTCTATGGTGGGGCTGATATTGGTTTTCAAACGCGCGACTTGGACAAAGGTGCTCATCTATTAGTAGCAACACCAGGTCGTCTTAATGATTTAATACAACGTGGGCGTGTTGGTCTGGCAAATGTCCGGTAAATAGTTCTGTTTTTTGTTGTTGTATTGCAACTCTATTGTGTTTTGTTTTTGTAAAAGGTATTTGGTTCTGGATGAGGCTGATCGTATGGTAAGTGCAGTTTTTTTTATTGGATTATTTAACATAATCATAAATGTCTCTTTCTATTTTCTGCTATAGCTGGACATGGGTTTTGAGGTAAGAATAATTATGAAGGAAATAAGAAGATGTCTTGATTATTAATTATTTTTAGCCTCAAATTCGTGAGATCGTTGAACGGTCAGATATGCCCACTACAGGTCAGCGTTTAACGCTTATGTTTTCGGCTACGTTTCCAAAACAAATCCAGGTTTGATTCTTCTTTCGTACGAATTGTTTATTTGTAATATGAAAAATTTATATTCAATAGGAACTAGCACGTGATTTTCTACATGATTATGTGTTTTTGGCAATTGGTCGAGTAGGTTCTACATCACAAAATATAACACAAAAAATTGTATGGGTCGAAGAAGCCGAAAAACGTTCATTTTTACTTGATCTACTGAATATTCAATCTGGTAATAATAAGAAAGAGATTATATTTTTTATTATATGCCCATATTTCTATGAAATATTTAGATGCATTAACATTAGTTTTTGTCGAAACGAAACGAGGAGCTGATATGCTTGAAGAGTTTCTTTGTAATCATCAGTATTCCGTGAACAGTATTCACGGTGATCGATCACAAGCTCAACGTGAAGAAGCACTTAAATCTTTCAAAAATGCTCGTACACCGATTCTTGTAGCAACAAGTGTAGCTGCTCGTGGTCTAGATATTCCGTAAGTATTTATTTTGTTTTTGAGGTGCCAAAAGAAAAACCGGATCGATTATTTTTTTCTAACACAGCAACATCCATGTGTCCTATCTTTAAATAAATTCTTATAGATCAACTCAATCAATACTATATATTTCAATAATGAGGAATGTAGTGGATGTAAAAAAAAGAAAAAATTACACTTGATTAATTCCTCTATATTAAATAATATTTCTTTTTCTTGAATGAGCATTGTTTTTTTCTACGTCTATTGATAATTTGATTTATTATTATTCATTAAGAAATTTAGCCATCAGATTTGTCAGATCGAGTCAGCGTAGAACTTTTCCCACCCATTTGTGATAATAGATTTTTCCAGTTAATTGTAGTAAGAGAAAAAATATGTTTGATAAAGCTAAAATTTAGTAATAATGATGTTTAACTTTTTGTTGTTACTTCAGTAGAAGAGTATCACAGAGACGAATATTTTTACTTGAATGCTAATCCATGGCGTTTTCGATGAGCCTGATTCATAATTTATTTTATTTGCGAACATAGAAGTAGTTTCACACAGACGATTGATTAATCATTAGGTCACTGTCTGAAAACAAAAAGTCAGCGGTACTTTTTTGTCTGGGAAGACAGAAAAGTAACTTCAAATATTAATTATAAATATCTAAAAAAAAAACATTTTAATGCATTGATTTAAGATAAATACATTATTGGCAAATGTTAGCATCATGCATTTATATTTTGACTGATTTCGGCAGTTTTTATAGTTATTTTTAATTCTTCAAAAGTCAAATGGTTATAAATTGAGCAACAAAGTTGAATATGAAAAAACATAATTATATTTTCTTTGATAGTTCTCAAAAAATGTTTTAAGTTTATGATGCAAGATTTCTTATCACAAAATTTTATATCCCAGTAATCTAGCAGTAAATTTTATCTACTCTTTCATGTTGCAACGTGTTTGTTTTTCTTTGGTAGTTAAAAAATAGTCAGGACAACTTGTTCGATTGATTTTTCTATATTCTCCATGATATATCTCAAACTCATAAACAGATGTTATTTGGCTAATTGATGAAAGTTAGCTTTGCTCAAGTGTAGTTTGCCATTGATACAGTTAAAATCAGTTAGTTCAAACAAATCGTAGCTACTTCTCGTTATTCATGTTATGTCCATAGATTTATATAATTGTTCTTTCTTCTTCTTTAGTAATGTCAAACATGTTATCAATTTCGATTTGCCATCAGACATTGACGAATACGTTCATCGTATTGGTCGAACAGGTCGTGCTGGCATGTTAGGTAAGAAGATATAGAACACAGGAAAATTAGAAATAAAGTTGTTTTTTTCTATTGATATCTAAATTCGTAGGTCAAGCAACATCATTTTTTAACGAAAAAAATCGTAATATTGCCGTCGATCTACTTGATATTTTAAGCGAATCCCACCAAGAAGTACCTGAATGGTTAGAAGGCTTATCGAAAGAAGCCAAAAAAGATAACTTTTCCAGACGGAACTATGGTGGTGGCCGACGGTACGTATCGAAATTTTAGGATTCTGCCAATTTAAATGCTTTAATGTTTGTTTTTGCGGTTTCTTTAGAGCGGGTGGTTTCGGTGCACGCGATTATCGTAATCCAGCGCAATTACGTGGTAATCGGGGTGGTGGTGGCGGCGGCGGCGGTGGCGGTGGTGGTGGTGGTAATCGAGCGGGTAGTTCTACAGGTGGATATAACAATCATCAACAACAATGGGATGGATCGAATAGCAGTGCCAGTGGCAATATGTGGGGTGGTGACCATTCTACCGGCGGTGGCTATGATCGCTTCCAACAACAAACTGGTGGTGGCAATGCTAATAGTCGTCAGCCGGATCAAAGTTGGTGGGACAGTACGTCATGAAATGAAAATTAAATTTCAATAAGCAACATCCCTCCTTGTGACGCGCAATCTCATTCATCAAATGATACATTACACACACGATGCCTGGTTTCTTTTGACAAACAAACTATGTCTTCTATTTCTTTTCTGCTCTGTTTGATTGTTTAATGTTATGTTCGTTTCATTTCATATGCATACGTTTAAGCGAACCGAGCGCTGATTTACTTTTTTTTCTTTATCGACAGCGCAGGTTATCGGTACTTCTATCGATTACAAACTTAATTTTTTTCGTTTTTTTGTTCATTTCAATGTTTCTCATTCTGTCACTGTCTTTTCTCTTTTCCTCCGCATATTTTTTGCCCTTTCTTTATACAGTATGTGTGTGCGTGTATTTAAAACGATGATACTTTTTATTTCGAGATGATGAGTTTAGACAACATCAATTTCGAAAGAAAGTGTCGTCATGATATCTATTAAGACGCATGCGAGCGTCATTTGAGATGTTTGGATGTTGAATAACAAAACGTAATGAATGAGAAAAATTAGACTTTTATTAAACAAAAACAACAATACAGTTATCCATTTAAAGAAACTGGGTCTGTTTGTTGAGATAAATAATGAATTAAAATTATTTATGGACTTCTCCGAAAATAATTAATGATATCATCTACACAGTTTATATGTCCTTGGAGATCATTTTTATTGCGACAACTATGTTTCTCACTGGTTCGTAGTCGATATTTTAGACGTTAGAATGTTATAGTTAAAGATATTTTTTTCAATCGATATTTTATTTTAAAGTTAAACTTTCGTTTTTATAATTGAGTAAAAATAACTGTTACTCAAGCATTGAACGTAGTGATGACCATTGTTTATCGATTGTAACTATGATATATTTTTAAAATCTTACGCAATACCTAAAAGTATAAATTAGTATTTTCAATCGGCGATAAGAAACTGAAGCACTCGTGATATTTTAACAAGAAACAAAAAACATTGAGTTTTTAGAGGATAGAGTCCCGTGTCAGACTCTGACATTGTAAAAGCCAAAGTCAATAAGAAAACTTGAAGTTAATGGTTGATTTCATGAGTAGAACAACCAATGATATATTTGCTCCTGTAGAGTAATAAAAAATTTCCTTCATATATTGAATGTTGAGTCAAAATTCTGTATTTCATAGAAAGAGAAAAATCTCTAAGAAGAACAAAACATTGATGAATCATTCTAGTCAACAAGTAGCATAAGAAGAGGCGTAAATTTTACTAGTTATATGTAATGATGAAAATATTCTAGTAAGTAATTGTTCATCTGTTGAAACATCGAATGCAAATAACTCGCCATATTTTTTAATACTGTTGTCTGCTTGATAATGTAGTATTAATCGTGCCAAACGATAAAATAATCTATCGAGTTTTATTGCTATTTGCAATATCTCGTGCCTATATTTTATGTATCATTTAGCTAAAATGCAAAGATAAAAATATTATGATTATTATAAAGAAATATATATATTGAAGATTGCTACCGTAAGTAGCGTATAAGGAAACAGTCAATTGAATTGATGATTTTGTGTACACTTTTCAATCTGATGTCATGATTAATGATTGCAGACAATATGTTCTGTCGTTTAAATTCTATATTGAATTAAAAATTCAACTAAAAAATGAAATTATATTATCGAATACTTTATATAAAAATAGTATGTTGGCATGGTTGACTTTGATCATAGATTTGGAAGTTTTCTTTGGATAGAATTCAGGAAGGATGCAAATATGATGAGAAATTCTTTGGTTTTTAGAATATACACAATTGTTACTTGTCTGCGTATGATATTAGAATCGATAATTATTTATGAACAATAAATAATCTTACAAAAATGATTTCTAGTACCGTAAAAACGGAACAATAAATATTGAATTGATAATGCTGCTTATGTACATTTACCATCAAATAATGAAAGTGAATATGTTACTTTTTATTTCAATGGAGGAACGAATGAAATTGAGTCAATTGCACAATCCTATTACTAATGATGAATCAAGGCCTATGCAACAATAACACCTGTAAAACACTCCTAGGCGTATTTATCTACTGTTTTTTTCTTTCAATATAAGTAATCAGTCCTTGCAAAACTAACAAACTAAAGCCTCCAAGAGATTCATCAAATATCTAATAAGCACGTATTTGTAGAAATCAAAACTAGTATTCATTTCTTCTTTGCTGTTCTTTTCAAATAAGACTTTATATATACGACTAGAAAACCGTTAAACTATCTTCTGACGTAGACTTATAGAAACAATTAAACAAATAGAGTCATAAAGGTCTGAAAGATTCTCGTGTGTATCATTAATTTGAATGGTTTAAGCATGTTGAATTCTTAGATAGGAATTTTCATCAAAACATTCATTATACAATATGGTACTACAACGATTGATCTCGAATGATAATGAACAGCAAATATATGTAAGTTTTCTTTACGATCTAAGAAGTCGAGTCTTCAAATCGAAGTTAGAACGAGTGCAATTAAAAATTTGTAAGTAAAATTTAATCAATTCAATATTTCGATAAGTGAGAATAAAATTAGTTTATTTTGTATGAATTACTCGGGCAGTGAATTTGTCTGTTCATTGTGAAATATCTATATATCATTGATATAACCAGTAGATGCTTTGTCTTAGATTTATCCGTGTTATAACTAATATTGATATTGAACAACATCGATTAAATTTATTTATAGATGTTTAAATTAGAAGAGAAGGAGAAAAAATAGACGAAAAAAAGAGAGAAAGAGAGAGTTTGTCTTTCAACTAGCATTTTTCAGTTTAACATTATTCAATCATGTCAAATGATTATGCATTATTCATTATACTTCTACCAAATGATTTCGAGAAAGAAACTTCTATTAATTCAACAATATTGAATACAGTTAAGCTGACTGCTGCAGTAGTAAGTATTCTAGCTTATTTCTTATCTTATTATTTTTGACTGTAAACGTTGTTTCTATTTACAAAGCCATCAATTGATAAGCAACGTACATCAGTAACTTCAGATTCTATTCGTTGTCTTGCATGTACTGATAGTCATTCAAAAAGTGAAAATGACAACGAATATTCACAAGAAACATGGAAAAAATCGTTGTGTTTTACCTTGAAAAATTATTTTGCTGGAAAAAGTAATATCGAAGCAATATGGATTCTATCTGAGGATAAAAAAACTTATCAAATTACATTTTATGTGGAATTTGGTATTGCTAGTGATCATATATTACAAGACTTAGTTAAATTTGGCATTGGTACAAGTAATCATACAAAAGTATTTGTTTTACCAGCAACCTTTATTCTTGGAGGACAACTCAATATTAAAAATGAATCTATATCCACATTAGCTTTAACAGAAAATATTAATACCAGTGAACTATTAACAAATACTGTTAATAATAAAATAAATGATAGAACATCGAGTGATTTAACTTTATCGGGGAAAATTCGTAAACGTATTAATGAGTCCAACTTTAAAAAAAGTGTTCGCGCTCGACTGATGGTTCATCAAGTCGTTGCTAGTATTCGAGCATCAACAGAACTTTCGTTTGACTTTGTTCTTTTAATATGTCTTGCTTCAATGTTAGCTGCATTTGGTCTTCTGGAAAATTCCACTGTTATAATCGTTGCCAGTATGCTTGTTAGTCCATTAATGAATCCAATATTAGGTTTTGCATTTGGTCTTTCTGTACGTGAACATTCATTATGGAGGCGAGGTTTACGAAATGAATTAATTGGCTTGATTATTTGTATTACTTGTGGATTTATACTTGGGTATAAAATTTGAAAAATGAATACTTACAATTATTTCTCTATATAGATTGTTGACAACATTTGCAGAAACAAAATGGGGTAGTTCAACAAGTTTTCCCACACCGGAAATGAAGTCACGTGGCGATATCAAACGGTTATGGGTAGGTGTTCTCATTGCTTTACCTAGTGGAGCTGGCGTCGCACTTTCAGTACTGGGTGGAAATACGGGTGAATGAAACAATTATAATTTATTACAAAACAAAATAAAAATAAAAATACATTTTTTTCTATCTAATTAGGTTCACTGGTTGGTGTTGCTATTTCAGGTTTGCTTTATTTTTTTTTTCAAGTCTCATTGCAAATAGTATATTGCGGCAGTAGATTGTCACTCTCATAAGAACTATCGGTAAACTGCGATAAAATAGTACTCAAGCAATAGCCAACTATTTAAAAGCATCAAACTAAATAAGTTACAGAAAGACTTTCTGAAGATTTAGTTTAACGCAAGAAAAATTTTAACCTTTGTTCAAGAACTCTCACTTTCATCATGAAAAACAATGTATAAGTATTTTGAATGGTATATTTGATAGTTTCAAACTTCATACATTTTGTTTTGAATAAAATAATCTATGAAGAACTTTTCTGTGGAAAATAAAATTCAGATCAGAATATTGCAATACATTTTTCTAACGTCTTGCTTATCGAAGTTACACCAATGTATGACTAGATTGCAAAAGGTTTGTATTCGACTTGAATTAGATGAATTCAGGTTGACTAAGATTTGCTTGAAGACTATCCAATAGTTCTTTGTTTTAGCTTCGCTTCTTCCACCAGCTGTCAATTGTGGACTTCTTTTTGCTTATGCATTACTTGGGGTTTCATTTTCCAATGTTGCTGCTGTTCAATCTTCTTCATCAAACAATACTAGAAACGAATATCAATCAAATGTTGACTGCAAAAACTATATCAATAATGATTATCAACCACTTTACACATGTAATCTAACATTAGAAGCTGCAAGTCTTGCAGGTTGCAGTTTATTATTAACAATAGTTAATATAATTTGTATAATAATAATGGCATTATTTATATTACGCATAAAAGAAGTTGTTCCATTACATCAACCAAATAAAGATATATCAAATTTTTTTCATCATGATGTTAGAGTTGCACGTGATTATAATAAAACCATTCATGAAGGTAATTTAGAAACAAGCAATTTAGCAACATTAACAATTCAACAACGTCAAATAGCACAATCAATGGTACATCGTTGGAAAGCATTTAAATCGAAGAGTTCCTATGATAATCAACACCATCAAACAAATCAACAATTATCATCAATAGATAACGATCTAGAATTAGCTGATACTAGGAATAATAGTAACAATAATAATATAGTGAATATGGATGTGGAATTGCAACGAAAATTATTTCGATTAAAAACTTTTGCCAAAGAATACGATCTTGATATATTTGATAAAAATGATTATGAATTACTAAGTGGTGATAGCCGAGAAAAAGTACGTTTACTTGTCAACGATATTATTGATATATATCAAGATATTCCAACGGTTTTTGTTGATCTATTTCGTTTACAACCTTGTAACATACAAACATCAAGTGATAGAGAACATCTGCTATTTTATGAAGAAATCATCGAACTATTGCCACCGAAATGGTATCAACTATTTGTTCATGAACAAGAACAACGACAAATTGTATCGTGGAAATCATCATCGAATAGACCATATTCATTAGGCGTACCACAAATGATTGCATTAAAAAAACCTATATCAGAATCGAATGAATCATGCGAGAATGACAATCAAAAATCGAATGTAGATTTTCAACGACGAAGCTCAGTACTCCAATCAAATTCTAGATCATCAGAAACCAATCAAGAAACTGAAATACCTGTTGAAGGTACACGTTTTCGTATCGCAAAACCGTTTACAATTGCTTAATTTTCTAGAACTCAATCGAAAACAGATAAAACTGTTATTTTACTTGATAGATTTTGTTGTTATAGAGTATATTATCGAGAAATGCTCATATATAAAGAAAAATGTCATTGCATCTTTGATGAAAAGACTAAACCAATTATCCATAATAAATGTCAATCTTACTATTGCAAAACTAAATCATTCGTACTATGTGTATTTAGCTACATAGTAACTTGCAACTATGATTCGATGAAGGTTCTTTTGACTTTTCCCCAACTGTTGCAAAACGTTGATAAGAATCAACATGATAATTTATATGTCGAACATTCTACTACTGATGACAGCTATCTAATTTAGTATGAAAAATAATTACTCAGTTACTTAGAATGACATTTTAACTGGATAGAATTATAGATCGAATTATTTTCTATACAAGTTAAAACATCTTTCGACTTTACAAGACGTTTACTGCCTTTCTCGTGTTTTCCACTGCGTGAGGAGAGTGACGAATATTCCTGGTAAACATTTTAAAATCAACAAATCAAACCAGAGGAATGTTTCAGCTCATTCAAAGTTAATTGGGAGTGTCTGAAAGAGAATAATTGTAACTTTTTTTCTGAATAAATTATAATACTCATGATAATTTCAAATAAAAATCGATAGTTGTACGCAGTTTTTTCATGAGATAAAACTCTGAAACACGCTTTCACCTTTTTCTTATGGTCATTATTGGTACATAGAATGTTAAAACGAGTAGACATATTGTCGTTTGAAGACAATCAATCTTGCCTACCTCAACAAAAAAATTAGATATAGAAAATTTGAGTTACCTAAAAGATTTACACTCATTAAGAACTATACGTAAACAAGTGACGACATGTTTTTCTTCATTCAAATCTAGAGGAAACATCAGACATACACATAATACTTACATATAATGTTTAATAGTACTTAGAAAACGATACAAGTTGCCATCATAGATCATGCTAGTATAATGTAAGAATGTTTCTTCAATGCTGACTCATACGAAAAGTCAGTCGTTCTAAAAACAATTTAGAAAAAAAAAACTGAAACTCTCTCAAAATATATGATAGTACAATGAGTATTTCCTCCAGGAGATCCAGATTTCAGGAGAATTAGTTTCAACGATGAAATGAAAAATTCCATACAATTTTGTTTTCGTTCTTTTGAATATTATGTGTTTGTTTTGGAATCAAAAATTTGCTCTGAAAAATGTTAGAATATAGACATGTTTTAATGATGTTTTACAGTCATATCGAGAAAAAAAAATTTTTTCCCAACACAAAGAAATTTTTTTCTTACTGTATAAAAAGTAAACTTAACATAAAGATTAGAATACATATTCAACCTTAATGCTTTTACTATAATACTTTTATTTATACATACATGCTTTTATTGTGACTTTAAACGCTAATTCTCTTCATTCGTCGCACTATGAAGACATTGTTCGAATAAAATTGAAACAAAATTTGATCGGTACTTCGATAGTCTGTATTAAACCATGCCACCAAAAAAATCTAGACCAGTTTTGGTCAAATTTTAAATAGATAGCACTTGCTACTTCATATTTTATCAACGAGCATTAGATATTGATTGAGCTTTTTTTTCGGATTACATGTAAAATGAATCATAAACATTTACACAGTATATATGAGTGATATTAACTGAAAGAGTAGAATAAATGTTCAAAGAAGTATTCACTATATATATCTTTGCAAAGTGCATGTCTGACGAGTAGCGACCTCTAATAGACGAATTATTCTATAGGAGTATCATTAATTTACAATGTATTCTATACACTATTCTGTCCATCCTACCAGCGTCGTTTGTTTTTGTTTGCGACTGCTACTACGGTGGCATGTGGTGCATGGCATTGAATATTGACAATGAAAATTGATCGAAGCTCTTATTAATTTGTTTTTCTTTGTTTCTTCATTTAAAGATCAATATTAAATTGTGTTTTATTAAAATACTCAATGCAATCATCTGCACGCTTAAGATCATCGACTCTCGATCGATCGTTACAGAAAACAAAAGGAGATGTAATTTATTAAAAATAAAAAGCGTAAAGAACAATTCAGTCTATTCTTTTATAGGCAAATTTAAGTACATTTGCATTATTATTCTCTGAAATGGTGCAATATTCACAAAATCGTGTTGATAATATAAATGATCTTCAAAGCAGGTAAAGCATTATTTTTTATTTTCTGTCTTTTGTTTTTTGAAAAATAAAATTGTTTGAATAGATTAGCTGACTTCGGTAAACACGTAGGTATTCGTGTTCTCGATTTATTTTTTTATCGTGCTGGTAAAGACAAGCGTGAGGTACGGCTCACACCAATGCTTGTTTTTATTCAAAAAGTTTTTTGGAAAGTAAATGAAATTGAAAAACTAAAAATACAAAAATCAATTTATTATTTTCTAGTTTTTATTTAATCGCGAAGCTGACAATCTTGAACAGCATGCACAAGAAGTAAATGTTTGTATGTATTTTTTTTTAAACTAATAATTCTGTTTCTATTCAGTCAGCTTTTATTTAGATTATCTTATTGAACGTGAATGTTTGGTTAATAAATTTATTTCTGTTCCCAATGATAAAGGTATAGAACTAATTATAAAGAAAAAGCAAAGAAAAAAATATTGTCTTGGCTTATTTTAAGGCAATTTGAACTGTGCTTCATTTGTGGCGGGTATTGTTGAAAGTGTCTTATGTTCGAGTGGTTTTACATGTAAAGTTGTTGCTCATCAAGGAACTCGTGGTACAACTTATGTCATTAATTTTGATAAGACAGTTATGGAAAGAGAAAGTCGACTTGATAGTAAATGAATATAAATTGATTAAATCAAAAAAATGAATAGCATTTCTTTTTAAATTAAATTAAATTAATAATTTCATTGATTTCTTTTTCTAGATGTCTATTAAAAGGTAGATGTAACAAAACAGAGATAAATTATGGCAACAACAATGTTAACATCAACTCCTACTAAAGAAAAGAAAAAGCATTCGTCGCCAAACAAACAAAATCGATCAAATATTGCTGGTACACTTAAAGTAAATAATCAACGAAAATCGTTTTCTTTTTTTTCCAAGTGATTTTATTTTTAGCGCAATCCAAAATATGAATTAAAAAAGGATGAACTTATACAGCTATTAGGACGTTTTGAAGCTGAACTTCAAGCTAAAGATATTGCCTTAGCAGCACTGAAGGTAACACATACAGGATGTTCCAGACATACGAAAATAAAAGACAGAAATACACACTGAAGATCATAAATCTTGTACTATCACAGATGAGAGAAGAGTTAGGTGATTACGAAAAGAAAAACTATTAGTAATTAAAACCGCTACTCTCTAAATATCTGGTAGAACCAACATTGTTAAATCATTGCAAAGATAAGATGAGCTTTTTCATACATTCTAAAATACTTTACTAGTACATCATTTTTAATGAAAGATACCATAAATTTCAGTACTTAGACACGGTAATATAAGAAATTTCATTTCTATTTGATGACAAAAACCAAGATATGAAATTAAGTTTTCTCAACAACAGCTTTATAACATATTTCAAATATGATCATTGCATCTTGTAGAGCAAATAAACTAAAAATTTTCTTTCCAGAAATCACTGAGAATTTATGTGTAATTGTCAATTGCTTTATGATACTAAAACATTTCTATTTCGATATTTTAGTCAGAAAAAGTGAAAACACTTTTATCCAATGCACGATTTGGTCGTCTTAGTTGTCAAACTGATCCTTATGCTGCGTTACTTCGTGATAGCGAACATGTTAAAGAAGATGTACTCAATGAACAAGTACCAATGAAAAATGCATACGAAACACAGCTCGTACAACTTGAAGAACTTATTGTTCAACAAAGAAAACAAGTGCACACATTAAAATTTGCACTTGATGATGCACATCATAGATTTGCATTGGTAATATTTAATTCATATATATATATATTTACTAATGAGTTTGTATTTAAGTTGGCTCAAGAACTTGAAAATGAAAAAAAAGAAAAAGCCCGATTAAAAGCATTTCAAAATCAGTTACTAACCAACGAAGAAGAAAAAATTCAATTACACAACGAAGTAAATATTTTCCGCACAAAAATAACGAATTATACCATAATAGTCTCACATAATTATATCGATTTGTAGTTTTCTTTGATAAATATGTGGAGAAACAAAAAATGTTTTTATACCATAGAAGGATGAAATGTTTTTGTTTTGCAGATCGTATATAGGTAATTTCAATTGCAAGTTTATAAAAAAAAATGACACAAAAAGAAAGAGAACTACTTGCTGAAATAAACTTGTAATTTTTATGTTGATTCGTCAAATAAGTTTTCAACAACAATAATTAATTAGTTTATGACACAACGCTTTCTAAGGAGCAAAAATAATATTCCATGTTGAATCAATATATAAAATAGCGACAGATGCACGGTTACTCTAGGGTGTAACAGAAGAGTGAAATATTTCAAAATTTGTTCTGATGCTATTCAGTATAAATTAGTCAATCATTGTAAAAGTAGCCAATCGATCATCAAGAATAGATCCATAAGAAAATTACACAGAGTATTTCTTCTTCTTTTTGTCTTCTCGCATTATATTAATAAATGTATGATACTGATAAGTACAATAATATTCATGAGTGAAAAAAAAAGACTTTTCATCTTACAGCACAAAACGTTTTCTTTGATTACTTTTCTATCGAAAAGAAATAGTAAGTCATCGTAACTTTTCATTTGTATGTCACTTGTATAGAAAATGATATGAGTAAACCGCACCTAAGACAAGACTTTTTCCTAGAAAGCTAATCTACTTTGAAAAGAAAATTGTTTTTAATTGAAATAAATATTTCTATGTTGTACTTTTAGCTCGAAAATGTTAAGCTACATAGTCAGGAATTAGAACAGCAATTAACTCAAGTAATAAAGCTACTGGAAAATGAACATGAACGACATAAAAAATTTGTTATACTTCTCTTGAATGAGCGTAAAGTTGAAAACGAACATCATCAAGAACAATTAAAACAATTATCAAATAATCACACCAAGTAAATTTTTGAAAAAATTCATTCAAATAAATTTTGACATAATTCCATTTAAAGTGATGATACAAAACGTGAAGCAAGATTTAAAGAATTAGAATTAGAAAATGAACGTACTAAACAACTTTTCACAGCACGTATTCAACAGTTACAAAGTGAAATTGATTTATTAGTAAAAGAAAAAAAGCAACAAACAATAACAAATAGTAATTATTTTGAATTTTTTTCAAAGTATCATATGTATATTTACGATTAAGATATTCCAACTTCAGATGGAGAATTGGCTGAAACATTCGCTCAGCCTCAATCTAAATCACGTCAATTACCACCAACAGTTACTCAAACAACTCTTCCAACGAATGATCCACCATCTTTGCCGTTCAATGCCGAAAAACCATTCGTGTCAACAACTGGTGGTATTCGTCGTCCAACTATTATTCCAGCTCCATCAACATCGAAAAATTCTACTAATCTGATAAAAAAATCCGGGGTTGCACCTTTGTCACTTGCAACGCATCCACAACAAACATCATCGATGACAAACTCAACATCATCTATCTCTGAGTTACCTATATCGCCAGTACCTGCTGTTGCTAAACGTAATATTATACCTACTCGTTCAATATATAATGTATCTCAATCTCCAATAATTTCGAATCCTCGTTCATCAACAATTAATAGTCAAACAACAACATCATCAATGTCGACTGTTTCATCGATAACAGGAAACAATGCCACACGTGGTGGTGGCGGTATCCCACGTTTGACGAAAAATCCACATCAAATTGTTAAGCCAACAACGACGACAACAACAACAACTGGTCCAGCGAAACGACCTGGTCAGGTAAACTCCTGTTCTCGTCATTGACCTGTCAAAAGAGACTAGGCATGCATAAAATCTGAATCTTTCGAGTTCATTCTTGAATATAATCAATTTCTATCGGTTGATAAGATAGAACGAGAAACGAAGAGAATGAATATTCTTTTTATGGTAAATCTATATCATTAACAAAATAATTTAATATCTAACGGAATACTTGAAACTATTTGAATGTCGAATAAGAGTTCCGACACGATGCATGCGTAAATGGCAATATGATAATTAAATGATGCATCCTATTGCTTCGTTTTGTTCTATCATAGTTTTTCTAATGGAAAGGATTGAAAATTGATTTACATAGAAAACTTCGTCTTGTGGTTCTTCTATATACTATTATCTGCATCTTGTAGACTAGCTTTTCATCAGAACACAAAGTTGATGATCTGCGAACTTTGTTAGAAACCATTCATACAGGTAAAATATCTATTCGATTATAAACATTCAATCACCTTTGACCTATCTTTGCTATTTGTGTCTGTTTGATTATTTGTCACGAAGCTTCTTCTTCTTCTTATGCTTCCTACATATGTATATATATGTGTGTGTGTGTGTGTACTACTAATGCTAATCCTGTGTGCTTGGCTAAACGTTTTTCTTTTTCTTTTTATTAATTTTATTTCTATTATTGATCATTTAGTTGCTGAAAATCGTTTAACATCTTCAACCGATATTGCCGATTCACCATCATGCACAGACAAAAACGATTTAAATTCTACATCATCATCATCATCATTGTCACCCTCACATCCCGACATAATCATTTTTAGAGCTGCTGAGAATGGAGATACAGGCATGAAATTGACTGTTTTTGTTTCAAAATGAAGAAATACTATTCAATTTTAGAACAATTAATGAAATTTCTTAAACTTGGATCTAACCCAAACGGTCAATTGCTCAATGGCAACACATGTCTTCATCTGTCTACAATTAATGGACACATTGAGTAAAAATCTTTCGAATAATTTTGCATATCAGATATCATAATATCTAATTTAGATGTATTCGACATTTGCTTAAGTTTGGTGGTAATCCATTTCTTGAAAATAGTCTCGGTTTGACACCATGGAATAATTTATCTCAATTAAACGAAACAATCGAACTTGAATGTCTGCAACTATTTGTTGATCTTAATCAAAGTCTAGTAAGCAAATTTAGATAGTAATTATGAATCATTCATTTCTTTGTTGTTTACGTTAGCCACCTGCGGACTTGATTTTTGATGCCATTGAACATGATCATATAAATACGTATGACTATTTATTATCAATCACACATGAAGAATTAAAAAGTAATCCTTCATATTGTTCGCGCTTATTACGGACAGCATTAAGATCATCGAATACTGTACATATATATATATATTATTTTCCTCATATTAGAATTTACTTCACACACATTTTATTTTAGTATTTTCTCGAACGCTTATTTGCTATGATACCTAGACAAGACTTTGTTCAATTTATAAATCTTAATACATTTATTTCAAATGAATGCCTTGGTGTTTTATCGACATTAGGTGATAAAGAAAGTTTGTATATCGACTTAACTACATACAAAGAAATATATAGATAATATAAATCTTTTTTTGTTTTGTTTTAATAGATCATTCCAAACCTATCAATGTAATAGTTCGTATAATATCATCAAATAATGAACATCGATACTGTTACGCTATTGGTACACTATCTATAACAGCAGATTTATCTTGGCTTGAACTCGAACGAACATGTGTAAAACTATTTATGGATCATATTACACAAATCGATTCACCATTTGATTATACAAAATCGTCTATTGGTTGTACAGCTAATCATATTGATATAATAACACTTGGTATGTTTGAAGTTTAAGCAATGTAAAATAAGAAATATAAATTTTATGAATTATTCGAATAGGCTTAACTAAATGGAATTATCAAGATAGTCCAAATGATGAATCACCAATGCCATATACAGCTGCACATGTACAAGATACGTTAACTATTTATCTTAAAGGAATTCAAAGCAATACAACGGACTCATTAGCATATAATTATTTCATTCCAAGTCAAAATTTAAAAAATTTTATTCGCTATGTATGTTCAAGTTTTTTCTCTACATTGAAAATCTTATTCAAAATGTTTTTCCTCGTCTATTTAGATTGAACAAAATCCTTATGTTGGAGTTTATGGCGCAGCATATTTACAGAAAAAAGCATTATTTGAAGATCTTATGCGATATTTAGAACGGCCAATGGCTTTTTCAACTAGTGCTAAGTTCCAAGTGGTTAAATTTGAATTTGAAAGTGTTACAAGTTTAGACGATTGCATTGATGAACTTGTTGAACAAAGTATAGATAGCAATATTCAATATTAATTTCTATTGAACTATTTAGACTTTTTACGTACAAATCAATGGTCGAATGAACAACAATCATCTACAAAATATTTATTATATTTTGCTAATATACAAAACAGTGCTGGAACGGACGTACTTAAATTACTATTAAATGGTGAATCATCGTCTGGTACATGTCAAAAAGTATCCTACACCAGAGAAGAAGATTCCAGTAATTATTTATGAATTTCCTTTTGCTTCTTTTCAATGAAATTTTGTGTCTTTGTACGGATTAGAATCGACAATAGTTTATTACTTTCCATCGATGTTTCATATATTTATCACAATGAGTAAACGTACGTGGTCAACTGAACATGAAGTTTATAAGAAATTTAAATGGATACCATTTAAACTTGAAAATCCGCCATGGAATGGTTTACTTAAACGACATTTGTGGAGACGTATGATTGATATGTAATGACAATATTTGTTTTCGAGTTAAGACTAATTTTTATGTTTTTTTGCTTTTTACTTCATGTATAGAAATATTCGTGAAAATCGATTGGTTGATAATGAATTGATTAAAACGCTGCAGTGGGTAACAAATGTATGGCAACGTTATAATGAATGTTTACAAAAATTGAGTCTTCAAGATGCATTACTTGGGCCTGCCTTATTTTTCGATTGTCCGATGGAACGTGAAAATATTTTTGAGTAAAATTCCTTTGATTGTTTTTCTTTCGTGTAAAATGTCACAAGACAATCTTTAATTATTATTAGGTGGTTACAAACCAAATGGAATACAATAGTAGCTCCGCTTGTCCGTGAATTTTCAATGAATAAATGTGCTCAACCAAAACCGAAAGCATCAACATCAGCGACGGCAGCTGCAACAGCTATTGCTTCATCATTACGTGCCAATAGTCTTGAGATTAGTACGCCTTATGAATCAGTGGCATGTACTGCTCTATATGTTTTATTACATCGAGCTGTCTCACGTGATTGCCCATTGACAGGCCAAGGTAAACTTTTATTTTTGTAAAAAGGTTTTTATGATTCAAGTTTCATTTCATATAGAACGTGAACAATACTTACTGAATTTTGTTGGTAGTCGTTTGGAAGGTAGTAGTTCATCGTCGATGATTTCCTCAGCAGCATCAAGCCGTGCTGGTACTCCCCAACCATCCAATTATTGTGACTTTGTATCTATACAACTCGAGTGAAGGCGATGATGATGATGATGATTATGATATTTATTGATGACCTTGTGATCTATTTTGTTTTTTGGTTTGTCGTGTCTTTTTGGTGGATCGGCACCTAGTGGCTTTCTTTCTTCTCACCATAATGTCAGGTGTTACTGGTTTTATTTTAAGAATCAGCTCTTTTTTTCTTCTTCTTTCATTTGTATAATCGTATTTTTGGTTCAGTTTTTCTTTCTGCTTCCATATAATAGTTATACTTCTCTCTTCTCTCCGCACAGACACGAATTTTGTTTGTTGGTGTCTTTTTTGTCTTCGTATAATTTTGTCGTGATAAATATTCACTTTTGAAAACTACATCTTTTTCTTTCGTCTTTTTTTTGTTGCACGATGTATACTGATATAGTGGAACGAAACGATGCTATGCAGCTATGACTGTTTTTCATCTTTATTATCATGTTCGAATTGCATGATGTATGTATAGAGGAGATTTTTTTTTGAAGCTATCATCAAAATAAATATGCACTGACGTTTGTATTGAAATAAAATATACTTACACAATGATTTTCTCTCTTTAATTAATTGATCTAATATAGAATTGAAGGCATCAACAACGACAATTTTTCACTGTAATAAAATTTTATAAGAATTTTCTTCGCACTCACTTGAATTGAACTATTCTGTACACCAAACTTTCAATATTTGATGAATAATCATTTTTCTCGTCTCGCAATAATAATGGTATCGTAGTAGCTATACAATATGATAACCAGTTGTTTAAACACACAATTATAGCGAATAGAGAAAGAAACTTATCGGAATTTCTATTGTGTAGTGAGACTAAAAGAAAAACATCTATTATTCGGTTCGACCGAAAGACACGAGTTTAAGCATATAGTCGAAATATGTTGATTGTCAATGATATAACAACAAAATTTCGAAGATAACTATAAAGGATTTTCGACTTCTTTAGTTTTCTTCCAACTACGTAGATGATGAAATACGATCCGAAAAGGGTATACCTATTGTGCGATATCATTGTGAAAATTAAATTGATAATTTGTTGGCACTGTTTTTTCCCTCTACTGAAAGGAGGGTCTTACGAAAAGTGAGTTAACTGCGTTCGTTCTTGTGTGTCTGTGTGTGTCCGTTCGTTCGTCCAATAGGAAAGCAGATGCGTGAACTAAACTAACCTCTAACAATATCTGTAGGCATAGGTTTGACCGAAGGTAATCGGGGTCGGGGAACAGGATGGCGTTGTCAAATTTTTGAAATTTTGTACTTCAAGCAAGTTTGTAACGGATTAGGAGCTGTTTAGATCGTCACATTTTCTTGATAGGAATGTTTTGTAGGGAAGTTTTTTGAGGATACCATTCGATGATGTTTACAGTGTTAGATGTATCGTATGGTTATGTGAGATATTATTACGAATAGACTATGGGTATCGTGCGGTTGAATTGATTCTCAATTTGGGAGCGGCCAGCCGTGAGTGGCGCTCCGGAGGGGCGCCGACGAACGACTAGCCGCTCACCTGCACTGAGAGTTTGAAAGCGTTTTTCAAAATCTTCAGTTTATTCTTGATATGTCAAATTTTATTGCAGTACGAAGAATTTATTCAAACTTAACTCCTAGAATTCTAGATTAGCGCATCTACGAACGGGCGCAAACTGATAAGTACTCGGGAATCATGTCTCATTCTTCTCTAAATTGTGATGAATTTATCGCATATGTAGATGTAACTGAACTGAATTAATCCCACAACTGTTGTTTTCGTTTTTTTTTGAAAATTCTCTTCGTTTTTATCTAATAATTATAGAATGAGGTAAACCTTTTCAATCAATAATGCAGTGTTTAAAAGGATCACGTTCAACGCATATATGAGACAAAGCAAGTGGGGGCAACTAGTCGTGAGTGCCGCCCCCACTAGTTGAAAATCTATTGTTATTATTGGACTACTTGCCTTGCAGACTTATAGAACAGTTACACGTTGTTTCGATCAGAACAGTTGAAACAACTTTCGAAAATAGGACATATTCTGAATTTCTTCCGACGACAGGTCGTGAAATAATTACTTAGCTCATGTGAAATATTTGAAATTTATATTTGCCGTGATTATCTTAATAAGTTTAGTTGTTCCTGATTGCGAGTGGGTTTGATTCAATAGATGTAAATCTCAGATTTATCTATGTGTGAACGTGCACTCAAGAATGAATATATCCATTTTAGGCGGGAAACGCACCGAAACAAAATGAACTCACATGAGGTTGAGCAAAAATTAGGACAAATCTGACAGAAATCGAGTTAGAAAAAGACACTTTGATGTAACCTCTGATCTACTCGTGCAGATTCATGTTAAATATCTAGTTCATAGACCAATTTGAGTTGTAACTTTACTGAAATGGAGTATTTCGATCATAGCTCTCATGAATGGGTCTTTTTCTTCACTCCGCTATTAAGTTGATCGAAGGTTTTTGGGGTCACAGCTTGAGCTGTAGCAGATCGGATGCACTTAACTTCAGCATCGCCATATATATTAGTAAGTAGTAATTGAATACCGCTTTCTTGGTGATACTTCCAAGCAAGTTTTCTATTTATGCTCGGTTATCAATCGTATTTTCCAAGAAAATCGTTTCGAAGCTAGAAGCTATAAAATGTGAAGTCTCTCAGCTAGATAGTTTTGGATAGCCACGTTCCACATGACTAAATCCTTTCAGTAGAGGGTTGGCGACGCAAACGTCGCGTTACCTTGTAATTTATTAAATAAAGCTCATTGGAATATAGCTATACATTGAAGATGTGACACTAGAAAGGATTTTTTCTTTTTTCAACACTTTATATATATATATATATGTGTCAGTAATAGAAGGAATAAATGCATGAAATTATTTTCCAGTAAGATCACGTTTGTTAGTGATAGAAAAGAAGTAGTCTACTCTGGTCGCACGTTAACATACATGAGAACCAGTACTGACTTTAATTATTGCAGTGACGCTGGAAACAATGTCTAGCCTAAAAGAGAACTCGCAAAACAAAAATGGATAGTCCACTATAAAAGCTTCGCTTCGGTTGCATTACTAGTTACTTATTTTTATTCGTACTGTCTATGTGTACTCATAAATATCTACAAAAAAAAGAGATAATGGAAAACTATCGGAAAGATCTTCACGTAAGAATAGTCACTAAATATAATTTGAACAATTCTTTATATTTACGATCCTTCGTCACTATGCAGTCATTAATCTTATCAATTAGCTTCTATTGCAATAGTATGTACATAGTTACTGGGTCAATTCTTTCATGAGACATGTGAATGAGAGATGTCTTTCACTACTTTGATTCGAGTCACTATATTTTAGGTATTTTTTTCATGCATCTGGGTTTTGGGGAAAACTTCGGAGATTCTTAGTAAATTAACAGTACGGCACAATGCTGCTAGTAGCTGATTTCAGTTCTATAGCTCTAAACCTTCAGCTTTGACATATGCGTTTCGTACACACAAGCTTTACAACAGATGTATATTGACTTTTGTGTTTCTATGCTTACGAACCAATACCATCATTACTTTAATGTTCATCCAGGCCGAGGTTTACGGAGTTCGTATGCATGGTACATACGCTTCGTCTACGATCGTATATTATCATATGTCTCAATAGTAAATAAGAATGTTGTGCTGATTAAAAAACAAAATTGTTGTTTTTATTGCATTTGTATTGTTTGACAGATTGTCAGAAAAAATATCAAGATAATATCTTTGGCTGTAAACGAATTGTTGTTGTTACACGGTTGACTTGTACAGACCTCAATATTTGCCCATAGCATATCACTTTCTTGCTCAAGACGCTCAAGACGCTTATGCATTTGAGAAAATAAATATGTTAATCGAGAACTTCATTGAAATCTCTGTATAGAAAAAACTATGAATCATGATACCATAAAATCGTTCTATTGATATAAAAATCGTTTTACAACTCGTACTAATCAAATAAAACTAAAATGGCACTCTTGCGTCTATAACAAAAGGTAGAACGATCACACACATCGCAGTTTCAATCATAAGTGAACTGAGTAAATAAAACATGTTTTCGTAGTTGAATATGAATATCTCTGAATATCCTAAATCACTGTTTTCTCCTGATTACTTCTACAATACATTGTAAGAATCGACACTAATTCATATGACGCCATCATTAACAGAATACTGCATCTAAGTTTCAATTATTTTGTAGCTATTGCTTCATTACAAGTGTTTATACTATAATTCAAAGGTTCACGAACAATTCACACAATCTGGCAATCAAGAATATTCATCAAGATATGACAAAAACAGATTTTCATCTGTAATAGACGTTACTGCTTCCGACAAGACGTATATAATTTAATGTATTTAATGCAAAAAAACGAAACATTGGCGTAGACACCAATATAATATTGTACAACAATATTTATAATCGTTTCTTATCAGCTACTTGTTAGTGATTGATAGCTGATCGATAATAACAATTATAAAACTGATAAAAATAGTTCCATGATAAATATAATAATGTTCCTAGAGTTGTACCAATTTCTAAAAAAAACAAAAAAGTTGATAAAAAAATCTAAGCAATGTTACCGATTTTTATTCAATTTTCTAAGCAATACGATGATATTGACTTCTGATTACATGATGATTGAATAAAAACATTTTATTTAGTATATCTTCAGATAACATTTTCGATCTTATCTAAGATATACTGAAGGATTTTCAAGGGAAGAAAAGCTGATTCTATGATTCCGTGATTCTACTGATTCTATGTGATTCCATCGGCGGCTCTGGAATCACAATGAATATGACTGTATTTCTCGACTATGATGTCGTAACATCAATAGGAACATTACAGAGATGAATTCTGAAGACTCACGATCATTTCATTCAATAGGGAAATCAGTTCACTCACGATCGTAAGAATCATTGAGTCGAGTATAAGAGACATAACCTGTATATTGCTGAATCTCAGCCTAGAGCGTATCAGTTCTCATTTCACAAC